TGATAACTCTATCCGTCTATGGGATGTAAAGACAGGATAAGAAATTAAATCCTCTGATAAAAACTACAAAGATATTCTTGCATAATTAAAAATTCCGCTCTAATAAAATAGTACAATATAAGAAGGTAATATTAATTTTTTTTGATATTTTAGCATCAAATTACATCACTACACTCCTAATATCTTAATCCGCTATATTCTAAGCATAAGGAGCACTTGTTCTCAAAGGAGAATTCATTAATAATCAAGGCGCTGATTTGAGACCTTTATTGAAATCCAAAGGTAGCTGTATTTTAGAAAACCAATTAGACTGCAATAAAAAATGAAAATTATTTAATAAGTCAACATAATTTATATCTATATCAACTCTATCAATATTTTGTTCACCATTATTTTTATCTCTGTATCTGGTCAAGTTAACTTTTTCTGCTCAATATATTTTCATCATTACTTAACATTCTCTATTAAGATAATAGTAAAATTGTAATCATGTCCTATTATTAATTATAAATTTAAAAAATTATTAATTTGTAAATACTTAATTTGTTATTATTAAGTATTAAATAGGTATTTTTTCAAAATTATATTTCTTTTTCTCTCAATTTCACATTCTTATTCCTTAATAATTAATAAAACATAAAACAATCTTTCAAGAGAATATATTAAAAATGATTATTCATATATAATTAGATTATATATGAATAATCTATAAATATTTTTTTTTTTTAATGTCTAAAAATGGAAAAATACTTAAAACATATTAATATCTCATTAATAAAAAACAATTGACTCCACCAAAAATTGAATAAAAAATACTAAAAAATAAGCAAAAAGTATTTAAAAAAAAACATATCAAAACCTCAAAATTAAGTAAGAAATCTACAAAAAAAAAGTAAAATAACATAATTTATTGAAAAAACAACCTAAAAAACCCAAAAATCAATTAAAACTATTCAAAAACAAAACATCAAAACACATTTTTACCAATTACAAATCAAATCTACATATCTAATAAACTGATACATATATTTCCCCTTATAAAGCTATCACAAATGCATATGAAAAACCTCAAACATATCCTCAATATAGTAATCACTAGACTCTCATAAGAAAAACACCAAAAAATCGCTCATTTTCCAATTATTTATAAATTATTAATCTTAATGCTATAACTATCATATTATATGCTCTTAATTTCTATAACTATTAAAATTAATTACAGCTATTAAACATTAATAGGAGAGCATACACCACAACGCACCTCATAACTATAATTATGCCGAATAAAAAGCACCAAGTCTTTGAAACCACCACGACTCGAATTTGTGACCTATGCCATAGGTACCAAAAAATACTTCTAGATCGCATCATTCTATCTTAGCTGCACTCCTTCCTTATCAAACAAAGTGTATATATATATATAATTCTGATTAATTTATGATTTAATTATTTCTTTGACTAAGATTAATCTAAATAATACTAATACTAAAATCGTAAATCTATTAAGATTAATATAAATTATACTAATATCCCTAATATCAAATATCTCTAATATTTCTAACGACCATGAATACTAATATATTAATCTCTATATAGACTAATAAATTAATGCTTATTTAATTGAAATATAAATCATAAATTTAAATATCTTTTATTTTAACAAATGCAATCTGTATCTTTGCCGGAACAGCAACCAGAACAAATGAGAGCTTTAACTCAGCAATATATTCAAAACTTCGATCAATTTATGATGTAACTATTTCCTTACCATCTTAGGAATCATACCATTGAGTCAATGAAGCCATTGATTTCCCTAATTAGAAAGCTAATGTCTCAAGAGCAAAAATGGNCAAGTTAACTTTTTCTGCTCAATATATTTTCATCATTACTTAACATTCTCTATTAAGATAATAGTAAAATTGTAATCATGTCCTATTATTAATTATAAATTTAAAAAATTATTAATTTGTAAATACTTAATTTGTTATTATTAAGTATTAAATAGGTATTTTTTCAAAATTATATTTCTTTTTCTCTCAATTTCACATTCTTATTCCTTAATAATTAATAAAACATAAAACAATCTTTCAAGAGAATATATTAAAAATGATTATTCATATATAATTAGATTATATATGAATAATCTATAAATATTTTTTTTTTTTAATGTCTAAAAATGGAAAAATACTTAAAACATATTAATATCTCATTAATAAAAAACAATTGACTCCACCAAAAATTGAATAAAAAATACTAAAAAATAAGCAAAAAGTATTTAAAAAAAAACATATCAAAACCTCAAAATTAAGTAAGAAATCTACAAAAAAAAAGTAAAATAACATAATTTATTGAAAAAACAACCTAAAAAACCCAAAAATCAATTAAAACTATTCAAAAACAAAACATCAAAACACATTTTTACCAATTACAAATCAAATCTACATATCTAATAAACTGATACATATATTTCCCCTTATAAAGCTATCACAAATGCATATGAAAAACCTCAAACATATCCTCAATATAGTAATCACTAGACTCTCATAAGAAAAACACCAAAAAATCGCTCATTTTCCAATTATTTATAAATTATTAATCTTAATGCTATAACTATCATATTATATGCTCTTAATTTCTATAACTATTAAAATTAATTACAGCTATTAAACATTAATAGGAGAGCATACACCACAACGCACCTCATAACTATAATTATGCCGAATAAAAAGCACCAAGTCTTTGAAACCACCACGACTCGAATTTGTGACCTATGCCATAGGTACCAAAAAATACTTCTAGATCGCATCATTCTATCTTAGCTGCACTCCTTCCTTATCAAACAAAGTGTATATATATATATAATTCTGATTAATTTATGATTTAATTATTTCTTTGACTAAGATTAATCTAAATAATACTAATACTAAAATCGTAAATCTATTAAGATTAATATAAATTATACTAATATCCCTAATATCAAATATCTCTAATATTTCTAACGACCATGAATACTAATATATTAATCTCTATATAGACTAATAAATTAATGCTTATTTAATTGAAATATAAATCATAAATTTAAATATCTTTTATTTTAACAAATGCAATCTGTATCTTTGCCGGAACAGCAACCAGAACAAATGAGAGCTTTAACTCAGCAATATATTCAAAACTTCGATCAATTTATGATGTAACTATTTCCTTACCATCTTAGGAATCATACCATTGAGTCAATGAAGCCATTGATTTCCCTAATTAGAAAGCTAATGTCTCAAGAGCAAAAATGGCATCTCAAACAGTGAGATGAATTGATTGTGTTTAATTGCTCTTTTCGAAGTATCAAAATTATAAAATAAGGTCTCCAGCAGATTAAAATGGAAATAGTTGAACAAAAAATTAAATAAGATAACATTATTGTTACAAATGATTTAGATGGAATTCTTAACATATATATATTCTCCATTTGTATGTGGCATATATGGACATTATGTTTCTTTAATAGTCAAAAAGTGCTTCCAACAATAATTGATTAGTTTATCAAAAGTTTTATTAGATTCAAAAATATAATTTGTGACTTAGAACTCCTAAATATTAAAGGTTTGAAATCAAGCTTTAGCAAAACCAAAAAAGATTTGTCCAATTTTGAATTAATATTACAATTAATGGAACAACATGAAGTGGTTTAGTTTCTGCGGGGGGGGGGGGGTGCAAATATTGGAGATTCGCGATCTGTAAATAAGATACCAAATAACTAGATCTAAATGATTGACAAAATTTTAAAAAGTAGCACTTAGTAAATTATCCAATGAACATATCTTCAGTGTTCAAGAGGATTATGTTAACCTAGAAAAAGTTTAACCGTTAATGGCAGAAATTGAAGAATAAAATAGCCCGACAAGAGTTTGACAAAAACATGAATAAATAGTTAGCGATGAGAGTGGCATTTGTAGATTATTTTATTTGAACAGTAGAAGCGGGGAATTATTGTGGTTATCTCTATTGATAAGCAAATTATCTATTAATGTTATGAATATCAATTTTTTCTGTATTTTTAAATTATTTAATCCATATATCCCTTAATTTAACAAAATTTTCTAGACAATTATCATCTCTCTAATCTTCAAGTAAATAATTTTTACTTCTGTACTACTTTTTTTAAAATGTTAATAATAACTAATAAATCTAAAATGTTATCACTATAAAAATTTGAAAACAGAAGAAAATTATTCTACTGCTCACAGCGGTGGATAGTTTTTCATAATTTAAGATGGATTAATTTTGGTAAAGAATATTATGATCATACTAATTAGAAAATAATTTAATTACTAACATTTAAAGGATAAAGAAGGAAAAAAAGAAGACACATTACTCTTCACATGCTACTCCTCCTTTCTTAATCGTTCTATCATTAGCTGACTGAATAGCACTATTATTTCCATTTCTTGAAGCGAAAGTTGAGTTACTTAAGAAATAAGTGTTAAAAGCAACTAGAATGACCAATTCACTTTTCATAGCAATCTAAGGTAATAGATTATAATTCAACCTGGTATAGTTAAGGATCCTACATAAGTGTAATATGTTGGATTGGCATCTAATTATGATCCGAAGAGATCATAGAAATTAATAGAGGCTATGTTAGTTGAATTATTTGGATTTTTTTTATTTGAATAAGTTATCTATACCACTAATGTAAAGTGATATGTAGTTAATTTTTGCTCGAAACTTCGAATAAAATTGAAAGTATCACTTTCGTAATGGTGGCACTGAACTCAGACTAAAAATAACACTACTTAATTCTATTTTTAATTTGTGGGCTATTTGCATTTCTAAATCATAGCAAGAGCCTTCAATATTATGTTCAGATGGTCTGTGAAACATAAATTCTGTCGCAGTGTAACCAAAGATATCTTGAACAAATACCATAAAGATTTCCATTGATATCTGGTGCATATAAATTTGAGATGGTTGCTTACGATTCAATCATATATGGCGCTCTTTCTATCACAATTTACATTCCATCATTTTTGAAATAAATATCTAGAACGATAGAATTATTACAGGTTCCTGATGATACCTCTAAGTTTGATTGGACTTTTGAGTAGTAAGGCCTAAAATTATGATTAATTATATCACTTGAACAAACTCCTGAGGTCTAATTAATTTTAGACAATATAAAGAAGATGGATTATCAACACAATCATTCAAAATCAATAATTTAATTAATAATATAGCTCATTTTTGTTTTTTCTTCTTGTTTTCATCCTCATCTAATCTTGAGCAATCCTATATTCTTTAATTGGAGTTTTCAATTAAATTAATCAATTTTGTAAGTTGAACATCAACTTTTGTATTCTTAAATAGTTGTTATTTTAGGCTACTAAATTCAACGATCCCTCCATTTAAATACTGGGCTAAAATTTTAAACAACAGAATACTTGAAAACATGTCCACTGTAAATGGCAATATTGGATGTAAGCATGCTTTATTTTTCTCATTGCTAAATTTCATTAAACATTCAAAAATTGCAGCTGGATTCGGCAAATATAATTATTCATCATTATTAGGATAGTATTTTTTCAAAATTGGTAAAATACTATCAATAATTCCATTATTATTCAATTTTGTATTTAATTCTTGAAGAATGTTTTCAAATAATAATTCAAACAAAAGAGCTTTACAAAATTAGAGTAAAGTGAATGTTTTCTTGAAAAGCAATTCCTTCATAATAAAACAATAAATTACTTCATCAAGATTTGCATACAAGGAGAGTGAACTAACAACTATATCTCTAGGAAAGTCTGAACATAATAATTTTGTTAGTTAGAAATAATCAAATCCTGACTTGTCTTCGAAACTTTCAAAAATCTAATTGTTTTAGGTTTTGGAAGCGTACTTTATTGAAGTTTATCACAAACACTAATCGATTCATTTTTGAATTACAAATTTATTGATAAGGTCTTAGTAACACTGTTTCTCCTTTAATGTAACATTAAACACTCATTTTGATATTATAAAATATTTATACAATTCCTAAAAGGCTATTTAAGGTTAGATGTTAGCTTTACGGACAAAAAATTTTGTACATTCTGTTACCATACTCTATAATTCATGCTTTTCTAGTTATTGATGTTAACATACCACAATAACAATTAAAATCAATTTCTATATTACTTGATTTGTTCAGAAAATAACTTGCAGTGCCAAAAGTAAAAGCCATTTAAAATGAAAATATTAATTTATGTAATAATGATATATCATAGTTCAATAATCCAATTAGTCTGTTTAACTATTCTAATAATAGATTGAATATTGACTTGTTTGGAGTTTTTTCTGATTCCATTTTCCTGCAAAGCAATAATTAGTATTTTTTAAAGAAGGTTTATTCAGATATTTATCGAAGCCTTACAATGATATTTTATTATTATTATCTTTATTTCTCGCTATCTAAATTTTTGCATGAGGATCTAGAATAGCTAATTCAACAGATTCTTTTTAATTTCCTAAAGTAGAATTTGTTAGATTGGGGGATTTTTAAATATTTTTCTAAACAAATGAAATCTCAAACTCTTTAATAAGTCCCCACAATCTCCAATATGAATGTAGATTCTTCTTTGCTGTTGTATACTATAATAAATATTATAGTAAGTACCCTTTTTAATCTATCTTGCATATTCTTTTGCATTAACAATGATTTATACAAAGAGATTATTTCTAATCCCTTAAAAAACGCTACTGACATTGTTAGAGTATAATCTTTTTTAAAGACATGCTAATCTCTCAGAGATTTCTGTCTGTATGTTCCATCATCAACCATATATTAGACTAAGTTGATAAAGTGATCCATTTTCTCTTTAAATGAGTCCAGTTTCGAAGTATAACTAATAGAATGTGATTGATCAGTCTTTTAAAATAAGATCACTACCATTTTATCAAAAAATTATCTGATTTAAACCAAATGAAATAATTGATCTACTTTCATCAAATCATCATTATGCTTCTAATTAGAAACATTGAGGAAATCCAAGGATGTAAGAAATTTATAGAAATCATCTATGTCATAATGATCTTCTTTTTTTAATAATTCCATATTCTGCAAAGTTATCATCTATATTTTTTGATCCACATTGTCATCAAATTGTAGGGTAGGAGAAAATATTGATATTTTTTTGGTTCTTGATATTTTAGAATTTCGATGATGTAAAGAGTTTGGTTCACTTGTAGCATTAATAGCATTATCATAAGCATCTTCATCAGGTTCAAAATCTAGGTTCGCTAATAAATTGAACCCTGAAGTGGAATAATTGAAATTTGATAAGCAATCTTCATCTAGATTCACTTCTGGAATGTCATCTTCACCAAGTTGTCCATTAAATAAAATTCCTTCACTGCAATCACCGCTGCCTTACTTAACTGATTTTTTTACGTTCAAATTCAATTGGAGGACTATCTAGATAAGGACCAGGAATGTTATATGCTTTTCTTTTTGGTTGTTTCTCTACTCTTGGAATGTCAATCTCTTCATTGTCAAATGTTTAAGCCATCAAACCATGAAAATTAGAAAAGTCAAACATTAAATAACCATCAAAAGTGTCTTTTAATTCTTCACTCATTGTAAAAAATATAAAATAAATTATTCATTTTTTGATCAGTCATTTGCCTAGTAAAGTTTGAATCTCTACTTTCTGATGATTCTCATTAAGAAAAATATCAAATTAAATTACTTTCATTCCATAATTAGTTTCAACTCTTAATTAAGGCGTAGCCGACAATTATCTTCTTAGTTAATTTGGTTTCTCAGTCTAAGGAACACTTAAGATATTGATTTTTTGGCTGATATACAATCTTTTAAAATTTATTTTACAATACTTATACATTCTTCTTTATAAACTTTAGTTTAACTAGGAATGCTGTATAATTAAAAATTTATTAGATATCAAAGAAAGTAACTCCATAATTTTAGCATATTTTGTAAACTAATTCTTTACTTTTATTAGTACAACACTTTGAGAATTATAAATTATTATCAATTAAACAATTTACAAGAGTTTTTATATAAGTTAAATCGTTGTTCATTTCTCTTAGCCTAGATTCTCATTTACTCCACTTCTTCATGAAAAATATCAACTTTAGATTTTGATTGATTTCGTTTTTAGACACTGATGGTTGAATTTAAATTGATCATTTCGATATATTTCTTGATTTATCTGATTAGGATATGAAATATCCTAAAATTATTTGGATAGTTAAAAAACTCAATGGCTTTTATTGATTCATCTCAACTTGCCAGATAATTTAGATAAAAGAATAAATTTTTAAAAATGAATGGCATGTATTTTCCAGCAGAAGAAGAACTATCTAATTTTTACTCCATTTCTATATTTCCTCTTAATTCTTTCATGATCTCATAGAAGACTATAAAGAAATCGATAGCTTAAACCTTGTGCAGCCTGTTTATTGAAAGCTGATTTTTTAATTCACTCCATTTTAAGTATTTTTGATTACATTTATTAATAACTATCTATCTTTATCAAAAGTTTTGAAAAATTTTGTTATCGCTCTTCAGTAATTTTGGAAACCATTTTTTACCACATTTCGTACAATTCACTCATATTCTAAAAGTCTAAATTAAAATTAACTCTAGATTATAAAATAAATCTCTTAATTCCAGATAATTTCTAAATTGCTATTCTAAATTTTCATTGGCATTCATCATGTTAGATAAAAATAAGTATTTATTTAGTTTCTTATATAAATAACTTATTCTTATTTATTTGATCTTTAATTTCATTTAGATATAAACTACCATTAAAATATTTGAAGTCTGAATCAGATAATCAATAAGTTTAATAAAAATTATTTATTTGACATGATTTAAGAATAAAAATTAAGTGAATGTTGAGATTAGTATTATTTACAATTTAAATTTATGAATTTCAATACTCTTTTATTGGAAAAAGATAATGATCTTCGTATTTTAGCATTAAAAGAAATGTTAAATTAAGTGGATCAACACTGGTCAGAGATATCTGAATTACTTAGTTAGATGTAAATCAAAAATTTAAATTTCTTATAGAGAAGCATTAAGCGAAGATCCAAAATTTCCTGAAAGACAATTAGCGTCTTATTTATGTGCCAAGATTCAATACCATTTAGATAACTTTGACGAATCTCTTAATTATGCTTTACAGAGTGGACAATATTGGTAATCAGATTTGNTTAAAAATTTATTAGATATCAAAGAAAGTAACTCCATAATTTTAGCATATTTTGTAAACTAATTCTTTACTTTTATTAGTACAACACTTTGAGAATTATAAATTATTATCAATTAAACAATTTACAAGAGTTTTTATATAAGTTAAATCGTTGTTCATTTCTCTTAGCCTAGATTCTCATTTACTCCACTTCTTCATGAAAAATATCAACTTTAGATTTTGATTGATTTCGTTTTTAGACACTGATGGTTGAATTTAAATTGATCATTTCGATATATTTCTTGATTTATCTGATTAGGATATGAAATATCCTAAAATTATTTGGATAGTTAAAAAACTCAATGGCTTTTATTGATTCATCTCAACTTGCCAGATAATTTAGATAAAAGAATAAATTTTTAAAAATGAATGGCATGTATTTTCCAGCAGAAGAAGAACTATCTAATTTTTACTCCATTTCTATATTTCCTCTTAATTCTTTCATGATCTCATAGAAGACTATAAAGAAATCGATAGCTTAAACCTTGTGCAGCCTGTTTATTGAAAGCTGATTTTTTAATTCACTCCATTTTAAGTATTTTTGATTACATTTATTAATAACTATCTATCTTTATCAAAAGTTTTGAAAAATTTTGTTATCGCTCTTCAGTAATTTTGGAAACCATTTTTTACCACATTTCGTACAATTCACTCATATTCTAAAAGTCTAAATTAAAATTAACTCTAGATTATAAAATAAATCTCTTAATTCCAGATAATTTCTAAATTGCTATTCTAAATTTTCATTGGCATTCATCATGTTAGATAAAAATAAGTATTTATTTAGTTTCTTATATAAATAACTTATTCTTATTTATTTGATCTTTAATTTCATTTAGATATAAACTACCATTAAAATATTTGAAGTCTGAATCAGATAATCAATAAGTTTAATAAAAATTATTTATTTGACATGATTTAAGAATAAAAATTAAGTGAATGTTGAGATTAGTATTATTTACAATTTAAATTTATGAATTTCAATACTCTTTTATTGGAAAAAGATAATGATCTTCGTATTTTAGCATTAAAAGAAATGTTAAATTAAGTGGATCAACACTGGTCAGAGATATCTGAATTACTTAGTTAGATGTAAATCAAAAATTTAAATTTCTTATAGAGAAGCATTAAGCGAAGATCCAAAATTTCCTGAAAGACAATTAGCGTCTTATTTATGTGCCAAGATTCAATACCATTTAGATAACTTTGACGAATCTCTTAATTATGCTTTACAGAGTGGACAATATTGGTAATCAGATTTGAATGATAAATTTAATCAATGTTTAATAAAACATTGTATTGAGCAATATCGTTAATCAGGAAAAGCTTCTGAAGAAAGAATAAGACTAATCAAACATATTTTAGAATTGTCATGTGGATAAAATAATCACATATCTGCCATAGGAGTAGCAGTTGAATGCAAGAGGATTGATTGGGTAGCTGAGATTCTTAACAAATGGAATTATCCAGGTAAAATGATATCTGTTCTTCATCTTTTCAATACATAAAGAGGAGAATTCAAAGAATAATTGTTAAGACTCTCAGTTGATTTAATATATGAAGAGGCAAAACATGGTCAAATTCCAAATGAAGAATGGGGTTAATTTGTCACAGTCTTAATTCAATTAGGAGAGGCTATAAAAGTTGCTGAAATCCTTTGGACTTTAGTAACTAATGAAAATCATTATAAATTATAAACTGGTACTCCATTACTATTAGCTGAACAATTATGCATAGATTTAGCATAAAATTAAAAACCTCAATTTATTCAAAAGATTATAGCTGCATTGCCTATTGATCAATAATTCCAAGAAGTTAGAGACAAATTAATAAAATTGTTATCAGGAGAATAACAAAGGAAAGCATATTTATACTTTTTGAAGAATCACAGATAAGTTGACGTTGAAGTCTTAAATAAAATTAAAGGCCCGAATGATCCAAAACAATCAAGTGTTTTGCATGGTGCATGCATGTTTGGTCATGCTTTAGCTACTGCAGGCACATAAGATACATCATTCTTATAGGCAAATTAATAATGGGCAACAAAATGTAATTATTGGTAGAGATTTACTGCTACATCTACTTTGGGAATGATTCACAAATACAATATAGAAGAATCCTAATAAATTATGGCAACTCATTTATCTTAGACTAATCCATTTGAAATTGGAGGAGCTCTTTATGGATTAGGACTTATTCATTTTGGAACTCAAGATTAATAACTTTTGCTCAAATTATCAGATCACATGAAATCTCAAAAAGAGCAAATAATTCATGGTGCATGTTTAGGATCAGGATTAGTAGCATTTGCTTCTGAAGATGAAAAATTGAATTAAGATTATCATAATCTGGTTTCAAAAAATGAATCAATTTATGGAGAAGGTGCCAGTATTGGTTATGGTTTATTAAATGCTGGATCTGGATCTATTGAATAATGCAAACGTTTATTGGTGTTAGCTAGTTAATCAGACAAAGACAAGATCGTTAGAACTTTGTCATTATCAATTGCTTGTATACTCTTTCATTAAGAGGATAAGGCTGATGTGATTATTGATCAAATGTTACAATCAAATGATCCATTAATAAGATATGGTGGCTGCTTCACTTTAGCCTTTGCATATGTAGGCACAGGAAGCAATAAGATTATTTAAAAGTTGCTGTCCATATCAGTTAATGATGTATCTGAAGATGTCAGAAGAGCAGCTGTCATATCCTTTGGCTTCTTGATGTTTAAGAATTATGAAGCTTTGCCAAAAATTATGAGGTTATTGACATTGTCATATAATCCACATATCAGATATGCAACGGCTATTGCTTTAGGTATTGCATGTGCTGGAACCCTTTATGCAGATGCCATTTCTGCGATTGAACCAATGTTAACCGATACTGTAGATTTTGTTAGACAAGGTGCTTTGATAGCTTTAGGAATGATTCTCTCTTAAGGAAACAAAGAGTAGGAACCTAAATTCGAGCCAATCATGAAATCTATTAATGAAATAGCTGCAAAAAAACATGAGACTGTTTTAACAAAGTTGGGATTAGCCATTTTTTAAGGATTATTAGATTGTGGAGGTAGAAATTTGACTGTTTCATTATAAAGCAGATAAGGAGTACCAAAGCTAAATGCTTGTGTTGGTATGTTATGGTTTTTGAACTATTGGTACTGGTATCCTTGTTTAAGTATGATATCGATTGCTTTATAACCAGTTTCATTTATTGGTTTAAATGAAAAGTATAATAAATATATTTATAAAATTTTAGCCTTGATATTCCTAAAGACTTTCAATTATAATGTAATACCAAACAATCAGTTTTTGATTATCCTCCTCCTTAAAAAAAATCTGAAAAACCTATTGCTGAAAAAAAAACTGTTCAATTAAGTACAACTTAAAAAGTGAGAGCCAGAACTAATAAGAAGGATCTAGAAAAGAAGCAAATTGATTCTGCTTCATAAGGTGTCATTTCAAGAGAATAATCAAAAATGAGTTTAGAGTAATAACCAAGCGAAATCATCAAATAGCCAAGCCTTATAGAGGAACAAGAGAAGAAATAGGCAGCACCAAAAGATGAACCAAATTAATATATTTTAACAAATCCATGCAGAATTTTAGATAAATAAAAAAAACATATCTAATTGTTAGAAGGTAGTCGTTTTTAGCCACTTCTCAAAGTATTAATTTGATAAATCATAATAGGATCGTAAATAAGGTTTGGTTATGTTAATTGATAGTGAACCTTCATAAACTTCTGAGGTGATTTCTCTCACTGTTAAACCAAAATAACCTATAATTGAACAAGTTGTAAATTAATAACCTGCTCCACCTAATTAAGTGCCAGAAGAATTTGTGTTTGATGAAGCTCTTTAGAATGAAGAACAAAAGCCATGAGAAGAACATAATATATATATATATAAATATAAAGAAAATTATATATATCAATTGCTTTAAGGATATTAATAATTGATAATGTACATATTCTATTTTATAATTTGCTTACAATAATAGTCACCTCATAATTTAATTTAATTTTATGTTATTTATTTGATTAAAATCAATATATAATGAATTATTTGCATTTATATTCAAAAAAAGTTGTACCAAATGATAATAATAACTGATACCAAAATTAAGGCAACCATTGAGTAAGTAAGTATTTTTCGATAAATGGCTCGATTCTTCATACGATTAATTAAAGATTCAGATGTTCCTATATCATGAGTTGCCTCATTAGTTTTTTTTATCATGCCATCAAGTTTATGAGTCTAATTCTATAACTAAAATTAAATGTGTGTTGCATGTCCTTCAGCTTCATAGGCAATTTTAGTATATTCAATAAGTTTTTCATTTTATTCAATCGCCATAGCTAATGTTGGAGAAGTGTGTTGAACATATTAAGTATATGACTATTTAATTTATTGAAATTCACTCTTGTATTAAGTGAGTTTGGTAAATTGGGGACCACTACGATTACCAATTGACAATTGCATTCCATCTAATGATCTTTTCAAATTATTGAATTCTTCAATTGCTTCTCTATAATCTTATTGTGTAGCAGTTGGAGCTTAATGAAATTTAGATAATAGGGCTTTTGAGTATTTCTAAAATTCTTCTTCATATAGATTAAATTCTTCATTCATTTTGTTTTTTAACTACTTGAGTATTTTAAAAATATTATTATACTCAAAAAAAGAAAGATTAAATATTATTTTGTAAATGATTATTGAATTACTCATTAACAACAATAACATTAAATTATAAATCATTCTGTTTCCATTTTGTTATTATTATTGGCCTCATTTTATTATGGTTATTATTAAGGTTAAGGTTCCTCAACCTTCTTATCCTCTTAAGGTGGTTCAGGTTTAGGCTTTAGTACAACTGGTTAACATTTCTAAATTGTTATTAAAAAATAATTACATCTTTGAATTCATTGAATTTAGCTTGGACTTATTACACTGAAGTTGTGAATTTGACAGTTTTATCTGCTTTGCTTAAAGCATCCAAAACTTAATTGCACCATAATTTGAAAATATTTACTTCATTTGCAACTACTTATCTTTCCTCAGGTGTAATATGAGCATATTGTTATTCCTATAATAATTTATAATTATAATTACTTATGAAGTAACAAAGGCTTCATAATTTAAAGTATATTGTAATGCTTGTTAAATAGTTTCAGGAACCAATCTGAACTCATCAGCAATTGTGACTATTGGACCGCACAATTATACAAGTTTATCATATCTATCAGAATACTCCCTTTTTGTAGTCTTTTGGCCATCACCATAGAGCCATTCATATTAAACATCTAATTCCTTAAGAATTTGAGCTTTGAGATCAGGTCGAACATGTTAGGCATATTTGCCATTAACATTCTCTCTCCAAGCATAAATATAAGCTTCCAATTGATTTTTCTTGAAGTGTGTTTCATGAACCAATTTATCTTGGTTTTACATCTCGCATTCTTATTAGAATAAATGATCAATATCCTTTTTAGACAAACTATTCAAAGAAGTTGTTTCACAATTGATTTAAGTTTATATAGTTTTCTTTTTTTATTTGATTTCAAATTATGGTTCTTCTTGCTTTGGTTATTCTTATTATGGAGCTTCCTGAGCTTGTTTTTGTGTTTCAGCAGCTTATGGTTGTTATTATTAGGCATCAGCTGCTGGTTTAAGTTGTTCTGCTGGTTTAGGTGGTTCTGCTGGTTTTGGTTTTTCAATCTAATAAATTAATTATGTTTAAATACAGGCACTTTCACTTCTTCCATGAACTCTTCCTACAATACAATTTCTTCTAATTAAAGCAATCCATTGTGATTCAATAAAATTTTGATTTTTGTTGAATGTTCTTGATGTTTAGGGTTTTATGGAGGCACACGAATTTATTCTAAAAAAGATTATAAATAAATAATACATAAAATAGCTTAGAAACCTTCAGGTACAGGATCATAAAATAGTGTAATTTCAATGGGCTCAGTTTTTAAGAGTGCAAAACTCTTGATTGATGGAATTGCATTATTTTAATCAAAAAGGACCTTGCATTATTTTTCAGGGAAACATCTGACCAATCCTTAACTTTAGTCTAATTAACTTAATTATTGTCCATAGAGCCAACCTACTCTAATTGGATAATAGTTGCAATCTTCAATTTTGTATTCAGTGACTTTGAAATTAGGACTCTTCATAGCTGCCATCATTGCACAACCTCTAGAAATTGATTCACTTGCATTCAATGTTCTAGATACTTATTCAACTTTGAAGATTTTTTCAATTAATCTTTACACAGCTGGAATTCTAGTTGCTCCTCCTACTATTTCAACAGAATGTAATTGCAATTTCAAATTTTAAACTTAACTGAATAAAAATTCTAATTGTTATTGAATCTAATTCAACACAGGTTAGATCATTTATTCAAAATCATCTCTTTTAATTAAAGTATTAAAGTCTTCATCTTCTACTAAATACTCTACATTAATTGGAGCCTCTGAATTGGCAGACAAGACCTTTCTAGCTTTTTCAATAGATTCCAATAATCTTAATTTTCCTTTAAGATTTTTTCTAACATTTAAACCACCTGTTTATTATTCAAATTGAGTGGCAAATTTTTCAAATAAAAACCAATCAATATCTCTAGCACCTAAATTTCTCTCATTCACTTAAGCAACAACCTAAGCCTTTTCCTTATAGAATGAACCTACAAATGCTGAGAATTTTGAATGTCCAAAATCAACAAATGCTACATGTCTTGGTTTATCAGCATCCAAATCTGCTTTTCTAAATAAACCATAATTGATTGCAATTGCTGTAGTTTCGTTTAGTAATCTTTCTAATGGAATTTCAGCTATCTTACAAGCATCAATCAATGCCTTTCTCTCTGATTCAGTGTAATAAGCAGGCACACTGATACAAACATTACTTGCTTGTACATTTATGTCATTATGAACTACAACATGCTTTAATTTGTTTAACATTGAACCTGTCAATTACTCAGGAGTGAATGTTGTCTTCTACCCTAGATAATTGACTTCAAATAAAGTTTTTCCAGAATCATTAATAGATGTAGGAACAGTCAACCATTTTGTCTCTTCTGCTCTAAATGAAGGTTCACCATGTAATCCTAAGAATCTATTGAAAAAAGCAACAGAATTTTTAAAATTTGACTTTTGTTGTAAGGCTCCTTGTTCTCCAATGAATCTTTCTTCGACTGTGAATCCTATCACATTTTATGTTTCTCTATGTGATCCTTCATTGTCTAGAATCTTCACACCACCTTTTAGTGCTGCAGCGATCACAGATCTCTAACTACCAAAGTCAATACCAATAGAAGCAAATTAAGACATTAATTAGTTTAAATTTTTCGAGAATCAGCCACTTATAAAACATCCATAATTTTGCTAGAAAGTTCTATAATTAATAATAAATTAACGTATTTATCTGAACAACATCACATCCAAGTTAAAGAGAATATGATCTATTTAACAGATATTTATAGAAATTATCCAAAATTATAAGAAAGTTAAGAAAATAGAAAAAAAAATATTTTTATTTATGTATTCTATAAATTATATTGCTATTTCAATATTAATAACCTTTTATTAATTAAATATATATATACATTTAGAATATTAAATAATAAAGTGTAGAATTATTTAATATATATTAAATATAGATAGTTGGAATAGTAACTAAATTCAATTCATTTTTTTGTTTTTAAAATGCTTTTCTTTAATTGAGGGGGTAAATGTTTAGGTAAAGAAATCTTACCAGCTGATATTTTTGGAGGCGCGTATATTTTTCCAACTGAAACACTTTTTTATCTAATGTTACTTGTAGTATTTTCTTTGTTTTTATACTATAAGACCTTGCTAAATTTAGACTCCATTTCATTAAATTTTTTCTCCATCATTTTAAAGGAATTTACTACCATTTCGCTGAATTCTAAGAGTGATCCATCAAATGAATACCCAGATATCGATCTTGCTGCGATTTCTCTTGCAATGTATTTGCTTTCACCTCCATTTCTTTCACTTCCCTGGCCAAATCTTCTTATTTTCCTAAATCAAAATCCTCATCAAACATGTTAACTGAAAATATAAAATTTTTAATAAAATAATATCAATTACACAGTGAAATAATTTTACTTAAACCTTCTTCAAAATTGGCAAATAATTCAATATAAGTTCCATCTCTGGCTTCATCTGTTAATCGATAGAATGTATTTCTTTGATTCATAAACTTCTTTTCTTATGTACTACACAATATGAAATGCCAAAATCCTTCTCTCAATTTGTCCAACAATTCAACTAATTTATCATTTTATTCAGCATAATTTTCTCCAAAAGTCATAACAATTAAATAATTAGTATATTTTTTTGGAAGTTATTAATTTAAAGATTCCAAAATTCCTTAATATAATTTGCGTTAATTTTATGTTTATCTCCCACTTAAATAATCAAAAAATCCATCTTCCATATAATTTTTACCCATAGTTTCTAGTATACTAATTTTTGATTAAGATTCAATTAATACATGTGTATATTCATCAAAAGTTGATACTTATATCAAATCATCATCATTCATAATTTAAAATATCTAATTATAATTATTTAAACTAATACTTATTTAATAGTTTCTACAACTTCAAGTTGGTTTTCAGCCATTCTTTATGTAGAGTCAATTAGAAATATAAATTATCGTTTTTAATTTTAAAAAAAGTATTGAAGTTATTTTAAAATTTAACTATCAGATTTGAATTTGTCTTATTTTGCAAGTAATGTTGATAACATTTTAATAGTCTTTACTCTTAATTTTGTTTAATAAACATTTCCATAATCTAGAGCTAACATTAATTATTATATTGCAGGCTATAATTAACCACTTGACATATAAATTAATCCCCTATAAAAATAAATTTTCTGTTGAACAACTTACAACAACTTTTTGTCTTAATTAAATGTTTTATTTTAATAAGATGCATTTTTACTTAAGGTGTAGTTTTATTACAAAATTAATTAAGCTTAATCAATGCATTATTCAGCTTCTTTTATTTTCCTAAGATTAAATAATAATTTGCATTTTTTAAAGAATAATTTAATTTGTAAAGTAAATTTAATCTCTAATGTATCTGCAAAATCCATAATATTTGAAAATAATGTTTTTGCTTAATTAAATGCATTTCTATCTCGACTCTTATTCCTAATTAATAATTTTGATAATAAATCTAATAATTGATTTAAAGATTGAAACAATTTATAATTTATCCTCATAATTTCTTCTGATTTAATTAATTATGTGTCTTTCTTTTATTATTCAAGTATAGAAATTAATTACTTATTATATGTGATAGCAGTCTCATAATCTTTTTATCTACTATGCTCTGATACTAATTTCATCAATATTAATTCCAAACATTCAATAGAATTTCTTTTTTAAAAAATTTGTAATCCTTATTCTAATTTTTCTAAATCATGAACCTTTTTATTTAATTGATTTAAGAAATCAATCAACCAACAAAATTCATCAAAAATTTAAAGTAATTCATTTAATTCAGTTAAACTACTTTTTTGATATTCTTTAAATGCAATTAAGTCTTTATGCAAAGTATCATAATCTAATTCAAAAAACATTTACATCATCATGGATACTTAATTTAATGTTATGCTTATTTAATCAAATTCATTTTGAGTTATTATATTTACTAATATAGAAGTCAATAACAAAAAGAGAATAAAAACTTAAAAAAAAAGAAAGAAATCAAAATAATCTTCTTATTTAGTTTCTACTAGATTTTTGTATAACTAATTGTTGAAAGTGGCTAATAATTACCATCTATCATAATTTTATTGAAGAGCATTTAGTTTATCTTATTCTTCTTTAGTTTAATTTATTAAGTCTTCTTTGTATTCTGAATAAAATTCATCATTCTAATAGAAATCAATAAATTATTACGATATCATATGTACCAATATGTATGGATTAATAAAAATAGACCTTAATATCCACCAATGATAAACTAACAATTGGATTTGATGATTCATAATAACGAGTTAAAGGCCGCATTTAATTCATCCAATCAGCTTTATCTATACTCTCTAAAAACTCAACAATGCTTTAAGTATTCTAGTAATCTATATCCATATTATTAAACTCAGTAATTGCACTACATTTCATTTCAACAGTTAGACAGTCATCAGTTACATCTGAAACTACTGAATTATTTATTGTAAACAATGTAGTATACAAAATCCCTTCTGGTTATTTATAATCAGCTAAATCTAATATAAAACATTAATATAATGAATCATTAGATAATAGACCACAAATTTAAGTCAATTAAATGTTGAAAGGAAACAATGTATAAAATATAACTTAATCTTTCTTCTAATTTTTCATATACAAAAAGAGATTAAAATTACCCTTATCATCATAAGAATTATGCAATAATTAACAGAATTTAGGATTATTAGTGCAGTTTGGAGTTGATTTAAAATTATACAAATTTAAAGTGTTATTTGAAGCACTTAAGCTGTCTGAAGTAAGTTATATCACATAATAAGGAAGATTTGGAATATATATTGAAGTAATTTCTTCTATTTATGCAATTTAAGACCTTTCTTTAACTGTAAGAGTGCCTATAATAGTATTTAAAGTTGAATTTTGTTGGGAAATCTCTTTATCATTAAGGGCCAACTTCGTAATGTTGAACAAAAATCCAATTGAGGAAATTGTTTATTAGAGATCAATACCTGTTAATGTGATATTAGCCTTCATTATTTCAATAATAGTCTCATTATTACTTGATATCTGAGCTAGGAATGAATGAAATATATTTACAATTAATCCAATACATTACAAGAACAAATAAAACGCTTAAACTTATAGTTGTTTCAATCAGATCAGCTAAGAATATTGTTTATGTGACGATTAGTTTAAAATGATGTTAAATGTTTGTCATTCTAAATAAAAATGAAATAAAATCGAAAAATATAAATATATAAATGTTTAATGAAACTAAAGATTCACAAAAATACATCATGAGGTGCTTGAGTAGGTGCTTTAGCTTAGCACCTTTAACTACAAGAATTAGCTATATTTCTAATAAATTAATATTTAATATAAAGATATTTCCACTATTAAATGGTATTAATAACTAATTAAGTAAATAATGCAGTTAAAACATTTGATACAACTACCCATCCTATTATCAATTTTTAATCAGCATCCAAAAATTTTAAAAGATCATTAATGCAAAATATAGTGAATAATAATAAAGTTATAAATTATGAAGTTTCACAACTTATTTATTTAATTAATTCTAGTTTATCTTTGATAGGTGAATAGAATATCAAAAAGAAAAGGGTTACTAGACTTAATAAAGTAACTTATAACACTTAAATTATAGGATATTCATAGAGATAAATTAAAAATGTCATAAAAAGAAATTTCTTAATCAATAAAAATGGATTGTATAATTTTTAATATTTTGCTATTTAAAGTCCTGAAAAGACAGATCCAAATTTAATATTATATTATGCCTATTCAATAGCATATCTTTTTTGATCTACAATCTTGAATGATAGAAATGCGATGCAAATATAAATACCCAAAAATAAAAATGTAATTGTAGAATTAATTAATCCAAATGTAGAATTAAAGTCAAGTCCTTTTAAACCTAATGCTAATGTGAAACTATATTCATTTGCAGTAGTCATAAATATTCTTAACAAATCACTATAAAAGAATTCCCTAATTGTAATTAATGCCCATTAGAAAGCAAGATGTTTTAATTTTACTTAAAGTTTAGAAAAATACATTCTGATAGATGATTTAGTATCACTTTGGAACAATAATTATTTTTAGGAGGACAAATATTTGATTGTTATTAAATTAGCTACTAAATAAAATACAAGACCTATTATAAACACAGAAAAAATAGATGTAAAATTAAGAATGAAACATGAATACATTCCTTGTTTCTTAATTTTGAATGGAACAGTAAGAGAATGAAATTCCAAATCATACTCCAATTCATATTAAAATATTTGATCTAGATTAATAAAATCTTAAACTATTGTAAATTAAGCAAAATTTAGATTTTCAAAAAAGGAATTAACATTAAATGGAAATATAGTATTAATGTAATATAAGTAGGATAAGTATTAAAGTGTATCAATAAGGTTAAAATAAATGTCAATACCTCCTAATATCAAACCACAAGCTAATAAAGCTAATAAACTATAGATTATGTAATTAGAACTATTAACAGTATTAGTTGTTAATCCTTAAACTGATTGCGAAATAATTACAATATCAGATATTTTAATTTCTAATAAATTAATTTCTTAAGTCTAATTTTAAGCATTTCTAAATAACGAAGGTGTTAAATATTTAATTAATAAACTAGCATTTGATATAGATCTATCAACATCAAAATCAATTGTAAATGAGAAGTTGGTTAGATTATCTATTTCAAAAATAACATTATTTTTAATTGAGTAATTAATGTTAGCTATTTGATTTAGTTATATTTGTAATTCATCATTAATGTCAAATAATTAGCTCAACTTCAATTCTTAGTCATAAGTTACTAATACTTATCTCTTTGGAGTATATAAATCATATATCTAATTTTCTTATCCTTAAGGAATTGGATTCTTTGTTTTAATACAAACTCCATTTATACAATCGAAACTCTTTTCTAATTAACATATATCACTGCATCCATCTCCATTTATTCTATTTCCATCATCACATTATTCAACATCAGCGAGAATTGCATCTCCACATTTAGAATAACATGAGTTATTATCATAATCTGAATAATATCCTTATTTGAATTCACATAATTAACAATTAATATTTGATTTACTTATATTCAGAAATCTACATTTAGTACATTAACTAGCATTTGATTCACAATGTAAACATTTGTCTGAACATTTATTAATACGAATAGAATTTTCCATATAATATCCATCAATTGCTTATTTACATTTTTGTATTTTGTAAAAGTAATCATACTCACATATTTAACAATATTCTTAACACTTTTCACATTTAGATTACTTTTGAATTTCATTAATACAATAGTATTAGGGTTCTTTTAGACAATTAAAACAACCATCTCTAGATGAATTATTAGCATCATCGCATTCTTCTCCATAAGACCATATACCATCAGTGCAATCTTTATATTTACAAAATTCAATTGCTATAGCTTCTTTAGATTTACAAGATATACAAAGTTGATTTTCATTTAAGAAATGATCAGATTTACAAATACACTTATTATTACTTAAAGTTCTATTTAATTCTAAATTACATGAAGTGCACATTTATTTTTATGTTTAACAAGTTTTACAAGTTAATTCACATTGTAAACATAGTGATTGATTGACATCAAAATAATATCCATCCATACAAATACATTACTAATTTGAGAATCTTACTAACAGATTTTCAATACATTCAGAGCATATTGTTTTAGATAAGCATTTGGAACATAGTTTATCACATTCATTGCATGTATTATTTATTTCATAAAATCCATCAGGACAATAACAAGTATTAGTATCCTCATTTAATTCATAATTTTCATTACATGAAGTACATTTATTACTTACATCAGCACATGTAAAGCAATTATTGGAACATATTTCACATTAATAAGGATTATTTGGTGAACTTAAATATCCAATTTGACAAGTGCATTCATTTTCATCATTTACCATAAGAGATTCATCATTACATGAAGTACATTTGGTTGCTTCATTTTCACATGTTAAACAAGGTGCAACACATTATTCGCATGAGCTAGAGTTCCAATAATATCCTGTGGTACAACTACATACTCCATTTATTGGATTTGGTGACATATTTGAAACATTATTACATGTAGCACAATAGTTATATGAATTTAAACATGATCCACATATTGAAATACATTATTTGCATTGTTTACCATCTGAATAGTAGTTTGAAATGCATAAGCATCCAGAATTAGATGAATTTTTTATTGCATTATCTACACATACATCACATGTATTTGGAGTGCTGTCACATTATTTGCAAAGTGGTAATGTGCATGATTAAATACATTAATCATTACTTAACTTATATCCAGAATCACATTTTTTACATTTAGTTCTACTTTCACATTCAATGCATGGATAGGTACAAAGAAAGCAAGTATAATCTTTTAAATAATACCCATCTACACATTTCTTACATCTCCAATCATCATAGTCATCACATTTTCTACTGTCACATCCAAATGTATCAATTGTTTTTTAATATTTTTATGATTTATAACACCAACAAGAAATACAACAATCATTGTAAGATTTACAGCTCCAACATCCATCCTTTCTGCATGCTTAATAACTGATTTATACCAGCGCTACAAATATAAACAAAAGTCGAAATATCATAATTTAATTACATCATCTCATTTTTTTAGCCTATTATTATTTATATATCATCAATAACGGAAAACCTTTTATTTATGATTATAGGATGATTATCAATTAATTTGGTTAGTTTATGCTTAATTGTTGAAAAAATATAGTTTAGGAAATATCTGAAACGTTATCTAATATTTCAATAATTATCTCAACTCAAAATACATTCCATTAGAAATTTAATTTTATATATTTTCAAATATAATTAATATAATATATTTTTATTGGATATTATTTTAAAACAGATCTTAACAATTTTCTAAATATTTTTTGTAAATCTTTCCTAAACTCTATATGAACTTACTCAACATAAACATAATANGTTTTAGATAAGCATTTGGAACATAGTTTATCACATTCATTGCATGTATTATTTATTTCATAAAATCCATCAGGACAATAACAAGTATTAGTATCCTCATTTAATTCATAATTTTCATTACATGAAGTACATTTATTACTTACATCAGCACATGTAAAGCAATTATTGGAACATATTTCACATTAATAAGGATTATTTGGTGAACTTAAATATCCAATTTGACAAGTGCATTCATTTTCATCATTTACCATAAGAGATTCATCATTACATGAAGTACATTTGGTTGCTTCATTTTCACATGTTAAACAAGGTGCAACACATTATTCGCATGAGCTAGAGTTCCAATAATATCCTGTGGTACAACTACATACTCCATTTATTGGATTTGGTGACATATTTGAAACATTATTACATGTAGCACAATAGTTATATGAATTTAAACATGATCCACATATTGAAATACATTATTTGCATTGTTTACCATCTGAATAGTAGTTTGAAATGCATAAGCATCCAGAATTAGATGAATTTTTTATTGCATTATCTACACATACATCACATGTATTTGGAGTGCTGTCACATTATTTGCAAAGTGGTAATGTGCATGATTAAATACATTAATCATTACTTAACTTATATCCAGAATCACATTTTTTACATTTAGTTCTACTTTCACATTCAATGCATGGATAGGTACAAAGAAAGCAAGTATAATCTTTTAAATAATACCCATCTACACATTTCTTACATCTCCAATCATCATAGTCATCACATTTTCTACTGTCACATCCAAATGTATCAATTGTTTTTTAATATTTTTATGATTTATAACACCAACAAGAAATACAACAATCATTGTAAGATTTACAGCTCCAACATCCATCCTTTCTGCATGCTTAATAACTGATTTATACCAGCGCTACAAATATAAACAAAAGTCGAAATATCATAATTTAATTACATCATCTCATTTTTTTAGCCTATTATTATTTATATATCATCAATAACGGAAAACCTTTTATTTATGATTATAGGATGATTATCAATTAATTTGGTTAGTTTATGCTTAATTGTTGAAAAAATATAGTTTAGGAAATATCTGAAACGTTATCTAATATTTCAATAATTATCTCAACTCAAAATACATTCCATTAGAAATTTAATTTTATATATTTTCAAATATAATTAATATAATATATTTTTATTGGATATTATTTTAAAACAGATCTTAACAATTTTCTAAATATTTTTTGTAAATCTTTCCTAAACTCTATATGAACTTACTCAACATAAACATAATATAAGTAAATCCGTAATATTAATTAATACCATTTACTACTTCAATAGTACAAAAATAATTATATTAAATTTGAATTATTTAATTTTTATTAAAATAACTTATCATAATCCTATGTCATCTTTGAAATTCCAAATATTTAATAGATATAAAATTCTGACTAATAGAAAATCTCTAGCCATTTAAATTGAGGCTTCTACTACATTTAAATGAGATCCTTCAACATCCTCCCATTTCACAGGTAATTCTGAGACTGGAACTTTATATTTTTAAGCAATCATAAATAACTCTACATCAAATGCCCATCTTTCTAAATGTAATACTCTAAATAAAATTGCTGAAGTATTTTTAGTAAATAACTTAAATCCACATTGAGTATCCTTTAGTCTAACACCACATATAGTATTAATGATAAAATTAGAACAATGCATTAAAATGTTTCTGTACCATTTTCTTTGAACAACAACATCTTTCACTAAATGATTTCTTGATCCTGCTACTAATCCTAATCCATTTTATGTTATTTTTATTAACTATAATATTTTTGTAATATATATCTACTTCTTTTGATAATTTCTCATATTCATTTAAATCTGTAGCTAAATCTGCATCCATCATTAACTATATTTCACCTACAGCTGCTAACATTCCTAATCTTACTGCTCCTCCTTTTCCTCTATTCTTATTATAAGTAATAATCTTAAAGTTTTAATTGTTTATCTAATACTTCTTGGCTACTTCTAATGTTTTATCTTTGGATGCATCATTTATGATTATTATCTCATATTTATATTTATTAAAGTGCTATCAAATATTGAATAAATATTTACTTTAAATGTAGCTTCTAATGTTCTTCCTAATCTATTTTCTTCATTATATGATGGAATAATTATGCTTAATTAAACATCAGATGTATTCTTATATGTGGAATACTTGAATTCTTTTCCATCACATATTATTACTATGCTATCATCCTTTTTAACTGTTTTTTGTTGGTTTTTCCAATTTGTATAAGGTGTAAATAACCACTTAATTCCAATTAATAACCCAACAAAAATAACAAATAGTAATATTTCTAATAACATTATTTTTATTATTGTTGATAGCACAATTTTTAATATAAATCTTTTAATAACATTACGTGTTTATTTATTACATTAAACATCATCGTATCCTCTAAATTAATTATCATTAAACACTTTTATATCTTATCTTGTTAATATTCCCAATAAATTGAGACAAAATAATTTGAGATAATTACAATATATATTTTAATTACTTTTAAACATGAAATAATCAGCATTTATAATATAAATTATCTTTACATTTGATTAAATTATCATTAAGTAGTTTAATAAGGTGAGCTTGAACTGCAATCTTTACAAATTTCTTTACATATGGATCATTCACATCTGGATAAACAGCCAATATTACTTCATCAATTGATTATCCATTTATTGCTTAGTAGATCTATTATTCTCTATTCTTTCTGTGATTAATTTATTTAGAAATTGCTTCTTGCGCTCCTTCAACTATTGAGTATCCATGACCTGGATATATAGTTTTACTATGAATTGTGATATATATAGATAATACATCTTCATTTTTTCTACTTTTTCCATATTTTCTAAATACTATTTAACATTTTCTATGAAACAAGAAGAACCTCCCAATAAACAATCACCTGAAAACCATTCTTAATTTTAGGTTATAAAACTAAAATGATCAACACAATGTCCAGGTTATGAGATAGCTGTGATGATGCAATTTTCAACTTAGAAAATTTATCCATCCTAAAGTGGAAGCATAGGATATAGTTTATCATTTTCCAAATTATGATCTAAATTTTTATATACTTTAGCATTTGGACATAATTCAATTACTTAAGGTATTCCTCCCATATGATCTAAATGATGATGAGTTATAAGAACAATTGAAATTTCACATTACTCTTATTCTAAAATTTATTTCAAGTGTATTTTGTATTATTCTTTACCTTCACCTGTGTCTATTAAGATTCTTTTATTGCCTGTTCCAATTAAGTATGTATTGGTTCCTTGTAGTGTTAATTACCCTGGATTATAGCCCGGTATTAAAATCATAAATAAAAATAATGACAGACACCATTCTGGGAGGTGAGATTAGTGAATTTGTAGCTAATCGTCAATATGCCAAGATTCAATATTTACAAGAGGAGAATAAATAATTGTAAGAATAATTGAAGGATATGGAAAAAGCATTAAAATTGAATAAAGAAGTTCTTCGTTTAACACTTGAACAAAAGTAAAAATACTTATATATTATATAAGTCTAAACAATTCCAATAATTCAACTAATTCTAGTGAGTAAATTCAAACTATTCAATTACAAATGAAATTACATGAAGAGAATGAAATGCTTAGAAATTAAATGTCTAAATTGACTGATGAAAGAAATATAGCTTAAAATAAAGTATCTATTTCAATTAAAAATCAAGGTTTTGTTATCTTAACAAATATCTGAAGAAAATTAAGCATTTTATAAAGATCTAATTGTTGAATTGGAAGAAAAATTAGGAGAATTAAGAAGATGCATATAAGATAAAGAATATACTATATAAGACATTGAGAAAAATAGAGGTTTGAATGATAATGGATAAATGGTAAAGATTAGAGAAATAGTAACACCACATGAATAATCTTTAAGATTACATGAAGAATTAGAATCCACTAGATAGATATTAAATAAACTATCTTAGGAATCATAGCATTTACAAGAATAAAATAAATTACTTAAAGACATAAATCAAGTATATTTTAAACATTTATTTTTAGAATTTCAAAAGAGAGTTAATTAAACTTAGAATTATATTGAGAAGTCCTTTGGCATATTACAAAATGAAAAGTAAGTATTAATCTATAATTATAAGATTTCATTTATAATGATGATCCAGGTGATTCTGCTGATAATTTATAATTACATGAAGAAATATTTCAAAATCAACCCTTTAATCAACCTTCAAATGAAGCCCCTCCTTAAAACTAATTTCGTTGTGTTTGCTAATAATAATTAACAAATACAATGAAATATTTGACTAATAATGAAAGGTATTTAAATAGATCTTTAAGTTTAGAGCAAATTATTAAGAAAAAATATAGAAAACAGAGACTTTATTAAAAGGATTTAAGGAGTTATTTGAAAAGGAAAAAAATAAAGTAGCTTTGTTAGTATAATTAACAGATAGTTTGGAAAAGAAAATAAATGAATGTTATAATTAAAATGAATTGATAATTAAGGGAATTAGTAGTAGAGATTAAAAAATAGAATAATTACAAGCTGAAGTTCAATATTATAGAACTTAATATGGTAATTACATTCATTTTCTTAAAAATAAAAGAAAGATTAATTTAAATTTATCATTTTAATTGAAAGAAATTTCAACAAATCTATAACCTACACCACCCCCAATACAAAATACAAATAATAAAATATTATCAGATTTTGAAAAGGGTCCTGATGATACTGAATAACATATAAGTATTTTAGAAGATCCAGTAGATGATTAATCACCAGATATTAAAAAGAGTAATAAAATAGATGGTTAATCAAAAGTTAATTAAAAATTAAGCAATATTCTAGAGCATAATTATTCTTAAATGAATTAGTTAGAATGTAAATAGTTGTTGTTAAATACTGCTAAAGATCTTTACCTTAATTATAATTTAAAAATGAATAATTTTATAAAAAAGTAACTTATGGATCCAAAAAAATGTCTTAAAGCTAAACCAATCTGGCATTTAAAATCAAGTAGTGATCCTTTAGATTATTTTACATTACAATATCAAAATCTATAGATTTCTGGTAAAAGTGAATTCAAATAGAATGATGATTTAGCAAATTTCTTAAAAAAAAAATAACCAAAAGCAGCAAAAGAACATGAAAAAAATAATTGGGATTTCTTAAATGATTTTTCAATGATTTAAGGGGAAAAAAATAAATAAATTTTATCTGAAAATTATGGATTTAATGAAATGGTTTTAAATTGATAAATTAAAATAAATGATGATAATTAATTATTATTAAATATCATAATGTATAATTATTGATTAAAACTTCTTAATCTAATTTATAAATTTTAATTATAATAACAATATATCTTAAATTCTTATCATTATTATTATTAATCTTTAATTACTAATTTTAATTCTTTTAATTAATTTTCATAATTATCAAGAAGTAATATTTATTTAATATAATATATATATCTAAACATTAAAATAATTAATTGATAAATTAAATTGCCAAAAATACAAACATTAATGAATTGTAATCAATAATATAATTTTTCAATTGCAGTCTTAGGACTATTATAATTCTAAAATTCTCTTAGCTTAAATGTTTCTTAAAGGACTTTTCTACAATCATATGCAGGAAGAACATCAGATATTAAGAAATCATACAATAACTTTAATTCCTTATCATCTTTATTATCATAATATGGAATTATAGGAATTCCATTCTCAATATGATAGCCAAAACTATATGCAGCATTATCAATCAATACAATATCTTTCATATCTCTACCCAACACTCTAAGATCTTTTATATGTACTCCATCATTTGTTATTATGCAACTTTCTCTAAATAATTATGCACTTAAGATTTTCTTATGATCTAAAAACTGAATCACTTAAGAAGCATAACATTGATGTGAAGCTGTAAAGATAACTACTTCACAAACTTCTGATAATTAACTCAATATTTATTTCGCCCATGGCCTTATATTGATGCCTGCTGATACTGTATCACCAGTGGGAAATGTAATTGGCAAATATACATCAGATTTTATGTTTTAATTTTCATTACAATGAATGAGAGTTTCATCAAGATCAAAAACAACAGTTTTTTGAACTAAATTGTATCAATAAATTACATTTTGTATTTTTTTGTTGTAAATTAATTAGTTTCTTTTCTATTACATTATTGGTTGGTTCTATTTAATTTAAGCAGAAACCTATGCTATTATAAGTTTATAAGGCATGATCTCTATATAATTAACTTTAGGAATTATCTGCTCCATTGATGGCTTCAATCATAGAGCTCACATAATATATATTTTCTAAATTAACATTTAAATTACTTCTTGAAGTAGAGAATATTCTATTGTTTGGTGAAAGTGATTTTGCCTATTTAAATGGAGAAATAGTTGAATTATTCTTCGAGGGATTTGATATCTTAATTTGAGTAACAAAATCATCTAAACTTAAATGTATATTAAGTGGTTATTTTTAATCTTAAATTTAATTGTTATTATTTTATGTCTTATTAATGGTTACAACTTTTTCTGTTTTAGGTTTAGATATTAATTTGTTTTGATCTAAAGAAAGTAAATTATATTTTCGATCAGTATTAGATTTAGTGGATATGCCAAAAGAATTATCCTTGATCAAGCTATTACTTGCTTTAGTGTAACTTTGCTGTAATGTTTTACTGATAAGCTAGGAAATTTGTATTTTGCTTTATTCTTTCTACTTTGCATAAAAGTAATACTAATATTATTATAAATACATTACTTATGGTTATGGATGTGCAGATTTAGGTGTATTAGTTCTAACACCTGGATTAATAAAAGCATTATTTTAAGAAACCTATCTAGAAATGGAAGATTTCTTATCTTTAATTAAGGTACTTAAACTCTATGTTTAGTATAATTTGGATAATGTGCTTTTATAAACTTCAGCAGAAGGAATAGGATGTTATTCATATTGTTTTGTGAGTTTAGCTTTTAAACTGGAGCTATCCAACCGAGAAGGAGTAGTTTTATTAATATTAAATTACATTAATATATTATAATATAAGGATATAAGGATATAATGGAAACAAAATATTGTAATTGTTATAATGTATATATTATTTTTTTTCATTTGGTGGTTTCTGCAGCAACTCTTTTAGCTTCTTCAATAACATCTTCAAATGTTCCTTGCATATAGAATGCATTTTCTGGGTATTCATCACCTTCACCATCAAGTAAAGCTAAGATTAATAAAATAAAAAAATACCTCTGAATCCAGCAATAGTGTCACTAAGTGATACGAATTTACCCTTTCTTCCTGAGAACACTTCAGACATGAAGAATGGTTATGAAAGGAATCTTTGTACTTTTCTTGCTCTAGAAACAGTGAGTTTATCGTCTTCAGATAATTCATCCATACCCAAAATGGCAATGATATCTTGGAGTGATTTGTAATCTTACAATAATTTTTAAACTCCTCTAGTAACTGTATAATGTCTATTATAATTTAAATTTAGTAAATTACTTTTCACCAACAATATTTGGGTCCATCATACGAGATGAAGAATCCAATGGATCGACAGCTGGATAAATACCTAATTCTGTTAATGCTCTTGATAACACAGTTGTAGCATCCAAGTGAGCAAATGTTGTTGCAGGTGCTGGATCTGTAAGATCATCTGCAGGTACATAAATAGCTTAGACTGATGTAATTGATCCCTTCTTTGTTGTTGTAATACGTTCTTATAATTAACCTAAATCTGTTGCCAATGTTGGTTGATAACCGACAGCTGATGGAATACGTCCCAATAAGGCTGACACTTCTGAACATGCTTATGTAAATCTGAAAATGTTGTCAATAAAGAGTAACACATCTTTTCCTTCCTCATCTCTGAAATATTCTGCAACTGTTAAACCAGTCAAACCAACTCTGGCTCTAGCACCAGGGGGTTCATTCATTTATCCATAAATAAGAGCACATCTTGATCCACCACTCAAATTGATAACGCCTGATGCAACCATTTCATGATAAAGATCATTTCCTTCTCTTGTTCTTTCCCCTACACCTGCAAATACTGAATAACCACCATGAGCTTTAGCTACATTATTAATCAATTCTTAAATAAGCACTGTTTTTCCTACTCCTGCACCACCGAACAATCCAATCTTTCCTCCTCTTGCATATGGAGCCAATAAATCTACCACCTTGATACCAGTGATCAAAATTTCAGCACCACTACCTTAATCTACAAAACTTGGAGCTTCTCTGTGAATTGGATATCTAATTTTTGTTTCAATTGGACCTCTCTCATCAATTGGATCACCAATCACATTCATAATACGTCCCAAGGTTTCTGGACCAACTGGAATTGTAATTGGACCTCCTAAATCTGAAACTGGTTAACCACGAATCAATCCTTCAGTGGAATCCATAGCAATTGTTCTAACTCTACTATCACCCAAATGTTAAGCCACTTCCAAGATCAATTTATGACTTGTCCCTTAAACTTACAATGCATTCAAGATTGGAGGAAGAGGTCCATCAAACTGAACGTCGACAACAGCACCAATTACTTAAGCAATTTATCCTGTAGTTGTTGTTGCTGTTTTGCCTGTCTCTGCTTGCTTCTTAGCAGCGGAGAATCCTATTAAACTCTTTATCATGAATATCTACCTAGACGCATCTATTTGGCTAATGCCCTTGTGAGCATTTTATTTATTTAAATAATTTTTAGATATTCTCATAAAGGATATTCAAAATTTAAATAAGCGATTTATCAATTAATTACATGATGTCTCTCTCTCATTTCTTCCATTCAACCATTTCCTCCCTTCCTACAATCCTCATTTTATCCAATAATTAATCTAGAATACTTTTTCTTTTTATCAACTTCCCCAAGATTCAATCCTATTTAATAGGCACTCAATTAGCATTATTAATTCTATCCATATATATAATTATCTTTTTTTAGATAATGAATATATATTCATTATTCATATTTCATTTCACATCTGACTTCAATTTTTTAAGTCCCTCTGTTATAACCTATTGGAAGCCCTTGAAATTGCCGCTGTATTCCTCAAATCCTTTGAAATATTTTGCAAACACATGACTTGACATTTATGATAAATAAATACTTTGAAAATTAGAAGAGCTTAGTCTACTTTGATTACCCAAAATTTAATCCTGGTACTACTTAACCATCTCTCACATCCAACTAAAATATTAAAGATTTCTACCTCCTATCTGGTACGAGCTGTTGCAAGTGATTAGAGTACATGTTCCTAGAATTCAACATGAGCTTTTTATTCAGCTGCCTCTCTATTAAATTACTATGATAATTAGCTTACCTTAAACATGATATAGCATCATTATAAGATTTAAGAAACACCTTGGCTTCGTAATAGGGTTACTCTGTGAACATAATTTTTAATAAAATAAATCAAATTAGTCTTAAATTAGGCAATCCTACAAATATAAAATTATGTGTATAGATTCTCTTTTTATCAAACTGAACCTCTTTAAGATTAGAAGTATCTTAAACAGGTTCTACCTTACCGCCTTTCTTTATTTCCACCTACTACGGTTTCTTATCAATTATATTTCCATTCTCATCTTAAAACTTTATGATTGGAGCCTAATCTAATAAGTATTTAAATACTTTATATCTTTATAAACATGCAGCTACATAAATATCTTCAGTAAGTTATTTAACCAAATTTTCAAATGCTTTTAAAAATTCAACAATTTAAGGAGACCATTATGTTGTTAAAATTGTACTCACATCTATTAAAGTCAAAAATACAGAGATTTTGAAATTTTACTCTAATATGTGAGTTTTTTCACCATCAGGATCTAAAGATGAAAACTTTTCAATCAAACTTTTTTTTGCATTCATTTTATCAAATATTACCCAAAATTTAGATGTGTTTATTTCCGAAAGGTCAATAATTACTTTTGATGATAAAATATTTAATATTCCTGGAGATCCATACCAAAATATAGAAGATCCAGTTTAAGCATATTTTTGTAATTCTCCCAAAGATGCTAATCTACTTTAAGAAAAAGTCTAAAAATATATAAGAATGATTTACTCCTTCAAATTTTAATTATGGTGTTGTTTTTTGTATTTCACCTAAAGTTTTTTATAAATTAAAATCATCCAAATTTAAATCTTAATCCTCTGTTTTAAAATCATAAGTAATATATTTTAATTTATCTTTCTCTATTCCTTTTTAACTATTATTTAATTAAACTTAGAAACCAACACTTTTAAGTCTTCTAACATATAAAGCCATACTAAAATCTCTCGACATTGCAACAATCTTTTCAAATACATTCAATTATTCAATAGGATAATCAAAGAACTTTGGATCTATAAGCAAAACTACAGTATCTATTTTACCAGGTGCTTATTCCAAAGGAGATTCATATAATGCTAATTCATCTTTTCCTGGTTTTCCTTTAGTTTACTTTCCTTAATCTTTCTTTGGAGGAGGTGCTTTTGGATCGATTACAGGTGGAGGTACTTCTTCTTAAATATTGATATTTTCATTAATTAACTAAGGTATAAAACTCATGAATTATTCCACATCCTAACAAAATTTAGTATATTCCTTTTCCATATCATCTTCCAATTTTATGAAATCTTATTATTGAATTATTGGTGTTTTAATTAAATTATTTTTAATTTAATCTAAATTAGCTTTCATTTAATTCATTTAATCATGAGTTTTAGAATCAAGTAAAATTCTTTAAACTTTATAAACTGGAGTTTTTGTATTATGTAAATACCCTAAGTATAAACATGTTTTATTTTGACTCATTTACATAATTAGAAATCCAGCACTCTATTATAATTAGGCCTAAAGATCTGTCAATGGAAAGATCATAAGATTATCCCATAATTTATTAGCATCAGTTAATAATTTAACAGCATCCTAATTAAGAAATCCACATACTGAATTTATCATTTTTATTAATCTGATATACACTATCATTTTATGCTTACCAAAGAATGATTGTCTTACCATATTAAACATTTATTCACAAAAAGCAAAATGCTATAACTTACATAAATAATCATAAGATATTTCAGGACTTTTAATTCCTAATATATCTAAAGCAGATTCATAAAGCATTTTCAAATAAAAGCTCATTTGCTTGAATTCAAATATACTCCATTCTAATGGGATGGTTGTGTTATCCCCTTTCGCTTTCAATACAGTAAATGCTTTTGATTCAATATCTTTAATCAATTTTAATACACTTTATAGAGCATCAGTCTTATAATCAAATTAATTGTCTTCCTATAATAAAACAACTTAATCTTGTCCTTAAAGAGGTGTTTCCCATACATCATCCAATTACTATTTACTTATAGCTAGATATCTTTTTGCTCTTACTAATTCAATTTCAGCTATTGTGTACCAAAATGAATCTTTTTTTAATTATTTCAAAGTAGATAATAAAATAGCAGTTGCTTTTTCAAAACTCTCTAATCTTTAAGGAAGAGGTTATATTGCTCTTTATATTTTAATTGTTAATTATGTTAAAAATTTTTAAAGTGGTTCATAATTACTTAATTGTTCAATTGGTTTATCTTCTAATTAATCATTATTATTGTCATCATCAGATCCTTAAAGATCAGGTAATTGCATTTATTTTCGTAACCACTTAATCAATCCCATTTCAATAAAACAAGAGGCCATTACAACACGTATCTTTGCTTATAAATCCATAATTGGTGATCTAATTGATTCTGATTCTTTTTCAATAAGTAATGTATATTTTAATAAGGATCTACTTTATTATTCTAATGGTTTAAGAATGGAATTCTATAATTTTTAAATAATTTTAAAATAGATTTCAACTTAATCAATTTTAGTGTAATTTTTATTTCGAATAAAGATTAGAATTTTATTTACTAAATTTAAAATTAGATCTATTTAATGTGTCATAAATCCTCCATGTTGTATGCATTTTAATGATTTTTCTAAATTCTCCATAACTTATTTGAATATATCATAAGAAAATTCTTTAAATAAATCTTTTGTTGATATTTTAGATTATAATATGTATAAAGTTGTTAATGTTTGATAAATTTATAATTTATTAGGTGAATAATTAGGTTTATTTAAGACTTCCAATAAGACTTCTGTAATTTATTTTAAAAATTGTCTAATATCATCATATTTCCCTAATTTATATAAAGTCTTATATGTTTCAATTGATGAAATTTCCCATTGACTTACATTTTTAATCAATTTATGAGAAAGCTTGTGATTTTCAATTGAATCTTTAAATTCACCTTCCATAAATGCAATTTATCCTTACAAACATAAAATTCTACCCATTAATTCTAAATCTGAAACAATTTTAGCATGTTTATGAGATTCAACTAATAATTCTTTAGCTCTATATATTTCCCCTTGATAAAATAATTCATTCCCTAAATCAGTTAAAATTGTATAGACAAAGATTTCACTAATAACATTAGCCTAAGGAAGATTTTATTCCATAATATCTGTTGGTCTGGATCTATTTTACTATAAAACACTAGATTCTGTTTTTGCAAGTAATTATTTTTTTTCTTGATCAGTCAATTTAAATTTAACAATATTAGATTATTAATACATTCCATCAGCTTCATTATGAAATCCTACTTAATGTAAACATTTACTAAATCTAACATCAATTAATTTATCTAAATAAGAATTATTTAATATTTCTTTAACAAAAAATTTCTAGAATACAAAAATTGGAACATTATGAATTTATAGTCCATATTTTTCAAAGATACTAATAAGATTGTTTATATAAGTATATGTTAATTAAGCCTTATCAAATAAGTATTTACCCATAAAATTAAAATCCTCATAACTTTTTACTCTTTCTAAGAATTCTTTACTGAATTACAATTTAATCCAATCTTAGATACAATTTGGTAGAAGATATCTAGGTGAGAAATCATCTTATTATTAAGGTTTTGGTTATTATTATTGTTGTTTACTTGTTTTTTCATCTATAATATTAGTGTATTTGGCAGCATTCTCTTCAAATTCATTCATAGTTTAAAAAGAAATTTCAATAATTTTAATTAAGAATACTTTAGCATCTATTGCATATTAAATAGATTATTCCATTGTATCTGAAATCATAGCTAACATAATATGAATTCTCATTAATCTTTCATAATGAGCACAATTCAATCTATTAGGATTAGCTTCCTCTTCTCTTGGTCTGAATATTTTTGATTTTTATTTATTACTTTTAATTGTTGTAGTTCTAACATTTGCTGCTCTTGAAAATCTTTAATTACTTGATTTCTATCCAGATATTTATGACTTTTATTCTTTGCTTTTATTTTACTTAACAGTATTCTTAGTAGTTTTTTTAGTCATTTTAGATTTTTGTTTTGATTATTTAGAAACTGTAGACTTTTTACCTCTTGTACTTCTACTAAAAATAGTTGATGAATTCTATTCTTCATCTCCTTCTTCTTCTTCTTCATCTTCTTCCATTTCAATTTCTATTAATGTATCTGCAGCTTACATTAAATTCTCTATAACCAATTGTTTTTCATTTCCATTTCTTAATAACCATTCTGAAAATTCTATTAATACTTCAACTATTTCAACAGAAGAATCTTTCTTTAACAATTCAATAGCTTTATTATATGCTGTATATTATTTATAAAGATTATTTGATACTCTTGCTAATCTAATCCAAACTTTAGCTTATAATGATGAATCTGCTTCTTTCATATTTACAATAGCTTATAATTCATTTTTACCTTATTTACTCATAAAAATCATTTTAGCTTCCCAAATTGGTTTTGACATATTCTTAGGTACTAATTCAAATACCATATCTGCTGCCATTTCACCTAATTTATAATCTTCATTTTCTAAAGCACTTTTAAATAATAATTATGCTAATAGTAATACTAAATCAGGTTCACTTTTTTCTTTACATTCTTTTAAGTAATTTAAACATGAATATACTGGTTTAATTAAATGTTTTCTATTTTATGCACTCTCTTCTAATCTTGCACACAAATTCCAAACTTATTTTGATGCATCCAAAACTAAAATATTAATACCTGCCTTTAATCCTTTATTTGCAGCTTCAATTGCATGAAATAAACTTGAAAATAACAAAGATTCTTAAGATTCAGTTTCTTATGTTTCTGAATTAAGCATTCTTAATAAATTTTCACTATATATATATTCAGCCAAAGAATACCATCTCAAACGAGAAGCAGGAATAGTTGATAAATCTGCTGTTAATAATTATAAAGAGTATTATACACATCTCAATGAATATTTATACATTAAAATAGATTCTTCATTTAATGCTAATCTTGCTAATCTAGCCCATAATTCAGCATGTAATTCTAATTCAGTTTCATCATTTTCTTTTGCTGTCCAACTAACAAGTGTTTCAAAACATTTTTTAATAAGATCTTATGTTTGAGCTTTATTTGTTGAATTTTAAATAATTTCTAATTATGAAACAACATCAAAAATAACACTATCAGATGATGATTATTATGGTTATTTAGTACCTTTTTTATCTTATTAAGTTCCAGGTTTAGCAGCATTAGTTTTAGTTGTTCCAGACACTCTTGCTTTAATTGAATTAATCAATTTACGAGTGTGAGGTGATAAAGGAGTCAAAAGAAGAGCTTCGCAAACTCTCATAACTTCATCATATTAAGATTTCCCTTCCATTAATCTTGCATACACTAAACCTATATTAGCTAATACTTAAATCTTTGTATCAATATCATAATCATTTATTAATTTTTTTTCAATTTCTTTTAAAGAATTCTTCATTATTTCAAAGAATTCTTTCAATAAATTTGTAATTTCTGGTAACAATTTGCTATCATTAATAGGATTACGGAATATTGTAAGAAAATTATTCCAAATATATATAGCTCCATTAAATACTAACCAAGTTTATTTGATAGAATCTGCTAATTTTAANATTTTAGCTTCCCATATAGGTTTTGACATATTCTTAGGTACTAATTCAAATACCATATCTGCTGCCATTTCACCTAATTTATAATCTTCATTTTCTAATGCACTTTTAAATAATAATTATGCTAATAGTAATACTAAATCAGGTTCACTTTTTTCTTTACATTCTTTTAAGTAATTTAAACATGAATATACTGGTTTAATTAAATGCTTTCTATTTTATGCACTCTCTTCTAATCTAGCACACAAATTCCAAACTTATTTTGATGCATCCAAAACTAAACTATTAATACCTGCCTTTAATCCTTTATTTGCAGCTTCAATTGCATGAAATAAACTTGAAAATAACAATGATTCTTAAGATTCAGTTTCTTATGTTTCTGAATTAAGCATTCTTAATAGATTTTCACTATATATATATTCAGCCAAAGAATACCATCTCAAACGAGAAGCTGGAATAGTTGATAAATCTGCTGTTAATAATTATAAAGAGTATTATACACATCTCAATGAATATTTATACATTAAAATAGTTTCTTCATTTAATGCTAATCTTGCTAATCTAGCCCATAATTCAGCATGTAATTCTAATTCAGTTTCATCATTTTCTTTTGCTGTCCAACTAACAAGTGTTTCAAAACATTTTTTAATAAGATCTTATGTTTAAGCTTTATTGGTTGAATTTTAAATAATTTCTAATTATGAAACAACATCAAAAATAACACTATCAGATGATGATTATTATGGTTATTTAGTACCTTTTTTATCTTATTAAGTTCCAGGTTTAGCAGCATTAGTTTTAGTTGTTCCAGACACTCTTGCTTTAATTGAATTAATCAATTTACGAGTGTGAGGTGATAAAGGAGTCAAAAGAAGAGCTTCACAAACTCTCATAACTTCATCATATTAAGATTTCCCTTCCATTAATCTTGCATACACTAAACCTATATTAGCTAATACTTAAATCTTTGTATCAATATCATAATCATTTATTAATTTTTTTTCAATTTCTTTTAAAGAATTCTTCATTATTTCAAAGAATTCTTTCAATAAATTTGTAATTTCTGGTAACAATTTGCTATCATTAATAGGATTACGGAATATTGTAAGAAAATTATTCCAAATATATATAGCTCCATTAAATACTAACCAAGTTTATTTGATAGAATCTGCTAATTTTAACCCTTTAACAAAATTAGAGCACATTTTTCTTTTTAAAGATAATACTTAATCTTTTTTTTCTTAACTTAATTCTTCTATATTTTCATTCTCTTCTACTCTAATAGGATCAGCAAAAGGTATTTCAAAATTATCTTTAATTAAATTATCTATAATCATTTATGCCATTCTATATTAACATTCTACTTGAGCAAGTATCATTTCAGATGCATTTTTTACATCCCAAGTATCATTACATACAAATTCACAAGCTTTAAATGCTAAATCATTAAATTCCCATTCAAATGCTAATCTAGCAATTTCAGCTGCTAATAATTTCTTTTATTTAAATTAATATAAATTTTCTTATTTTTTTAATACTTTTTCTCTATTTTATTCTTCTTCAACTAAATCTAATTTAGTATCATACCAATATTCCTATTCTTACAAATTAACAATAGTTCCTAAACATTTCTATAAAATATCTATTCTTAAATTTTCAGATTTAGCTGCTTATACATTCTCTAATTAAGTAATTACTCTTTCAATATCATTTTTAGGTTCTTAATAAATATTTAATTTTAATCTAATCTTTTCTTCTAAATTCCTTAGATATTTATCATAAGGTCTTTAATATAAACCTAAATCTTCACCCTCATCATATTTAAATTGCACTTTCCCTAATGGTACACTATAATCTAATTGTAATGCTTTTTTTATATGTTATTCTGCTTTCACAGCTAAATCCTCTTATAAATCACTCTTTGCTAATTCAATATGGAAATTGACTCTTAATGCATGATCTACACATTATAATTATTCTAATAGTTAACAAGCCATAGAAAATGCCTTATATACATGAATTCTATATTAAGCATTTAAAAATGGTAATGATATATTCCAAATTAATACAGCTCCTTCAAAAATGAGATCAGGATCATTTAATTTTTTATTTGTTACCATAACTTTCTCCATAGTTTTTAATGCTTCTATTCTTCTTTCAACTTCTTGCATTTTAATTTATAAAGAATTCAATCTCATTCCTGTCTTATTATCAATTAATGGACCTGCTTTCTTTATGAATAATTCTGCCTTATTATATTCATGTAAAATGTAGGCCTTTTAATGTAGTTATCTAACTCTACTCAAAAATGCAGTAATTGAATCTGCTATATTTACTAAATTATATTGTAATGCTACTCTTCCTGATTCAGCCAATCTTTCTTAAAATACTGGTGCTAACTTATTAGTAGCTGCTACTTCATTTCCAGGTAATACAGCACTTGAAATAGAATTGATTAGATTTATTAATTCTTTTTCAACTTAAGCTTCAGGAATCAAACCACTTCTCATTTTCTAAAGCATAAATAATGATTTCCAAGCTTTCTCTGATGGAGCAGATTCTGATTCCTTAAATGCTGAATCCAATGCTTATTTATATTCCTTACCAATATGTATTCTTAATCTTAATAGTGAATTCTAAAAATCACAATCTCCTTTCTTTTTTGTTGTTTCCCATAGTTTATCTAATAATTTAAATGAATCTGCTTTTCTATCATCATACAAACAATAAAATAATAGCCAAGTGAATCTACATCTCCAATCATAATCTGCTTCATCTACTTCTTCAAACATTCTATCTATTTTATCCAAAATATCAACAAATGATAATTACCATTATGGTTTAAGCATGGGTCTAATAATATTATAAACACAAATAGAAGCATTATAAATAAGAAATCCATATTTTTATTTATTTTCTGGTTTAGAAATAATATCTAATCCTTATTATACATATGTTAATGACAATTTTAAATTTTTGATCATTTCTTCTGCTTTTAATAATCTATCATGACCATTCATGGATATAAGTCTAGCTTTAATGAATAAAGCTCTAATGTAAAACTGTCCCTAAGAAGAGTTGCGTTAAAAATAAAGATCTATATATTATTGAGCTATGTGTTCTTTATCTGGAACAACAAGACAAGCTTCACAATACTTTATGATAATTTCTTATGAAATATCTAAAAAAGAGGATCTGTTTAATTTACATATTATCATTACCTAATATTTTTCTTTAGTATTTAGTTGATCTTATCAATACAATCTTATCCCTAACTTAAAAATGTTTCATTATCATCCTTATGATCAATAAAAAAACGAGCTTCTGTAATTAAGTTATCTATAATGTACTCCTCGTTACTCATTTTTAATTTAATATTAATCTTATAATATATATATTAAATCAAGAATAGAGGTTTCTTTTTACTTCTCTCATTTTAATGATGTCTTAAACATTAATTTGTGGTTTAGGAAGTGTAGGATCCTTTTGTTTTTTCATTGATGAAGTCTATGATTTACTAGAATATATATATTTTTTTAAATACTTGGAAAAAGTATAAAAGTTATTTAACTAACGAGGTTATTCATCATCATCATAATTTTATGAATTATTTAAAGATTTTTTGGATTGATTAGTATGCATAGGAGATTCTTTTCTGGAATGAACAATATTTTAAATGTTTGAAAAAGCATGACTTGATTATTATTATTCACCTGAAAGTATCTTTTAGAGACTAATTAAATCTTTAGCTACACTTTACAATTTTAATCCATCATTTGGTTGAGACAATGCATCAATTATATTATCAACAGAAGCTAAAAAAAAATAAGAATAATTAAATACATTTTACATAATCCATTAAATTTGAATTTTCATGATTCAATAATAGATTATTTAATTTTTAAATCTCTTAATCCTACTCTTAATTAATTAAAGTTAATTATTCAATCTAAGATTCATAATCCTATAAATTCTCTTTAGTAATATTGTAAGTTTCTTGGCCATCTTGTGTAACACAATCTTTAATTTTACTTTATCTTATTGATTAAATCTATTGAGCATTAGGTAGATTACCACCCATTTAATTAACATATTCTTCTAATTATTAAACTCTTTATATTTTTTAATCTAACATAGTTTCTGTTTCTCTATGAATTCTATCATAAGCATCAAGTTCATCTTATAATTACACTATAGTTTCATCTCTTTCATTTAATCTTGTTGTTAATGCAATCATAATATCTCTTTATTTAAGAGTTAATTATTTATATCTATCAACTTAAACTTTATCTTCTTCTAATTATGATCTTTCCTTTTCTAATTCTGTTATCTTTTTTTCATATTAAGCTCTAATTAATTTCTATTATTCTTCTATAGCATTTCTAAATTATGGACTATTTTCTATATTACATCCACCAATCAACATTTAACTATTAATTTATCTAATTTTTTCTTCTAACTTTTTCTTCTCTTCTCTTTCAATAAAAAACTATTTACTCCTTGCTTCTAGTGCAGCCATTGCAGCATTCTTATCCTATTCTGCTCTTTTCTTATCTTCTTCTAATTGACTTAATTTTGTAGAATCTATTATAGTTTTATTCTTTTCTGAAAGTTCCTTTCTTAATCTTTATAATTCACATTCATATTTTCTTAAAAGTGCTTTTTGATCCACATCTTCATTAATTGTTGCTTTATTTTTAATATTCTTTGCTCTATTTGCAAATTTAACAGAACTTAAAGTTTCAAGAAAAGCATCAATAGCTGGTGATATCATACCCATCATTGTAGTTTTGCAATTACCACCTAAAGAATCTTCTAAAAGACGTGTTATTTTTGAATCTCTATAAGGAATATGTGTTTTTTATTCAATTAATGCAGAAATAACATTACCTAAACAACTTAATGATTAATTGATTTTTTTAGATTCTTCTAATCTTCTACCTGTAGCACCAGTAACTCTTACTCTTTCACTTCCAGCTAAATCTACTAAATTTAGTTTTCCAACTTTTATAGATTTATGATTATCAATTTCTGTCATCTATTCAACTATTATTATAAAAACAGCATGTGATCTACTACTTACATCATTCATCTTTGTACTGGCTGTGGCTCTAGATTAAGCTCCTTTTTATATTAAGGAATAAATTTCTGAAGGATTTCTTACAGCCCATTCAGATAAACCTTCAACAAATACTCCTCTTTTCTTATCTTCTCGTATATGCAAATTTTATCTATCACTTCTTAATAAATCACTTATAACTTCATTATATATTTAGAGATAACTCACACGCACCATAAAGGTTGTAGATTCATTTGATCCATTTGAAATATGTTTAAAGATTTCCTCAATTGCTCTTGGGATTATACCTCTTTATGGGTCTATACAATTGTATTTGAATCCTTCCATTGTAAATGTCTTTCCTGTTCCAGTCTGACCATATGCCATAATTGTGGCGTTAAAACCTTGAAGTGCAGAGAGTACTGCATGTCTTGCTGTATTATCATATACTTCTTCTTATGTGTTATCTTAATCGTACACATAATCAAATGAGAAGGTATGCATTGTATAACTATTAGGATTATTGAGGTATTCTTCAAGATGTTCAGGATCAACTAAATCTATGTTATAATATTCGTATAAGCAGATTTTTTTATGATCAGGAGACACTTAAACAGTGGATATAAAACGTCCATCTACTACTTCTCTCTGTAAAGGTGGCCTTACACGAACAACTACTTTAAAATTGTCATTTGATGTTAATTGCTTTGCTGAATATGATGACATAGGACTTGAATCATAAAAGTTAGTTTGTGATGTAGTTTAACTTAATGATGATGTAGACATCTTAGGAAAAGAGGTATTCATGATCGTTAAAATTTAAAATATATTAATTAATAATAATATATAAAAATGAATTTCTTTCATCCACTTCTACAAACTTTGCAATGTAAGAATCAGTATTTTTATTTTTAGTCATGCGTTTCAATCTTAGTGCTGATAGACAACAAACTACTCTTAATCTCCTTAATCCACAGATTAAAGTTGAAGAGAATGACCCACTTCTCCCTCCTATATATTAAATGACGTAATAGGAACTATTACAACGACATATTGTTGATTCTACACCTCAGGGTTTGTAAATGTAGACACTTCCTTAATAGTAAGACTAACCTAAAACTATTAATAAGAAAATGTATGTTGTTTAAATATCTCTTAGAAGCAAAAAAACTAATACTTGTGGACATCCAGACAAAGAACATTATGCCAAAGGAATGTGCAACAATTGTTATCATCGTTTAGGTAGAAACAAATAGCCTTGGTTATGTTCACATAAAAAATTATATGCATGTAATTTTCATCTCAATCTTTTTTAGGTGGACTTTGTTAAAATTGCTACATCAATCAATATAATAAAAAAAGAAGAGTTGAAAACTAAGATTAATATGAGTCAGAACTCAATAACTAGTCTAGCATACCAAAAACAGACAATTGATTCTTTATTTTTTATCTAATTTGTAATTTTTTTAATATCTTTTCAATTCATTTTTTATATAATTAATCAATAAATAATATTCTTATACATATTAATATTAATTAAAGAATATTATTATAATAACATTATATATATCATTAATTCTATACTTATATATTATTAGTTAAATGTTTAATTTATACTCATTTTTAAGAAACAAAAATATTCCTAAAATCTATTCTCATTTACTAAAATAATATTATTATAATATATCAATATAATACTATTGGAATCTTACTATTATTTAAAATACTCTATTATTTTGTTTTTATTAATTCTAATAAATTAAATTTGAAGATTCATTAGATTTTAGGTTGATTATCTAACTAAATTAATTAATTAAATGAGAAATAAAGTTTTATTGTTTTTAACGAATATAAATATTTAAAATAAAAAGATCAACACTTTATGTCTAACAAAAAGAGTATAAAATAAAAAGAAAATATACCTATTGATAGTAGATTAAACCTTTTGGAAAGTAATTATGTTAATTAAATTAAGGTAATTTGAATAGAGTTTGTATGTAACATGATGCTTTAATGCCTATAGTAAATGAAATCCCTCATGTTTAAAAACTAGAATAATAAATTAAAATACTATTAAAAAAACAAGAGGAATTAGAAAAGATAAGAGACAAATCAAGAGAAACATCAACCAACACTAGTTTCAGTGATTTCAAATGTAATAGCTAAAATAAGCCATATGAAAAACAATTGAATGATTTAACATTAAAGATGAATTATTTGGAAAATCAATTATAAGATTTATAGAAAAAGAGTCAAGGAAGAGTTGAATAGCAATTTAGAATGTTTTCAGATACATAAGATATTTAAAGATTAGAACAATTTGTTACTGAAGAATTGAATAATTTTAGAAGTGAAGTTCAATTGGAATATAAAAATATATACAAAGTAATTATTTATAAACTAATACCAGGAACTTAATGGATTAAGATGTGATCTTGAATATATTATGAATAATACTAAGAAGAATAAAGTCACCTAAAAGATTCAGACTATGAATGTTAATCCAGATGATAAGCTTTTTGTTATAAATCTATTAGAATAAGAGACAATAATTGAGGAATTAGATCATTATGAGAATGAAAATACATTTAGATTGTTATATGAATTGGATTATTTTGAATAATAAAGAGAATCCATATCAACATTAGATCCATAGTAAACTTAAAGAGAAAGTTTATATTTAGAAGAAAAATTAATATCTTTAAAATATTAATTAGCAGCTTCAAAGAGAAAATATTTATTTGAGATTAAGAAAATTGAACATAAATTTTAAGTGATTAATGAAATTATTGAATAGAATCAGAAATATCTGAATTATTAATAATAAATCCATATTTTAACTTAGAGAATGAGTAAGATTGTTACAAGAGTCCATCAAAATATAGAATGTATATTTTAAAAGATAAGTACTTTAGACAAGAGATGATAATCATAGTTAATATATATATATATTAATATCAGATTAATGAATTAACAAGTTCATTTAAAACATTAAATTCATTTTCAATGCTTTTTACTCTATTGTTTTGTTCTTCTAAATGTTCAAGAAGTTATTAATTATAATCATTAGGATAATCTCTCAATTATTATTCTAATTCATTAATTAATCGATCTCTTTCATCAATTTATTTTTCAGATTATAATTTATATTCAAGCATCTTTTTATTATTAATATCTAATTCCATTTATACACTCTTTAATTATTATCTTAATTCTTAATCAACAATTGATTAAATATCTTATTCTTAAAATACATCTGATCCTCTATTTTCCATTTATTTTTATAATGTATCAATTAATTATTATTATCCAGTTACTAATTCAAGCATTTAATTTAATGAATTTATAATAGGCATATCAATTCTTAGATGATTGAATTATAAAACTTATTAATAATATTATGAATTTTTAATTATTTTGATTCTATGAATAGCAATAATTGCCCATGTAGCTTTTTTAAAAGAACGATTACATTTTTTATCAGTATATTCAAATTGCATATCATTAATCTAACAATTTAATGTTTTTAGATGATTCTATTATTATAGAAATTCTTCCAAAAATTAAGTAAGTAACAAAATTATTTATTTTTATTTACGATCTTAATTTTTTATTTTTAAATTAGGTTTATTTTTATCTTGTAATCTCTCTTTTTAATAATATCTAAATTATAAAATATATATTATACTCTTCTAATTCTAATATTCTTTATTCAAAAAGCATTTTGGTTTTATCATCAATCATATTAGAACATTAATTACTTTAATTAGATTTATTTGTTAACATTTAATTTTATAATTACGTTTATTATAGATCCTAATAAAATAATATATTATATTACTTTAAGTTATTCTTTAAACATTGATTTCTTTTATTGTAATTCATAGATTTTTTCTGCCATTCTATTAAATATTTCTGCAAATTCAATAACTTATTGCATTTCAAAAGATGAAGGATTAGTAACACTTGTATTTTTGATTTAACTTAAAAGTGTATTTAAATCCTTTTATAAGATACTATAATTTTCTAATTATTATTAAACAGTCTAAGCTTCTCTTTAATCAAGTATAGTATGATTAGCTAACAATTATTCTTCATGTTGACTTTCATTTTAATCAGCAAGATGATTCTTAAAGTTTTGAACAATTTATTCATATTTCATTTACCAATCTTCATTTTATTCATTTAATATCATGATTTATTATTATAACTATTCATATATTTATTACTTTTCATGATTTGCTTATTCTAATTCTTATTCAAGTTATTATATTTATTCAATTAATTAAGAATTTGTTGTAGTTAATTCTTTAACTTTTTATTTTCTTTATTTTGATCTTTCTCTACATTTATTTGCATATTATATTAATTATTCTTTTTCTGATTGATATTTATTATAATTATCTAATTAAGATCTCACTTTCTCTTCATATTCTTTTTGTCCTTTATCTTAATGAGCTATCTTGTCTTATTAAATTTAATATTCATTTAATAATGCTTAATATTACAATTTTAATTAGGTATTTTATTGAGTGAGCTATGAAGATGTAGATATCAATTATTGAATTCTCTTTTCTAAGGAAGATTACTAGAATGTATTTTGCAATAACAATTACTTTTATTTAGAATTCTCTTTCATAAAATTACAATTTGCCTTCCAAAATTTAAACTTAAGATCTCAAATTAACAACTTCACTATCAAATTATTCTCCAATTCTATTAAATTCATTAAGAGAGGCATAACTTTTAGTATGATCAATTTATTTCAATGTAGATTACTAATTAATTGTATTTTTTGGAGTTATCATATTAACTTGATTTAGACGCTTCTCGAATTTATCCATAAAAATAAATAAATTATTTGTATTTAAGTAAATGAAATAGGAATACTAATTGTAAATTTCATAATTTTCTTAAATATAATTCACTATTAGAATATTTATAACTTCAAATTACAACTTCTACATTCAACTATCACATTAGTTTAACTATTTAATTCAATTTGATTTTCTTCTCCACATTATTCACATTCATATTCAACATAATTACATTTCACTGTCATTATATCAAAACAGTATTTAAATTGAGATCTTAATGATTAATTATATTCTTCTCTACAATTCATTAATACTTTGTATGCTTCTATTAAAGATTAAGCTTCTTTAGCATCTCCATTTTTATCTGGATGACAAAATCTAATTTTATTAAGAAATGCTTTCCTTATGTTTTCAGGTGAACATTTATCATCTACCCCTAATAATTCATAATAATTCATTTAATATTAAATCATTTCAGGAATCATTATCATTATCATCATTATCCTTATTCTCTTCTTATTGCACTGGAACTTCTTCCTTAGGAGGTTCTGCCTTTCTTACAATAGTCATATCACCAACATTTCTTAACTAAATAGATATTATTGATATTATAATTACTCTAATTAATTATTTCACTCTTAAAAATGAATTACCTCTAACTTTCAATTCAAATCCCCATGTACAACTATTAACCAATCTTTAAGCAACATTATTAAGATGATTTATCAATTATGACTCTACAATTTCAAAGGAATCATTCATATCTAATATTAATGGTTCAATAATCATTGAATTAAATTAAGATTTAGTGTAATCCGAAGGTTCTTCAAGTGGTCTTGATGATGGTAAAGCAGAATCAGTAGCATTAGGTTCTGTAGGCATTTTTTTTTATTAAGGAATTTTTGATTTAGTAATTACTATAAATTAAAGATAATAAATTACTCATTTATAATTCTTGATTTGTTAATGTACTATCTTTTTCTTTCTCTTTCTCTTAAATACTAGAAATTATATCTCTATCCCTTTCAAGTGTAAACTCATACATCTCAATAAGAAATTATGAAAGTTTCTCATAAAAAGGTTCAATTTCTTAATTTAACATACCTTTAGTTGCAGCTTAAGTATTTTCTATATACCAACCACCATATTATTTAAAACGTTTAATTAATGTGAAACAACTCATAAATACAGTTTAAGGTGCTTCTGCTAATTCTGGGTCATCAACTTATTTTACAAGTTCTTCTAATTTAAATCCCTTATTTACATTGGTTTATGCAAATGGAATACAATATTTTGCATCATACAAACCAAATCTAGCATTTTATACCCATTCTAAAGCCTTAATATTATTTTATAGATTTGGCAATAATAAACCAAAAACTATTGCAATTATTTCAGAATCTAATTCTTGTAATCTTAATAACAAAGCTTCATCATCAGTTTATTTTATTGGTAATCTAAATTTTTTCCATTTAAATACTTTTCCATAATTTTTAGATTCTTTATTTACAATTTCATATGTTCCATCTTTTCTTAAAATATATGCAACTATTTATAATCTTTAATCACTTGTTAAATAAAATTAATCATGAGCCATAGAAAATGCAAATCTAGTAAAATTATTAATAGATGCACCAAAATATCCCTCTTATAAATCAGGATATTCAGTTCTTTTTTAATTTGCAAAATCTTCTTCATTTATTTCATTACTCTCTAACTTTTATTCTAATTCAGCCACTCTTTAATCATAAGTCTTTTTCCATTCTTCAAATGATCCATCTAAGTATTTAGACAATGTCATAGATATAATACTCTAAAGAGGTACTAAATCCTAATAGAATATACGAATAGCTCTTTTATTTGAATAATTGATCATTCTTAAAGCTTACCTATCTTTTTTCTTTTATATTTATAAATCAAATGGTTTTCTTACTTTAGGAATGTGTTCAAAATTATTAACATTAAATGCAGTTTTCATTGAATTATTAAGATCAACTAATCTAATTACTTCTTCTTATGTTTTTCCAACTAAATAATCCATAAATTTAGTTTATAATTGATTCATAAATTCATTTGGATAAAATCCACTTTAAATTACTTATTACATTATTTATCCTTATAAAGGTTTTAAATATTCTTTAGCAATTGCATGAGCTTAAGCTTTAAAAATGACTTTTTGCATTCTCTCTTATTTCTAAGAATACTTTTTCAAAACTTCAGTCTTTTGATCAATCAATTATTTTTCTCTATCAACTGTAACATGTTATTTATTTTTTTCATTTACTCTTCTCTTCTCAAAAGCTTCTTTAAATCTATACATAGCCATAAATTCTTCTTCTTATTCTATTTCTAAACAAGCTTATTCTAAAGTCTTTGTGCAAATCACATTTAAAATAGGTGTTACTTCTCTATCAAAATCAAATAATTCATAATCCTCTACTTAAGTTGCAGCATCTATTCCTGTTTTTTTTGGAATAAAAGGAGGATCTTCAGGTTTTTTAAACAATTTATCAGTTTAAGTTGATAAAGTATTTTTTTATTATTCACATTAAGCTAATGTATCTGTTAAAAAGAATTCTAAATTAACTTATATCCTTGGATTGGCTGTGGCTTTGATATCATATGTGTCTATGATAATACAGGAATAATATACCTTCTTTTTTTAGTTTCCTTTTGAAATTATTCAATTATGCTGACATATTCTCTACTTTAATACGCTCTTTTTCTAAACGTATATATTCTTATTCCTATTCCATTGGAGTACGTTGCTTAATTTTCTACAATTTTAATACATACATACGTGATCCTTCATTAAATTTTAAAAAGTTTGCATAGGCTTTGATATTTAATTTTATTCGTTTATTCTATACTTTCCTCTACTTGGTACTACTCTTGGTTCTGCTGAAAAGTTCTATTGTGTTGGTTATATCTGTTAACTTAAAAATGTGATTAATTAAGGTAATCCATCCCCATTTATTGCAGAAATTGGCAAGATTGGAACTTCACCAACACCCAAGAAGTTTCTTAATTCTCCTTCTTCAATAGTTTGAATATCTGCTTTTGTTTGCAAGATAATTAATTATTCTTTGCCATTTATTTACTCTAATGCTGCCTTACTATGATGCAACTGTTGCATGTTACTACCATCCAAACAGAAGATCATCACATCTGAATTTGGCATATCTTCATTGACTTCCAAAGTCATATTGTTTATTTGATGTTAGTCATTTAAAACTTTGGCTAATGTTGTTTTTCCACTACCCTCCAAACCTACTAATGAAATTTTATATGACATTAATTAATAAATATATATTTTTCAAAATATCATTGTTACTCTAATTCAGAGAGTTAAATCTTATGTCTTAGGTTAATACATTCAGTATTAGTATTTATATTTATTTAATGTTTCTCAATATATTCTGCAAATTCAGCATATTAATGTAGATTATTCAATTTATCATAGAATTATTAAAATGATTAATCATTTTTATCTAAAATATTCAAAATTATTTTCAAATCAGGTACTATTTATATCAATGTTTAAGTGAGATTTGAATTTCCATGATTATATAGATACTCATATTTTGAAATCAATTTTATTAAACATTATTAATTTGGAAAGTTTTGAATATAAAATTTAATTACTCTAGTAACTTCTTCAACTAATTCATTCTATTAAGTTTCTATTAATTTTTCAAAATAAGACAATTAATTCTATATAAAATCATCATCTATTTATCCAGCACCATATGTAAATTGGCATAATTCATATAAATAATTTATATCAACTTAATGATTAAATTACAATTATTAATTCGTATTTTTATTGTAATACTTTTAATTCTAAATTGATTATCCTATATAAAATATTAATTTCACAGGAACCTTCTTTTATGATATTATATTAAATAAAGTAACAGCATATTCCTCTTTATATGCTATTTTATCTATTAAATAAGCTATAAAATGATCATCAATAATTTCTTATTTTTATAAAATATATAGGATTAAATCCAAATCTGATTCATCAATCTCTTTCATTTAAACACAATCATATAATATTGTTGAGATTAATTAAGAAGGAAGACATTAAGTTAATAAACTTAATAATTAATCCATTCCTACTTTATTTGCTATTGTTTAAAGATAATGTAATAATAATTCATTATGATTCTATAATTGTATTAACTTCAACATATAATCAAAATAGAAATAGTTTGATCTTTCTAATATCAAAATAATTAACGAACATATTAATTCAACCGTGTGTTGTTACTCAATATCATTCATAAGTTCTTGATATAGAAACTACAATACCAAATCAAATTACAATGCATTATAATGAATATTACATAATTATATTACAAGTTAATAGCATTTACAAGAAAAAAGACTAAAAAGAAGAGCTTCTATTTACTATAAATTCTCATTCAATAATAATGATTTCATATGTTATTCTAGATGTTCATTAGACTCTTTTATTTTCAAATAGTATTGAATATACTTTTACCATGTATTTGTAGATATATCATTCTATTAATATAAGATTTATGTAACAAAAACAATTTGATTCTAATTAATTAAATGTATTATCATTGAATTTCTTATATCAATATCCATTATTTATATGTAATTGTAATAAGTTTGGTTTAATTATTCAAATTCTATTTTACTTAATAGATTCTTCATACACTTTTTGATTTACTTTTATAATAATAATTAAGGTTTCTACATCTATTATGATAATCTTAAATTGAATTCTGCAATAAATTTAAGAATCTATTTATTATCTGAATATTCTTAATAAATATTTTCTAATTAAATAAAATGTCCAACCACTTCATGTATTTATTTCAATTTATGAGGTATATTAATATTATCAATCTAAGTCTATTTGGTTATTTCTGTATAAAACACTACAAATTCATTTTTATATTTATCATTCCCCATATATTCAATAAAAGCATCTGTACAATTTACTATTGTCTAGTAAGATAATTATTTCTATATTGAATGACATTCACTAAATAAATGTTTCTTGAGTGTATCAATAAAATCAAAAAAATAACAACTATTCCCCAATAATAGTATCTCAATCAATTTGAAAATACTTTATACTATAATAAATTTAACATAATTTAAATACATTTTTATATTGACTATGTTGTTTTATTTAGATTACTCTTTAGTAATGCACTTAAGTTTGAATTAATTAATTCTGCTATTTTGATATCTAATAATATTTTCAACTTTGAAAACTCATCTAAAATCAAACTTAATGCTTTTAGTGCATAAGCATCATCAAAATCAGTATCCAAAGAACCATCAGCTATTCTCATAAAAAAATTTAATATAGCCAAAATATTTTTTTCTGTCTCTTACTTATTCAACAAATAACCTTTGCATGATTATCCAATTTAAGTAAGTACTTCATCATTTAATACTTAAATATTCACAATAATTATTTTATTGTTTGATAATTACTTTATTCTATAACATATTCGAAGAAACCTATATGTGTATGGTAAATTCATTATAGACACATTTTCCTTTAGTGTATGCAATAACTAAATGATTTAAGCATGATAACTATTCTATTTTTAGTTTCTTTCTATTAATCTATTTTCAATCTATATAAATATTCTTACAATAAAATATGCTCATCTAAATTATTTAACTTATTTAAATGCTATATTTAGATCAAAAATTAAAGAATAATCTTTAAATCCTGTTCCTTAGTGTTGTTTATAAGTTTTATAGTGTGAATTTCAAGTATTTCTTTGCTCACTTCTGGTTTCTCTAAATCTGCAATCATTTCACGAATAAGCTTAAATATTTTTCTATATAACTTACTCCATTTAATGATTTATTTTTAGTTTTTATATTTTTTAATTGGTTAACAATAGCATTAACTTTCATTATTTAATTTTATTAAGAACTTAGTATGTTTATTATTTTTTCCTAAAATTTTATATAATTATTCTTATTTATAACAAAAACACTAAATCAATAATTAAATATTAGAATTTTATACTCTATTATCAATTAAACAATTAAGTAATATAATTAACTACTTTTATATTAGATTTATAACTTATCAAAAATATCAATTAAACTGATGAGTTACATATATAATGATGAAATAAACTTAAAAAAATGAAGTAATTATCATTATTAAGGTATTGAAATGATAATATATTCATTTTAAGAACATTATTTCTTCTATTTTTTAGATTAATTTATTGTTTTAATTAATCTAAAAAAAAGTATTTATATTTTTCATATAAATTCTGAAATAATTAAATATAGAGAACATTATATAAATTATAATTTCTTTTGTAAATTAATATCTAATTTGATAATCAAATCTGTTAATATGAAATAATTTAAATGTTCTATTAATCTTTTAGATTAATTTCTTCAAGATTTCCTTTCAATCTTATTGCCTTATTATCTTACAATATTAGTAATTCTTAATCTAGAATATTAGTAAATTTCTATTTTAAAGCATCAATTTTTATTTAGAAATAGAGATCATTGAGATTTTATATTTTTTAGCTTTCAATCAATAATTCTGCATTATTTAGTTTGATTTATACATGTTCTTATTTATTGTCTTCAATCAATTATTCAAATCTACTCATAGATACTTTTACTTTATCTAATTATGCTGCTAATTATTAGTATTATGATTCATTAGATTGTAAATTTACTTCTAAAAATAACCCTTAATCAAACAGATAATTTGTTTATTCAATCATCTTGCTTAAACCTCCAAATTAAAGATCATTAAAAGCTTATTAATAGGAACTCTTTTTTTCTTAAAGAAATTATTTAAATTTATCAAATCCCTCTTGTAATTAATCTTCTATCTCTTTTAATTACCATGTAATATTAGATTTTAGAATTTTAAATTATTAAAAAGTCTTCGTTTTAATCGTTTCTATAACTTCATCATCATAGCTTAAATTATTTTAGCTTTTCAGAATTAGAAATAATGCTTCTTGAATATCAAATAGATTATGTCCTTTATGGTCTCTAGCACAATCTTAACATAACAATAGATCATTATTTTCTTTACAATCTTATTCAGCGCAAATCTTTTCTATTGGTTTACTATGTAATTAACATAACCTTTCTTAACATTAAAATTCAGGAATAGTAGTATTATTATTTTAAATTATAAAAAAATTAGAATTAACCTAAAGATATTGAAAATAATTACCAATTATTTATTTTTTTATTTCTCCTTTTTCAACTTTTCATCAAAAGGTTAAATTAAAAATTCATTTGTTTTTTCTTCTATTACAATCATACTGTGAGTAGTTGAACTTATATCCATTTCTTTAATTTTAGAATTAGATATAATCTTTGAGTTCTCTAATATTTAGGAACTCTAAGTACTAAAAGAGTCTTATTTATTCAAAATTATAATAGAAGATTATGAAAACTCTTATATATTTTTTTATTATTAATCAATTTGGTGAGGAGGAATAATTACACTTTATTATTAATATTATTATTATTGTTATTATTGTTATTATTATTATTATTGTTATTATTATTGTTAATAATTATAATTATAAGAGCTCTAATTGTATTAACTTGGCTAATAAATAATTTATGACCCATTGTTGTATCCTGTTACTTTCTAAAATTCTGTCGTTTGACTTTCAACATAAGGATAATAAAATTAATTGTTTTGATTTTAATTTACATATGTAGTATCCAATTATTATTATGGAATAGATGAATTTGGTTATATCATTTAAGACTAAATTTATTGACTTATTAATAGTGGATCAACTGGTGGAGGCATAGGAGTTGACATATATAATCCACTGCTAGGAGGTATTGGTATTTATTATGATTATGTCAATTAAGAAGATGGCTAATTTATCATTTATTTACTTACTTGATTCATTTAAGATTCAGGATTAGGTGAAGTTACACTTCCAAATATTGAACTTTGGTTCATTAATATTTATTTTCTTATTTAATTTTCTTTATTCAAAAACTATTTTATAACTTATAAATTATAAATGAGCACATAATAATATATAAGCAAAAACTAAAATAACCATAAAAAAAAGTTGAGATATATTAAAAAAAATAAATATGATTTTTTTATATTTTATTTATACATTTTTAAAATGGTAGAAAATCTATATGACATCACTTATTTAAAAATACTCTTAAGTTTAAGTATAGTCGAAAAATTACATTTATTTATGAATCCCAATATAGTATAAGGTCTTATCTTATATGATTATCGATTTTCTATAATATCTTAAGAATCTTGATGGATTTATTAAATAAGATTTCAGTATTAATTTCAATATCTTAAAATTTATACTACATGATTGAATTAAATGGTTTTTTCATAGAAATTTTACTATAATTCTCTTGAAAATTTATAAATTATTTAATTTAAAATTATTTTAATTAATATGGTCTACATGTATTAGATAAAGAAAGAATTAAATTCTTGATCTAGGCTTAAGAACTTAGAAAGCATTTTAATTTATTATTTGGATTAGAACATGATTAATAGATTTAAGGCTATACTAGATTCTGAGCAACTGAAATATGTATTAATTCTAATATCATTTACTCAAATTTTATTGATAATTTCAAAATATTAAGAGAGCAGTTATCACCAACAAAATTGAAAAAATTTTAAAAAAAGAACTGTAAACAATCATATAAATACGTTAAATGTCAAAAATTGAGGGCATAAAGAATCAGTAGAATATAAGAAATCAAATAATTTTCTTTGTAAATAATATCCTATTAGCTAAAAAAATTTCAATTGGATGAAGCAAAATTTATAAATCGGCAATCAAAAAAAAAGTAAATACAACTAATATTGCGAATTTAAGAAAATATATCTTTTATGGGGATAATTGGAAATAATTCATTTAGACTATTCAAATTAATTGAAGGATCATCTAAAAGGTGTGTCTTTCTATAATTTCTCAATGAGGTTTTACTAATTAAAACAAAATAATGCTTAACATTATAAAAATTATATATAATCTAATCTTCTATTTTTAATAAGTATATAATTTAATCTCTTTATCCAAGAAAATACTTGAATTTTCTATCAAAAAAGGGGATCAATTTTATATATTGAATGTCAAAGAAAGATTAAAATATATTCATTTGAAATACTTATATATATTTATTATGATAGTTAATTTGATATTTATAGTTAATCTATTTAAGTATATGCAATTATTATATATTTATTTAATCTTAATGAATATGATTATATTAATTTATAGATTTAATTTTAATATTCAAATAAAATAATTGAAGATAAATTTATAATTTTATAATTGTATTTCTTTAAGATTAAATATATTTATAATCTAAAAAATAAATTATTAAATTTTTAATTCTATATTTTTATATTTTTCTATTCATTTTTCAATCGCTTCATAAGATACTCTAGCTTTAAAATCGTTTTATTTAATGATAGTTTGTTTATAATCAATTTATTTTGGACCAAATATTTTGAACTTAACATATTCTAAGAATTCTGTCATTGAAGTATTCATTGACATAAATTCTTCAATAAAATAATAATTACTATTTATATAACCCTCAATTTCTAATTTTTTATAAAAATCTCCAATTAAATTAAATACAACAATACCCTTAGTTTAATTAGTATTTTAAATATTAACTTTTATATTATTAATGGCATAAACATTTTTGAGTTGAGATTCTTAAAATTATTCATTATTAATATAATAATTTTTAGACTGATTTTTTTTAATTATTTAATCTATACTCATATCTTAAATTATCTGATAGATTAATTTATAGTTTTAAGGGAACATTTTAACAGAATTATTGTGCTCTATTTTTATAATATTTCTCAAACAAGGCTTTATTAATTTATTAGAATTAAAAGCAAATTTATATTTTTCCATTGAATCTTTATTTACTTCTTTATTTGGGACGATTAATTTTAATATTATACCATTGGATGTTTCAAAATCTTAAATTTATCGAATATCAAATGGATTAATTTCTGTTTCATTTATAAAAAAAGCAAATGGACGATCAATTTTAAGTTGTTAATTTTTGAATAATTCTATCAAAATATCATGAAAAAGACATGAAACTGGATTAAATTGATATTATTCTATAAATAATTCAATTTTCTTGAATTGCAAATCCACTAATACTTAATAATATATTTTTTTTGGTCCACCTCTAAGTTTCAATCTGACATATAATGTACAATTGTTTGTAAAACCTAATGATTAAAGAGTTCTTCCATCGTCTGGTTGAAGATTGCTTCCATTACATAATTACCATTCTAATTCTTCTTCATAATAAGCTTACATCCGTTATGCAAATATTTATTCTTTGATTCCTTATAAAAATATATTAAATGGAATCTCAGGATCAATAGACATTGATAATTTTAAATTAGCTTTTTCTAAGTTCACAACAACATTAACACTGATTGAATGAGGTTAATCTGAAAGACCTTATCTTTAATATTCCCTTTCAAGGCACTATTTAATAAGTTAATTCATTTATAATATTATAAAATTTTCTATTAATAATAAATATATATATATATAAATATATATATATAAATAAATGTTTAATGAAGATTATTATAGAAGATTAATAGTTTAATCATAAAATTAATAAATAAGAATAATAAATACAGATAGACCATGGTATCCTAAAATGAAATAAAAAGATATAATTAGACCATTATTTAGTGAAGATTTTAAATTTTTTGTATTACCACCTAATAAGATGATTTCATTATTAAAAAGACATAAAATAACAATACCAACAGATGAATAAATAAGAGAATTTCTTAAAAATCATTCATTAAAGAATATAGTAGATTATGGAGTTAAATTAAAAAGTACTACAGAAATTAAAGTACATCCTCCTTAAGTAATTATTTAAAATTAAAGAAAAAGAGCAAAAACTAAATAATAATTAATTATTAATAAAAAGACTATTAATATATAACATATTAATAATAATATAATAGAACCAACTAAATAATCTACATCATCTTAATATAAACCTTCATATCATAAAACTTTAAAAATATATAAGACTGATTATTCTAATTAAGATCTATATACAATCATAAATAAATTAAATTTCTCACCTATGTAAATTAATCAATCACCTAAATAAACAAAATAAAATATACATATTAATACTTTACCATCTTAAACATATGTAAAACCGATTGTACCAAAAAGTGTATTACCTTATCCTCCTAGATCAAAGAAACAGCTTCGATAATTACTGTTGAGAGCCATTAATAAGATAAAGAAATTAGGTTTAACTATTAAGTATGTAATGTAAAATAAGATATTTTCAAAAAAACCATATGAAAAACCACTTTCAAAACAATTTATTCATGCAGCTAAAAAGAATTAAATAGATGAAATCAATAATCTTCTATCAATCAATCCTTATCTTGTTTTTGATTTTGATTTTTATAATATGACTGCACTTCATTGGGCATGTAAAAAAGGTTATGTAGAATTAGTAGAATTGCTTTTGTAATATCATTCTGATGTTGATGGAATTGATATTTTATATAGAACACCATTAATTTTATCAATAGAGGAAAACCATTTGGAAATCACACATATTTTATTGGCTAATGGTGCATACCCTTGGAGTACTGCTATTACAGATTTAAAAACTGTTTTAGATTCTAATGAAAAAGCTAAAAATCTATTAACTNTTCTTCATAATAAGCTTACATCCGTTATGCAAATATTTATTCTTTGATTCCTTATAAAAATATATTAAATGGAATCTCAGGATCAATAGACATTGATAATTTTAAATTAGCTTTTTCTAAGTTCACAACAACATTAACACTGATTGAATGAGGTTAATCTGAAAGACCTTATCTTTAATATTCCCTTTCAAGGCACTATTTAATAAGTTAATTCATTTATAATATTATAAAATTTTCTATTAATAATAAATATATATATATATAAATATATATATATAAATAAATGTTTAATGAAGATTATTATAGAAGATTAATAGTTTAATCATAAAATTAATAAATAAGAATAATAAATACAGATAGACCATGGTATCCTAAAATGAAATAAAAAGATATAATTAGACCATTATTTAGTGAAGATTTTAAATTTTTTGTATTACCACCTAATAAGATGATTTCATTATTAAAAAGACATAAAATAACAATACCAACAGATGAATAAATAAGAGAATTTCTTAAAAATCATTCATTAAAGAATATTGTAGATTATGGAGTTAAATTAAAAAGTACTACAGAAATTAAAGTACATCCTCCTTAAGTAATTATTTAAAATTAAAGAAAAAGAGCAAAAACTAAATAATAATTAATTATTAATAAAAAGACTATTAATATATAACCTATTAATAATAATATAATAGAACCAACTAAATAATCTACATCATCTTAATATAAACCTTCATATCATAAAACTTTAAAAATATATAAGACTGATTATTCTAATTAAGATCTATATACAATCATAAATAAATTAAATTTCTCACCTATGTAAATTAATCAATCACCTAAATAAACAAAATAAAATATACATATTAATACTTTACCATCTNGGATTAATTTCTGTTTCATTTATAAAAAAAGCAAATGGACGATCAATTTTAAGTTGTTAATTTTTGAATAATTCTATCAAAATATCATGAAAAAGACATGAAACTGGATTAAATTGATATTATTCTATAAATAATTCAATTTTCTTGAATTGCAAATCCACTAATACTTAATAATATATTTTTTTTGGTCCACCTCTAAGTTTCAATCTGACATATAATGTACAATTGTTTGTAAAACCTAATGATTAAAGAGTTCTTCCATCGTCTGGTTGAAGATTGCTTCCATTACATAATTACCATTCTAATTCTTCTTCATAATAAGCTTACATCCGTTATGCAAATATTTATTCTTTGATTCCTTATAAAAATATATTAAATGGAATCTCAGGATCAATAGACATTGATAATTTTAAATTAGCTTTTTCTAAGTTCACAACAACATTAACACTGATTGAATGAGGTTAATCTGAAAGACCTTATCTTTAATATTCCCTTTCAAGGCACTATTTAATAAGTTAATTCATTTATAATATTATAAAATTTTCTATTAATAATAAATATATATATATATAAATATATATATATAAATAAATGTTTAATGAAGATTATTATAGAAGATTAATAGTTTAATCATAAAATTAATAAATAAGAATAATAAATACAGATAGACCATGGTATCCTAAAATGAAATAAAAAGATATAATTAGACCATTATTTAGTGAAGATTTTAAATTTTTTGTATTACCACCTAATAAGATGATTTCATTATTAAAAAGACATAAAATAACAATACCAACAGATGAATAAATAAGAGAATTTCTTAAAAATCATTCATTAAAGAATATAGTAGATTATGGAGTTAAATTAAAAAGTACTACAGAAATTAAAGTACATCCTCCTTAAGTAATTATTTAAAATTAAAGAAAAAGAGCAAAAACTAAATAATAATTAATTATTAATAAAAAGACTATTAATATATAACATATTAATAATAATATAATAGAACCAACTAAATAATCTACATCATCTTAATATAAACCTTCATATCATAAAACTTTAAAAATATATAAGACTGATTATTCTAATTAAGATCTATATACAATCATAAATAAATTAAATTTCTCACCTATGTAAATTAATCAATCACCTAAATAAACAAAATAAAATATACATATTAATACTTTACCATCTAATGAGATGAATATGCTGATGAAGATCGTTAAGGGAGCAATTAGTTCAACACAATAAATGAGAACTATATTTTAAAATTTTGGCAAAGTTCTTCAATTAATTAGAGTACAATAAAAACATTAATTTTTTATATAATATGAAGAAATTTTGTGAGTTACCTAATAAAAATATCTGTTTTGGGTTGTGTTTTGGATAGAAATATTTAAAATGAAAGGATTTACACTCTAAAAAGTACGGATCTGAGATATCTTTCTAAATTTACTTAGTGTTCCATGAATGAAAGGAGAGACTGATTTAACTTAAAGTAAATTAAAAATTGGAATTTTGATGAAATAAGCTCTAAAATAATTATTAAATAATAATTATTTATTAAAAATTAGTTTAAGGTAAAGTTTTAATCATCATCCTCTAAAGATAAAAAATCAAAAAAATTATTTAAACAATTTACTAGAATAAATAACAAATAATTTAAAAAATTAGAGATATTTTAATTAATTCATAAAATTACAAGTTAAATTAGATAAAGTTTATAGAAGTATAAATAAAATTTTAGATTGAAAATGAATTTTATATTGATAATTTAATCAATTTTATACTATTTGAGACAATTCCAAATTAAATGGTTCTTTTTAACTATTTAAAGAGAATTCATCATTTTCTTTATTTCTTTTTTTAAGTTTGACAAGTGTTTGTACCTTTTCAACTGCAGTTTCAAGTAGAGTATCTACATCATTGATTTTTTTTGTATCACAAAATGGATCAATTGATTTTATTATTCTATTTAATAATCTTCTATATGTTTCATCTAAATTAGTTTTTAAATATTTACCTTTCATTTTAAGTAATTATGATTTTATTTAAGCATCATCCATTTATAATTTCATTTTTTATATTTCTTCATTTCTATCTTTTAATAATTTATTAATTTCACTCATTTTTGTATTATGTTCTAAAATAATTAAAATTAATATGATACCTTAATGTTTTTAATGATATTATTTTACTGTTTAAGCAAATTAGTGTTCTTTTTCATTTTGATTCTTTTTTAACTATTTGATTTCCTCCTTTAAATTTTAATTTTATGTCTATAATTTTGTTAATTTACTTTCATTTTCCATCATTGATTACTCTAATAAATGTGAATTATCACTTAATTATTAATTAATAACATTTTTATCTGATTCTATTTGATGATATGATTATTCTAATTAAGTATATTAATGTTATAATTAGGATATTTATTAATTAAATGTTTCATTTAATTTCTATAATTCTTAATTTTCAAGTTCTTTTTATTTACTAACACAAATAGATTCACTTAACTAATTTTATAATCTTCTATTTTCTTATGTCAAACTTGAATAATTATTTTCAATCAATTTTTATTATTATTCAAGTGTTTTATTACATTATTATAATTAACTATTAGTTTGTGTTGTATTTTAAAGTTAAACTTCAAGATCTTCTTTTTATTTTAATATAGTTTCTGTTTATATTCTTGATTCATCTAAATTATTGTTTAAAATTAAGACTTTTTATTAATATTATTACAATTCTTATTAAGTTTAATTAAGAATAGATAATTATAATTGTTAATCATTAATCTATTATTCATATTACAATATAATTAAATTAGATTAGTTTAATTTTTCTTCAATTTATTTTAGTTTTTGTTTATTTTATTAAATAGCATCCTCCAAATTTTACCTATCTTTCTATTGTTATTCCATTTAAATATCATTTTATTAACAAACTTAATTTAGATTACTTAATTGTTTTTTTTATTTTGAATTGGTATCAAGTAAATTTTAATTTAATTCCTCAAGTTCTTTTACTTAATCTTCAAGAATCTTATTTTTTTAATGTGAAATAATCTCTTTTTGCATAATTTATGATAGTTTTCCTTATAAATCAGCATACTCTTTTTATTATGTAGCAATTTACTCTAATAGTTCATTTTATTTAATATTAAATTATTGAACTTATTCATTTTATCTAGCACTAAACTATTAGTATGTTGATGCTTATTAATTACAATAAACCTTTAATTATTCCTCTTAAACAACAGTTAAATCTCTTAATCTTTTGAGTTCTATTTCATTAAGTTTTATCTAATCTTTAAAAGATAGTTATTCAGCATTCAAAGAATCTATTTCTTCTTTAAGTTCATGATTTTTTTCAGATGTAATTACTAATTAGGATTCTTATTTTTTTAATTTTGATTTTAATGTTTCCAATTCTTCTTCTAATTTGTAAATTTAATTTAATTGTATAAATATATCATCATCTTTTTATTATTTCAATTTTTCAAATTTTTATTCTTCTTCCTTAATTTTAATGTTTAAATCATTAATTATTATTTTAGATTATGATAATTAAGTTTATAAATCTTAGATTATCTATTCATTTTGATTATTTTCTAATTCTGTAACATATTATTAACATTATGATGTTAATAAATTAATTTACTTCTTTTATTATTGGATTGTTTCAAATTATGAATTATTGGTTTATTCAAATTCAATTTATCTATCTTCTAACTACTATATTTATTAATTTAATTAGATTTCTTTTTAAATAAATGAAGTAATTTTTCCTTATAATTCAATTTTTTCATTTTCTAATTATTAAATTTATTATAATAATTCATTTTATTTATGATTAAACTATTATGTTAATTCATTTTATCTTGATGTAAATTATAATAGAGTCTATGTTTATTAATTACAATATTAATTAATTTATTCTTCTTAAAATGTACATAAATCTTTTAATCTTTTAATTTCAATTTCATTTAATTTCATTTAATCTTTATTCTAATTTAATGAAGTGTTTAGAGATTCAATTTCAAATTTTTGTTCTTAATTTTTTTCAATTAATAAACCTATTTAAGATTCTTATTTCTTGAGTTTTAATTTAAGAGAATCATATTCTTCTTCTAATTTATCAGTTTAATTTAATTAATTTTAAATCTCCTTATCCTTATCAGATTTTAATTATTCATAATTAGTCTCTATTCCTCTTATCTTCTAATTAAGTTAATTGATGGTTTATTATGATGTACTTATTACATTTTATAATTCTTCTATTAATTGAATATTTTAACAATTTAATTCTTCTTGTTAATTTTTTAATGATAAATTTTCTGTCTAAATAGTTTGTATTTATTGATTAAATTATAAAAGTTCATCATCTTTTCTATTTAAAATATCATTCAATTTTTTTAAACATACTTTTCTATGTTTGCATTTTTCATTTAAGTTAACAATCTCCTATTATAATGAATTGATCTAATCCTTGTATTGATTGAGATGTTCAATATTATCGAACACCTTTCTGTTTACAAGGTCACTAACACTTTCATGATCATTTTTGAATTTTCTTAAATGATATTATAAATGAGGATCAATTAAGTTTTTCTCTCTAACAGTTTCAACAAAATCCCAACTATTTTTGAGAAGTGATCTGATAGTTTAACTAAGTAGTTAAGAATTTTTAGATGTGAATGATATTTCATCCTAAAGAAAAGAGGATTTTATCTTTCTATCTGGAGATAATCTAATTTAAGCTGCATTAAGGGATATAAGTCTTTAGTCAGATTCTGTATGTTAAAGTCGTGGCGATAACAAGTATTTTGCAAAAAATGTTTCACTATCTATCATTTATATTTAAATTTATAACGACAACTTTTAAATTTCTGTATTATCATTTCATTATAATGAACAATAAATAATATAGCTTTGCTTATAAAATATATAGATAAGACAATTAGTAATATTAAATATTAATCCAAAATCTTAATAAAAAGCATATCATTTTGGTTTTACTTACTAAATCTTTGCACTTAACCATTCAAGTCCTTAATCCAAACCAACTCCAGTCTTAGCACTTCCTCCAAAGCATTAAGAAGGATTCTTATACTTTTTCAATTCGAAATAATCAATAAAAAATTATGGATTTTATGCATCTGGAGAATCCTATTTATTAGCATACACAAGAATTGGAAGGTCTTTATTGAATCCTTAAGTCTCTAATAGTAATTTGAATTCATCAAGAGCAATACCAAATCGGATTTTATCAGATGAATCAATTACAAAAATAAGTCCATCAATCTATTTATATCAATTCTAATACTTTTGTTGCATACTATTCCCACATACCTCTATATTAATTTTATCCACTCATATCAGAGAATTAAAAGTTTAAGTTAAATTTTTCTACAGAATCCTTATTAAAACCTACTGTGGGTGCCACTGTTGCATTTTTCTCATTTTTCAAAGCATTTATAATACTTGTTTTCCCTGAATTATCTAAACCAACTACTAATATTTAAACTTTCCTTTTTCCAAAAGCTCCTCCCATTAATTAATCAAGAAAATAATTTTATTAACCAATTAAAATAATATTCAAGTTCTATTTGTCTCAAATAAATCAATTAAATATAATAGAAGAATTAATATTAATAAGAATAATATCAATCAGATATAAGTATGATTATTATTATATGTAATTTAATAATAATAATACTTTATCAATGTTTAATTGATAATGAGTGAATTCTACATTATTAGTAACTTAGAAATTATATTGGTTGCTATTAGAATCTATCTGCTATTAATTTTCTGTTGATTTTATAAAAATCTAATCTTGGTTCACTAGTATCAATACTTTATCTTCTTTTTTTTAATATGATATCATTCAATGTTTTGCATTTTGGTTAAGTATTCTATTTTTAAATATAAAGATTATACCCTTTTTGGTTATAATAATTATTCTAAGTATTTTTAATCATCTAATTATTCTCCCAAAGTGAAGATAGATCTTTTTTATTGATCAGTTTTTGCATCTGAACTAAAGTCATATACATATAATTATTTCTTCAACTTCTTATTTTATTGTAATAATTATTCTATTTCTATTTTTTATTATTTTAATTAGTCTTCCAAATGATAGTTATATAAGATACTTTCTATTTAATAATTGATTAATATTTTTTCTCATTTACTTCTAAATTCATGATCATGTTCTATATCTCTGGTAATTTAGGTTTGTAAAGTTAATCACAAGGAAAATCATCAAGAGCTGCTTATTTTGCAAATTCACTATCATATAATTCCAAGTCTACAAAATACAATAGTAATTTAAAAAGCTTTAGAGACAACTTTAAATTTCTAGTTTTTAACTCTTCTATTTAAACATTTACATTTTATATATTTATCTCATTTTTTTGATCATCTCTATCAATTTGTTAAATTTCATTATATTGTGTTGAAACATCAAACTATAATGATTACTATTTTAATGTAGCATAATTTCTTAATTGCAATTCTTAATCTAACATAATATCTTGTTTTTCAGCATTCTTTTTTTCCAATTAGAGTAACTTAATATTATATTTTACGATATTATTATTTTCTTATAGTATTTGTGTAGCTAGCTTTTCTTTTAAGGATTACAATTCTTAATCTATAATAGAAAGAAATTCCCCCTTTTATTTTATTTCTTTTTGTTCAAATTGATTTTTGATAGATTTTCTCAAACGATCAATTTCCATAATTAATATAAATTATGGTAAAAAAAATTGAGGATTCTTTTAATCATGCCTAAAAACTATATGAGTATTAGGAGAAGAAAATAAGAAGGGATAAGCCAGCCTCTGATACATAATTGATGCAAAAATTATTACATTCAGGAACAATAGCAGATAAAATCTCAGCCTTGTCAATTTCAATCAAAGAAAATCCAGATCATGCATTAGGTTCATTAAATAAGTTATTAGAAATTGTACAATTATCTATTAATATATATAGGCTGCATTACCATCAAGAGAGAAAAGTTTAAAAGCTTTATTTTAACTTAAAGATTTATTAATTCATTTAATTTTAAAGAGAGGTGTTCCATGCAATTTTGAAGAATCAAATTTAACTGATGAATTATAGAAATATTATTGGCATGGAATTAATTAGGTGTTAGTGAAGACCTGTGAAATTCTCATCAAGGCTTCCTAAGATGTTTTACCATATGTGCGAAGACAAATTATTTTAATGATGCTAGAACTACATTGTGCTCATCCAATATATACAAAAGAATTAATAAAAGAAATTGTTAATAAATTTGGTGATAAAGAGAAAACTTTAGTGACTTTACTTACTAAGAAACTTTCAGGAGAATTATCAGTAAAATATTTTATTAATAATAGAAAAAACCTGCATTAACTTATCCATTTTTAAAAGAGACTTATGGATTTATGTATAGACCCAATTTACCTTAAGAAGCTTAGTATTATTGTCTAAATTTTATAAACACAATTAATTTATAAACTCAAGAAACAAGCACTGTAGCTTATATGCTTAAGATTTTCTTTATTTTTTTCAAAAAGATAATGAAGATTCCATAAGCTGATTAAAAATGCTCAAAATTATTTAGTCAAATTTTAAAAGGAATTAATAAGACTTTACCTTATGGATAATCATTTTTAGATTAATTAAAAGAATTATTTAAAGAAAATGAAAAATTGATTTATAAATTAATTGCTACATCAGAAAATTTTAAAATAAAAATCTAGACTCTATATTTTGTTTATTAAATATCAGATTTAAATGCTCACTTTTATAGAAGTTTATATGAGATTGTATTATTTATAATATATTTATAGTTATTATCTTAAGAAATTTAAAGTACAAGTTTAGGTGAATTATTTTTTGATTTGTTATTTTTATCAATAAAATAAGATAATGAAATAGTAAGATAAAAAGCAATCATTAAAAGATTACTATAAATATCAATGCATTCTAATTTGGCATTTACAATTACAGCATTGATTTGTGTTTAAAAACTTTGTATAGAGATACCATAATTATTAGAAGAAACAAATGAAAATTAAGAGTATTTGTATTTCAAAAGAGATCCATTATTTTCAGGAGCATCATCATTTTTAAATGAGATTTAATCATTTACTTCTCATTATCATAATAAAGCATAATAAATAGCTAAATAGATTTTAAATAAAGATTAAAATATTACATAAAAGGTTAATCCACTATTGGAATATTCATAAAGTGCTTTTTTGGCTAAATTTGTAGAAGCAAAAAATAGAGTTACAAATAGAATATCTAATTTATCAGGATCTGTTATTAATGAAGAATAATTTAAATTAAAATTTGAAAAATAAAGAAAATAGGATAATCAACTTAAATAACAAAATAAACCTTAAAGAAAAAGTAGTATAACAAGTGAGGATGCTTATGCAGATGAATTATTTGAAAAAGAATTATAAAAAGGAAATTTTTCAGATGAAGATGAATTAGATTTGAGTATGGATTAAGATGATGATGATTTAGTAGATTTATCTGAAGATGAAACCTAAAATGAAAATTAATAAAAATAAATTCCAATAATTATGAGAAAAATTTATAAAAGACATAAATTATTAAAAAAATGAATGATTTATTGTTATTAGAAATTGTTAATATAAATTTAGTAGAAGATTTATTAAAAAAATAATAATATAATTTAACAAATATTTTTTGAATAGATATTAATTAATATATATATTAAATAATAATATTGTATAAATCATAATCTTTTAAATGGCATAAATGTATCTAAATGTCTTTTAGTTGTTCTTGGACTAAAGAGATGTCTATGATAATTAACTTAAGTTGTTATTAATTAATTCTTAGAATTATTGAAATGATCTAAATTAATAATTGTTTATTTTTCAACACTTTAATTTTTCGAGAGTGAAGTGTGTTATCTGAATTTCTTTTGTTTAGAATGATTTATATCAAAAAAAGGAACAAATGGCTCAGAAATAAGTTTTTTATGCTTAGGCGAAAGAACTCTATATTAAATTTTTTATACCTCTTTGTTGCAAATGCATAGCTTAGAAAAGATTCATAATCTTTATCTCCTTTATATCTTTCTTCAATTGATTATGGAGACAAATTTTGTTTCTTTCTATCATGAACAGATATACGATCACTTAATAATCTTTTTAATCTTGATTGATGAAATTCTTTCTCTGCTTCATTATTTTCATTTTATTAATCAAATTATAAGACAATATTAACTGGAATCAAGTATAATTCACATTAACATGATTTTGATATTGCTCTATACTATCTAAATTATTAATGACCAATATCTTAATGTCCAAATACACAACCAACTTATAATAAAGAAATTGATATTTGTTTATTTTTATTAACTACCTTAAGTAATTCAACTTCTCCTGACTTTATAAAATAAATATATTCTGGTATTGTATTTTCATAATATATCACTGAAAAAATAGAAAACTTTTATACAATAATATGTTCAATCATTCCTTTTAATTTACCATCAGATAATGATCTAAATAAAGAATAATTTCTCAATAATTAAATCTTTTCATTTCTTACTTATTAATGATATTATTATAAGATATTTTAAAAGTCATTATTTGTTAATGTCAATAATAAACAATCAGTCACGCATAAAACTGTTGCTGTTCTTCTTACATGACCTATTAATGCAATTTCTCCAAATTAATCACCTTAATGACACATATTTACAATCTTTAAACTTGGAAATCTTTTTTTAATTAATTAATCTAATGCTTTATCAACTTAAAAATTATTTGGATTATGATTATATTCATCAATAATTGCATCTTAATCAAATTGTTTTAAATTCTTCATTCCTAAAAAGTTTGAATATGCCTATTATATTATAATATCTTTTAATGAATCATTTGATGATTTTGGACTTCCTACAATATCAATTTAATGATATTCATCTAAAATCTATTTATGACTTATCATTCTATTTTTTGGACATAAAATTGCTACTTTCCCTTACAATATAATATAAAATAACTCTACATTATTTGATCCTAATTAATTTATATAATTCTTTTACCATAATGAAATAATACTTCTTCTTATTTCGTTTCAATTAAATTTAACTTTTTCAACATTTGATAATACAAAATACTATCAAATATTTCTCTTTTTTCTTTAAAAAATTTCAGATCTCCAACTATTTTACTTATTTATTCAACATATTCCTTCTTTTTCTATTTCTAACAAAATACTTATTTTAAATTTTCATATAACATTATTAATATAAATATTTATATTTTATTTATAAGACATAAATGAATTAAACAAATACATCTTATAAATAGAAATGATCATTAAATATCTAACTATTTGAAAAACTTAAATTATATAAATAAATTAGATTATTCTAAAGTAATTATATAGAATTTTTAGAATTGCTAATTTTGACAACTAATAAAATATATTAATCAAAATAATATCTTATACTTTAAAGACTGTATTTTTTACTTAGATCAACATTTAAAAGATATATTAAAATTATTTACTCAAGTGTTTTATTTTATTCTTTTATTTTATTTACAATTGAAATGTTGGATTATTAGTTGTTTAGAACATTAAAAGTATTTTTATCAGTCTATATTTATTATTTATATAAATTTCATTTATAATCATATATGCTCATGCATTATACTTATTAAACATTCATTTTTCATAATAAGTAACGTTTACATATTCTTAATTTTGATTGTATTTAATTGGCATTAATTATATTAGTATGACATCTTAGATTTATAGTATTAATTAATATAAGTTTTCTTTATTTAGTAATTATATAAGTACAAAACTTAAATTATAAATAAAAATAATTATTATGAAGGCTTTAAAACCGTGGAAATACCCTAATTCAGTGGAAATATCTGAAGCCAATCATTTGATACTAAGACGATTAGCATAAATAGATAGAAGACCTTTCTATAACTTTAAAGATCAAACGAAAGAATTTCGCAAACATATCGAAATAGTTGAGAATCGAAAAAAATGGTTTGCTATATCTAGAAGTTATTCTCCAGTTCCATATCGCAGAAAGAAACTGTGACTATTATTAGATATTGTTTTTTAATAAATATAAGTAATTAAGATTCATATTAAACTGAGGTATTCCTTCTATTAAGTCCATTTCGCCATAATTTGCAACTAAAAAAGATAATTAGAATAGATTTTACCCTTCTAACTTTAGTTAATAGATTTTTAGCTTTTTCATTAGAATCTAAAACAGTTTTTAAATCTGTAATAGCAGTACTCCAAGGGTATGCACCATTAGCCAATAAAATATGTGTGATTTCCAAATGGTTTTCCTCTATTGATAAAATTAATGGTGTTCTATATAAAATATCAATTCCATCAACATCAGAATGATATTACAAAAGCAATTCTACTAATTCTACATAACCTTTTTTACATGCCCAATGAAGTGCAGTCATATTATAAAAATCAAAATCAAAAACAAGATAAGGATTGATTGATAGAAGATTATTGATTTCATCTATTTAATTCTTTTTAGCTGCATGAATAAATTGTTTTGAAAGTGGTTTTTCATATGGTTTTTTTGAAAATATCTTATTTTACATTACATACTTAATAGTTAAACCTAATTTCTTTATCTTATTAATGGCTCTCAACAGTAATTATCGAAGCTGTTTCTTTGATCTAGGAGGATAAGGTAATACACTTTTTGGTACAATCGGTTTTACATATGTTTNGATGGAATTGATATTTTATATAGAACACCATTAATTTTATCAATAGAGGAAAACCATTTGGAAATCACACATATTTTATTGGCTAATGGTGCATACCCTTGGAGTACTGCTATTACAGATTTAAAAACTGTTTTAGATTCTAATGAAAAAGCTAAAAATCTATTAACTAAAGTTAGAAGGGTAAAATCTATTCTAATTATCTTTTTTAGTTGCAAATTATGGCGAAATGGACTTAATAGAAGGAATACCTCAGTTTAATATGAATCTTAATTACTTATATTTATTAAAAAACAATATCTAATAATAGTCACAGTTTCTTTCTGCGATATGGAACTGGAGAATAACTTCTAGATATAGCAAACCATTTTTTTCGATTCTCAACTATTTCGATATGTTTGCGAAATTCTTTCGTTTGATCTTTAAAGTTATAGAAAGGTCTTCTATCTATTTATGCTAATCGTCTTAGTATCAAATGATTGGCTTCAGATATTTCCACTGAATTAGGGTATTTCCACGGTTTTAAAGCCTTCATAATAATTATTTTTATTTATAATTTAAGTTTTGTACTTATATAATTACTAAATAAAGAAAACTTATATTAATTAATACTATAAATCTAAGATGTCATACTAATATAATTAATGCCAATTAAATACAATCAAAATAATATCTTATACTTTAAAGACTGTATTTTTTACTTAGATCAACATTTAAAAGATATATTAAAATTATTTACTCAAGTGTTTTATTTTATTCTTTTATTTTATTTACAATTGAAATGTTGGATTATTAGTTGTTTAGAACATTAAAAGTATTTTTATCAGTCTATATTTATTATTTATATAAATTTCATTTATAATCATATATGCTCATGCATTATACTTATTAAACATTCATTTTTCATAATAAGTAACGTTTACATATTCTTAATTTTGATTGTATTTAATTGGCATTAATTATATTAGTATGACATCTTAGATTTATAGTATTAATTAATATAAGTTTTCTTTATTTAGTAATTATATAAGTACAAAACTTAAATTATAAATAAAAATAATTATTATGAAGGCTTTAAAACCGTGGAAATACCCTAATTCAGTGGAAATATCTGAAGCCAATCATTTGATACTAAGACGATTAGCATAAATAGATAGAAGACCTTTCTATAACTTTAAAGATCAAACGAAAGAATTTCGCAAACATATCGAAATAGTTGAGAATCGAAAAAAATGGTTTGCTATATCTAGAAGTTATTCTCCAGTTCCATATCGCAGAAAGAAACTGTGACTATTATTAGATATTGTTTTTTAATAAATATAAGTAATTAAGATTCATATTAAACTGAGGTATTCCTTCTATTAAGTCCATTTCGCCATAATTTGCAACTAAAAAAGATAATTAGAATAGATTTTACCCTTCTAACTTTAGTTAATAGATTTTTAGCTTTTTCATTAGAATCTAAAACAGTTTTTAAATCTGTAATAGCAGTACTCCAAGGGTATGCACCATTAGCCAATAAAATATGTGTGATTTCCAAATGGTTTTCCTCTATTGATAAAATTAATGGTGTTCTATATAAAATATCAATTCCATCAACATCAGAATGATATTACAAAAGCAATTCTACTAATTCTACATAACCTTTTTTACATGCCCAATGAAGTGCAGTCATATTATAAAAATCAAAATCAAAAACAAGATAAGGATTGATTGATAGAAGATTATTGATTTCATCTATTTAATTCTTTTTAGCTGCATGAATAAATTGTTTTGAAAGTGGTTTTTCATATGGTTTTTTTGAAAATATCTTATTTTACATTACATACTTAATAGTTAAACCTAATTTCTTTATCTTATTAATGGCTCTCAACAGTAATTATCGAAGCTGTTTCTTTGATCTAGGAGGATAAGGTAATACACTTTTTGGTACAATCGGTTTTACATATGTTTAAGATGGTAAAGTATTAATATGTATATTTTATTTTGTTTATTTAGGTGATTGATTAATTTACATAGGTGAGAAATTTAATTTATTTATGATTGTATATAGATCTTAATTAGAATAATCAGTCTTATATATTTTTAAAGTTTTATGATATGAAGGTTTATATTAAGATGATGTAGATTATTTAGTTGGTTCTATTATATTATTATTAATATGTTATATATTAATAGTCTTTTTATTAATAATTAATTATTATTTAGTTTTTGCTCTTTTTCTTTAATTTTAAATAATTACTTAAGGAGGATGTACTTTAATTTCTGTAGTACTTTTTAATTTAACTCCATAATCTACAATATTCTTTAATGAATGATTTTTAAGAAATTCTCTTATTTATTCATCTGTTGGTATTGTTATTTTATGTCTTTTTAATAATGAAATCATCTTATTAGGTGGTAATACAAAAAATTTAAAATCTTCACTAAATAATGGTCTAATTATATCTTTTTATTTCATTTTAGGATACCATGGTCTATCTGTATTTATTATTCTTATTTATTAATTTTATGATTAAACTATTAATCTTCTATAATAATCTTCATTAAACATTTATTTATATATATATATTTATATATATTTATTATTAATAGAAAATTTTAAAATATTATAAATGAATGAACTTATGAGTGAGATAAATTAAGATCGTTCAGATTAACCTCATGCAATCAGTGTTAATGTTTTTGTAAACTTATTATAAGCTAATTTACATTTATAAGTGTCTATTCCTCCTGAGATTCCATTTAATATATTTGTATAAGGAATCAAAGAATAAATATTTGCATAACGGATGTAAGCTTAATATGAAGAAATTATAAAATGGTAATTAGGTAATGGAAGCTATTTGTAATAAAATGAAAGCAGAACTCTTTAACAATTGGGTTTTAAAAATAATAGCACATTATATATGATATTGAGACTGAAAGGTAATCATTATATTTATATTAGAGAAAAAAATATATATTAAGTATTAGTGGATTTGCAATTCAAGAAAATTGAATTATTTATAGAATAATATCAAAGAAATCCAGTTTCGTGTCTTTTTCATGATATTTTGATAGAATTATTCAAAAATTAACAACTTAAAATTGATCGTCCATTTGCTTTTTTTATAAATGAAACAGAAATTAATCCATTTGATATTCGATAAATTTAAGATTTTGAAACATCCAAAGGTATAATATTAAAATTAATCGTCCCAAATAAAGAAGTAAATAAAGATTCAATGGAAAAATATAAATTTGCTTTTAATTCTAATAAATTAATAAAGCCTTGTTTGAGAAATATTATAAAAATAGAGCACAATAATTTTGTTAAAATGTTCCCTTAAAACTATAAATTAATCTATCAGATAATTTAAGATATGAGTATAGATTAAATAATTAACAAAAATCAGCCTAAAATTTATTATATTAATAATGAATAATTTTAAGAATCTCAACTCAAAAATGTTTATGCCATTAATAATATAAAAGTTAATATTTAAAATACTAATTAAACTGAGGGTATTGTTGTATTTAATTTAATTGGAGATTTTTATAAAAAATTAGAAATTGAGGGTTATATAAATAGTAATTATTATTTTATTGAAGAATTTATGTCAATGAATACTTCAATGACAGAATTCTTAGAATATGTTAAGTTCAAAATATTTGGTCCAAAATAAATTGATTATAAACAAACTATTATTGAGTAAAAAGATTTTGAAGCTAGAGTATCTTATTAAAAGAAATGAAAAATGAATAGAAAAATATAAAAATATAGAATTAAAAATTTAATAATTTATTTTTTAGATTATAAATGTATTTAATCTTAAAGATATACAATTATAAAATTATAAATTTATCTTCAATTATATTATTTGAATATTAATATTAAATCTATAAATTAATATAATCATATTCATTAAGATTAAATAAATATATAATAATTGCATATACTTAAATAGATTAACTATAAATATCAAATTAACTATCATAATAAATATATATAAGTATTTCAAATGAATATATTCTAATCTTTCTTTGACATTCAATATATAAAATTGATCCCCTTTTTTGATAGAAAATTCAAGTATTTTCTTGGATAAAGAGATTAAATTATATACTTATCAAAAATAGAAGATTAGATTATATATAATTTTTATAATGTTAAGCATTATTTTGTTTTAATTAGTAATAGGACTTAGTGAACGTCCAAAAAATATTAGTGAATTGTCAAAGATACTGTAAAAGTATGAATACAAAGGGTAATGGACATCATAGAAAAAGGAATAATAATAATTTCAATACATGACAGTTGAATAAGGAGATGCTTATATGATATTCTTGTCAAATAGTACATAACAAAATAAGAATGATCTAATCGATAGACTTGAGTTTTAATTGCTTAATCCCATATATCCAGAAAAAAGACAGGTATTAGGCATTTTTTAATTGACAAATTATTCTGATAGTGATATGTAAAGAATGATTTAATGTTAGTTCATTCGAGAACATCAGTGTCTTGAACTACTCTACAGCATACAAATTCAGAAGAACACATAATTCAAAAGAGAATTGTGAAATAGCATATACTGTCAATATTGAATTTGAAAGTGAAATTTATGATGAGAAACATACTAAGATTAAAGTACATTTGTATACTCATAATAATTCATTGGATTTAAGTTGTGATGTTGATATTGAAATGGATTTAACTCTAGACACAACAAATTATTTATTAAGGATTATTATGTATTGTACAATGTCTGTGATGATATGTTTTACTTAATTCTTATTTGTAACTAAGCTCTGTAAGGCTTTAATTGAGAATTTGGAAGACTCTAACAAAGTAAAATACTCAAAGTTATATTAGATTTCATTTTTTGCAGTTGGTTATTTGACTGTTCAAGATTCATACATATGTCTACAAAATCTCTATAAAGCATTAATTAATTATGTAAAATATATGATCAATTCTAGCAATACTTTTAATATTTCATTTTACCTGCTTTCTTTTACTTCTTATTGGCAACAACTTGTGACATGAAATTAATTTGGATAGTTTGGAGAAGTCGACATTTAGAAGATCTATTTGATTAATAAAGAATGAGAAGAGCAATCACTTACTTCTTTGTTTAATTTTGTAAACAACACCAAATTAAATTAGATTTCAGTCTCATCATTTATTTTGTATTGATGTACTTCCTTTCCACTTATAATTGGTTTATTTGTATAACTGGCTTAATTCTACTTCCATAAATTATCCATAATATACGTCTTGGTAATAACTCTAGATTCAACTCTTATTTTGTATTTGGTATCTTGGTTCCAAGTATGTTCTATTAAGTATATAATTAAAATATTTTAGATCTATAATAGAGGATGTCCAAGTAATTTTCAGGGTCTTGAACCTTCATTACTATTTTGTATGATCTATTTAAGTGAATACTTACTCTAAATAATTGTCCTCTATATCCAGTTTAAATTGGGCCCAAGATCATTTATTCCTAAATGTTTCCTACCAAAATAATACAATTATTACAGAGTACTTAATATAGAAGAGGATTATGTACCAATCATCCAATAATTTTCATTAGGAAGAATGTGCAATATGTTTGACTTCATTAATTGAAGATCCCTTTGATTAATAAGTGCCCACTGATAAATTAATACTCAAATAGGCTATGTAAACTCCTTGTCATCATTGGTTCCATCCATCTTGTCTTCGCAGTTGGATAAATATCAAAATGTAATGTCCTACTTGTCGTTCAGAATTACCACCTCTATTAGAATGAATATTTAATTAAATTATCAGAAATGCAACGAGTAGCTCCAAACAATTTTAAAGAGGCTTTAGTTAGAGTAGTGATTCCTAAATAATCATCTTAACCTAACATTTATCCAGAATATAATAATTTCTTTCATATCCCTCCTAAATTTAAATAATAGCGTTTGACTATCAAATAACCTGTATCCACTTCCAAATCAATAGAAGAGAAACGTTATAAATAACATAAACACAATATTTCAGAAAACACCAATAATCATACCAATAGTAGTTCTAAAAGTAATTTAATGGGTAATTTGTAAATTGAAGATGATTCTATTTAAACCTCTTAAAATGGTTAAAAATTAAGAAAAATTGTTGGAGATAGTCATTTGTTTTCAACTACCTAACTTTAGAAACTGTAATTAAACTTTAATTATATAGATCTAAATAGAATCTAAATACTAATCTCACAAATGATTCTCAAAGTTCAAGATAAAGGAAACCTAAAAATTAGGAATTATATAATCTTAATACTTAAATTCAATCAATCATGATTAAGAAAAAATATCATTCAAAATGGGAAATCTATAAAGAATAATTATAAAAATAATGCAATCTATTAAATGTATACAAACATTAATTTATTCAATCTACTCCAATTAATGATATATCTGTTAGAATTATCAATAATTTATTTGAAATGATGAATAATATATCTATTGAGATTTTATGTGAATAAGAGACAAAATTCAATTAAATTATTGATAAAATCAATATAGAAAAAGAATTATGTTTAAATAATTACAAAATAATTGAAAAAGAAAGAGATCTATTGATTGATTCAATTAATTAACTTAAATCATCAAAATAATCAACAAATCAAATTGATAATATGGATACTATTTAATTAATAGAAATACATAATAAAATGCACATTAAATTATAAGAAATGAGTGAAAAAGAATCAAAATTAGTTAAATTAATTTTAGCAATCAAAAAAAGTGGAATTGATATTGAAAAAATTTACAATGAAGAAGTACTTAATGATGATAATGTACTTGAATCAAATAATAAATTGAATAGAATTAAATAATATAATGTTGAAATAAATGAACATGATGCTGATAATTCTATAGTAAATGATTCTGATGAATCTAGTTTTTGCTTTCTTAATAGATTTGAAAATGATTCCATAATAGAAAGTGTAAGAAAATTTGAATACAAAAATCTCGATATAAAAACCAATATTTTTTAACTTAAATTAGATTTATCTAATTTATAATCTTAATCTAATTAAATAAAATAATAAAATAATAAATCATAAAAATTATAAATACAATAAAATCATTAATAAATACATAAATCACTTTAAAATTAATGTTCTATTGGCTTTCATTAAGAATTTATGTCAAAACTAAATTAATTTTCTGAAAGTTAGAGTGTTTAAGCTATAAAAAGATGAAATAAAGAATATATATCTTGAATTTTTATATATTATAGAGTTTTCATTTAATTTTACTCTATTTATATGTATCTATATGTATTATGAAACAGTTGATTCAATTGTTCTTAATTTAATAAATATATTAGTTTTTATCTTCATTATAATAAATTTATTGAAAATGGGATCAGTTGTTGGGTCGACTTAATAAATTTAATCTGAATAGAAGTTATTTATTGCCCGTTAAAGAAATAAGAATTTATTAATAGCATAAATTACAAATGATAGAATGAAGAAATGTATTGAGCAAGTTTTGTAAAAGGATATTGAATTACAATAAATTTTGAAGGAAAAAATAAATTAACAAGAAGGGTTTACTCTTGCTCTTAATGGATCATATCGTGGGTAAAGAGAAAATGAATTTATATAATCTGGTTATGGTGAACTCATCTCTGATAAGTAAGACAGGTATTTTTTAGGACAATGGAAAAATAATTTATTAGAAGGTAAAGGATGTACAATTTATGTAAATGATCAAGAATATCAATATTATTATGGTTAACATTCAAAAGGAGTAGCTCATGGAAAAGGGGCAATTGTATTTAATGATGAGGCATAATATTAAGGAGATTGGGAAAATGGACAGATGACAGGTGAAGGATCAATATATATAACAAATAGTTTATATTATAAAGGTTAAGTAAAAGATGGAAAGATGCATGGTTAAGGAAAATTAATATTATTTAGCAATTCTATGAATTCTAAGTAAAGTATTGGAACAGATGTAGCTATAATATAAGATGGAGGTACTATAATTGAAGGATAATTTTATGAAGATTAAATGATTGAAGGAACTGTTAAAAGCTAAAAAGGAAANAAGAAGTACTTAATGATGATAATGTACTTGAATCAAATAATAAATTGAATAGAATTAAATAATATAATGTTGAAATAAATGAACATGATGCTGATAATTCTATAGTAAATGATTCTGATGAATCTAGTTTTTGCTTTCTTAATAGATTTGAAAATGATTCCATAATAGAAAGTGTAAGAAAATTTGAATACAAAAATCTCGATATAAAAACCAATATTTTTTAACTTAAATTAGATTTATCTAATTTATAATCTTAATCTAATTAAATAAAATAATAAAATAATAAATCATAAAAATTATAAATACAATAAAATCATTAATAAATACATAAATCACTTTAAAATTAATGTTCTATTGGCTTTCATTAAGAATTTATGTCAAAACTAAATTAATTTTCTGAAAGTTAGAGTGTTTAAGCTATAAAAAGATGAAATAAAGAATATATATCTTGAATTTTTATATATTATAGAGTTTTCATTTAATTTTACTCTATTTATATGTATCTATATGTATTATGAAACAGTTGATTCAATTGTTCTTAATTTAATAAATATATTAGTTTTTATCTTCATTATAATAAATTTATTGAAAATGGGATCAGTTGTTGGGTCGACTTAATAAATTTAATCTGAATAGAAGTTATTTATTGCCCGTTAAAGAAATAAGAATTTATTAATAGCATAAATTACAAATGATAGAATGAAGAAATGTATTGAGCAAGTTTTGTAAAAGGATATTGAATTACAATAAATTTTGAAGGAAAAAATAAATTAACAAGAAGGGTTTACTCTTGCTCTTAATGGATCATATCGTGGGTAAAGAGAAAATGAATTTATATAATCTGGTTATGGTGAACTCATCTCTGATAAGTAAGACAGGTATTTTTTAGGACAATGGAAAAATAATTTATTAGAAGGTAAAGGATGTACAATTTATGTAAATGATCAAGAATATCAATATTATTATGGTTAACATTCAAAAGGAGTAGCTCATGGAAAAGGGGCAATTGTATTTAATGATGAGGCATAATATTAAGGAGATTGGGAAAATGGACAGATGACAGGTGAAGGATCAATATATATAACAAATAGTTTATATTATAAAGGTTAAGTAAAAGATGGAAAGATGCATGGTTAAGGAAAATTAATATTATTTAGCAATTCTATGAATTCTAAGTAAAGTATTGGAACAGATGTAGCTATAATATAAGATGGAGGTACTATAATTGAAGGATAATTTTATGAAGATTAAATGATTGAAGGAACTGTTAAAAGCTAAAAAGGAAATTACAAAGGATAGATGAAAGATGGAAAAATGGATGGAAAAGGAACATTTATTAGTAATGATGAAACTTTTTATGATGGATAATTCAAAAATAATAAAAGACATGGTGTAGGGAAGAGTCAAAATTAAGGTAAAGTTTAGATTGCTTAATGGGAAAATGATAAATTAGTTAGAGTTCTAGAAATATAATGATGAATTCATTTTTTTTTAATTTATTAGAGTTTAGAATTTAAATTGTATAAAATTAATTATACAATAAAATATTATATAATATATCATTATATAAAAGAAGAATTAAAAATCAAATAAATATAATATTAAATAATAAGAATATCATCAACAAATTCATTATTTACATTATCTAATTTTTAAATAAATAATCTATTACTTTGCTTTCAATCTCTAAATTTATACAGCTAATTAAAAGGATAAAAAGTATTTAGATAATTTCTTTAGTCTTTTTTATTTATTGTATTAATTAAATCTAAAATCATTATTATAAATAATTACTTGTAAATAACAATATCATAATTATTATAGGGGAGATATACTTCAAATAAGTATAATTTCTCAAAATCATTATCTCCAAATTCAGCTCCAATAGGATTCTTTTATTTATTAAAAATATTTACATCAAATCCACTAAAAGGTTAAAATTGAGAAGGTGCTATAGATACTTTTGTTCCAGTTCTAGTTGATTTTTTTCTGTTAGTTCCCTTTCTACTTTACAATTCTGGACTATCAGTATATTACCTATTGATTCCAGAGATTGATCTAACAGTATAATTGGAATTTGTAGATCTTCTAGGTTTTCCTGAAGGAGTTTGAGTGTTTTCATTTTATTTGATTTAAGAACGATGTGAATTAGCAGTAATATTATTAGAAGTAATAGGACTATAAGTTTGAGATCTTGAAGAATTTTATCTGATTGAATTTTATTTATTTTCTTGTCTAAGAACAGAATTATTAAAAGATTCTGAAGCATTCCTCTAATATTATTAGTATTTAGTCTATAATTCACTCATCTAATTATCAAAATTATAATTGAAAGTTAATTTAGGATCTTTAAATCTTTAAGGTTAATTGCCTTATTCTAATACATTCTCTAAAGAAGGTGAATTTTCTGAACTTTCATTTTCTATAATAACATTCAATGATTTTTGATCTTTAATTGATTGTTGACCTGGATTACCAAAGCCAGCAGTAGCAAATGTATTCTTTTATTAATCTTTTCTCAATAAACTAACAAATTTATCATCATCCAATTCACCTTAATGTACAATATATTGATTGTCTGCAGTTTCCAAAAATCTTAAAGATATTTAAGATATACTTTTACACATCATTCATCAAAGATTATTATTATTCATATATAGATTTTTCCTTTAATAATGATGTACTCTTTAACAACGATTTCTCCCTGCTTACTCTACTAAAACTCTAAGCAGAAGCATAAGATTCTTTAATATATACATCATCATATGGTAGATTTGATTAACTAAATTGATTGGATGATTGAAAATGGTTATCTGAATACAATTACAATAAGTAATCTTGATTAGCCTCTGCATCTTTTAAGAAATCAAAAGCTTTCATTTCTTTATTTTATCTTCTAGGATCTAAATAAAAATATATAGTATTTATTACATTATTTTCTAAGATTCCTAACAGGGTAAATATAAGTTTTAATCACTTTCTCTTTATCTGGTCTAAAGGTCAATAAAGGACATTTAGTCATAAGATGATCACTTGATTGACAACAGAAACATAAACATGGTAAATCCTTATGAATCAATATACGATCTCTAACATTATAGAAATATTGCTTAATAGATAAGATTGATTTTAATACTTTATCACTAAATGTTAATAATTTAAGGAAGATTTCTCTTCTAATTCTTAAGAGTCTACAAACTCCTTCACTTATTACTGTTGCAGATCTGGGTAATTGAGTATAAAAAGAGATTTCACCAAAAGTTTATGTTGACTATAATAATAATAAATTGAAAATACTCCTAAGATTTATAATTAAACTCCCATTTTATTGACTACTTTAAAATTACCTTCAAGAATAAAATATAAGGAACAATCATCATATTCAGATTCATTAACTATTACTTAATTAGGTTAACAAATCATATCTTCACAATAATTAATAAGTGTATTTATAGTATGTTGATTATAGAATTTAAAATATTTAGTAAGTAATTAAGATCTTTAAATGTAATTAAATTCTTATAATAATTATCCAGATAATTTGGATACGAATTAATTATGATAAAATTTTGGTTAATTAAATATATGATTAGTAATTTTGAATTTTAAATTGGAATCTAATTTATTTATAGCTAAGAATTCACTAAGTTATTCTGATATTCTATTGCTCTTAAATAAATACACAAATTAAGTTAAAAAGTAAGCAAACATAATAATTGAACTAAAATTAATTAAACTATTAAATATTAATTCATCCTATTCAGTAGGTACATAATTAGAATTGAATGCATATATTGATATAATCACATTTAAAGCAGATAAGTATGTTGAAAATTATTCATGATACTAATTGAATAATCCATATTGATAACAAGTGATCACATGGAAAATTAGAATCATTTTAATTAATGAATTAATCACTAATATTATAGGATGAAATAAATTGAATTCAAATTTTAAGTGTATTTCAATTTCATAAAATCGTTTTATTAAACTTAAAAGAACTGCTGTAAGTACATAGAATTTAAAATTTTATGCTAAAGTATTTAAGAATATTAATCCTATAATTGTGATCTAATTTATAATTTAAGATTTATTACTGAATCATGTAACAACAATTATTTATTATATCTAATTGAAATTAATTTAAAATTTGTAATGAATTAACCATTTTCTGTAAAAGAACTACATAATTGCATTCCAACATCAATAAATTTAAATAATAAAAAGATGTAATTCAAATCTCTTATAATTTAAGCTGTTGATAAAGGTACATATACTATCATCAAATGTTAAATTATATAAAATATCAAATTCCAACTTTATAATAGCCATGATGAAGGCAACAAAGTCCCTCTATATAAGTTTATAATATGTACAATTATAATCTTTTGAATTGTTTTCTTAATCAAATAAATACTAAAATTATTTAGCTTTACTATCTATTTTAAATCTCTTTCTAATTCTTTCTATAAAATAAAGAATTAATTTGCTTTTGCTTCTTTTTCTTGTGGTTTCTTATTATCTTTATGGAAATGTCAACATAAAAGGACTTTCATCTTATTCACTAAATGGAGTCTTTGATTGTAGACTAACCATTTGATTAGAGTTATTTTAAGATTAGATTTGTGATAGTCTTGATTTATCTACAGTCCTTAAAGTTGGATCTCTAACAGATACATCATCATCAGGTTGTATAGGATGAGAAATATTTTATAAGGGTTCATACTTAAATGGTCCTAAATAAAAACATTCAAAGTACCTCTCATATCACTAGAATGAAATCTACTCAATTTATCAGGTTCTGTTTTGTTTTTTCTTTAACTACTTTATGAACACTTAATTGATCTTCCACTCATTTTAATTATATTATTTTCAAATATTATACATTTATACAAAAATACAATCTCAAAAGAATTAAATAAAAAACATAATATTCAAACTAATACTAACTTAAATGTCTTGATCTTTTCTATTATATTATATTATTTCAATTTTATTTGATAACTATTTAAATTATCAAATGAAAATTATTATTGTATTTATCGTTTTAATTACAATTGCTGTAGCCTCATAATAAGAAGGCTTTGATGAAATCAAGTCATGGAGGGAAAGAATATAATTTAAATAAGATTATGAGAAATTATAGGAAATGATTCAATAGGTCGATCACATTATAGCCTATTTAGATACAGAATAGGGGAAGTAATTTCATAAATTTAATTCAAAGGAATCTTACTCCCAAATAATATGAAGAATTGCTTAATGAAATTACAACAATTGAAGAAGAGATCAAAGTGATAACATCATCTTACAAGGAGGACGATTTATGATTATTTATTTGATTGTGTCAATTATCTTAAATAGAAATCTACTTTAAAAAAGCATATATATATATAGAGTACATAAAACAAATTTAGTTATTTTATTTGAGTAATATAATGTTATTCATGAATCTAATATTAATTTAGCATTCTATTCATCAATATTATAACTAAAAAAATTAGTAATATATTAGGTTCATCTAATGTATTTATATTTATTAATATTAAACATAAAAGAATACATTAGAACCTTAAAATATAAAACAGTGATATTATTATTAAAATACATAAATAAGTAGCTTTGCAATTATTTATTTATGGTCATAATATTTTGCTTAATTTATATTTGAATATATTGGTAAATTTAGTCTTGACAATAAAATTAAATAAATTATACTTAGTGTTGATTAAGTATTAAATAAATTATATTTTAACAGGAGGTATATTAATCTTCATTTTATATGAATTAATTAATAAATATAGATTTTTGAATAATATATAAACAAGATATATATATAAGATAAATCATTTTTTTTTAGTAACTTTCATCATTTTTTAATTCAATTATTGTAATTTCATCTTTCTTTGTATTTCTTTATTAATAAATCCTTTCACATAAGGAGATTCATGTACTTTTCCAGGAAGTAATATACTTTGTTTGAAAGACACTCTTTTTGCAGAAGTACCTTAAAATTTATAATTTATATACTTCTACTAGAAGTAGTGAAAAATGATTTGTCAAGACTTTACTAAGTATGTTATTTGGATTAAATAACCTTTTTAAGTTCTCTTTATGATGGTATTTTTTTTTAATCTTCTATAAATTTATAACCACCTCCTCTCCAATCATAAACAAATTTAGATAAATTTCTATTAGTTGTTATTAAAGGTAAAGCTACCATTGATTAAGAATCAATTAATTTTTAAGGAGGTGCTTTTGCTAATGGATTTGATTTAGGTAAAATTGGTGTTGAGAGATTATCAATTATTTTTGCATGAGGTGTTTTAGGTATATAAGGTTTTTTTTATTTAAGTTGTAAAGGAGTTTGAAGTCTTGGACTAAATATTGATTTTGGAGATTCTTTTCTTTACAAATAGGCTTCTTTATTAAAATAATGATCTAAATTAAAAATGATTTATAATACCTTTAACTTTTGGTAATGGATAATGTTTTAGTTTTGCCTTTGTTCCATCTATTACTTCAGTAGTAGTATCAATTTAAGAATAATGTTAAACTGATTGATTTTTACCATGTGAAATGATATGTTTTCTTTGATCTGCAATAATTCTATCTCTTAAAGTAATTTAACTTCTTTAAATAGCCATAATCCTTTCATGTTATTATCTATGTAATTCATTAATTTATTCTTTAAGTTTAATTTCAAATACTTCTAATCTTAAAATATGTTTTTCAATTAGATTATTTAAATATTATTTATAATTATTAGATAAATTACTTTAATTAACATTCTAAATTTAATTATAAAATATTTACTTCTTCTAATGCTCTTCTTTGAATTGTGAAATTACTAGCTTATTTTTAAAATTTAGTTAATTATTCCTAATAATTATTTAATTATTTAAGATCTTATTCAATTTAATATCTTAAAGATTCTGCAGCTTTTCTGTCTATTCCATCAATACGTTATAGATTTTCTTGATTTTCATTCACAGTAAATTTAATCTACTCTACTTCCCATTAATATTTGAAAATAGATTAATTTATATCTTATTCATTATTAAAATGTTCTATAATATTTTCTTCATATAATTTAGTTTATTCTTTTTCATTATTTATAGGTTTTTAATTAGATTTATTGTTTAATTATTTCTTTAGTTCTGCATTCTCATTTATTAATTAATCATAAATTTATTTAAAATCTTCTTGATGAGTATTTTATTATAGATTCTTGATAGTACCTTGATTAAAAATACCCGCAGCCATTTAACAATATTCTAGAGTTTAGATAGTTTCTTCATAATTTGTTATTGATGGTGAAACACAACCAATAATCAAAGTTTTAGAATTTCCTCCAAATGAATCTTTAAGTATTTTAGTTAATTTGCTATTTCTATATGGAATGAATGGTTAAATCTATTTATTTTATGCTTCACTTAATAAGGATATACAATCATTAAGAACTTATAAAGATCCAGACTTTTATCCATTTTTATCAAACCAAGCTAAATCACCTAATATAAATTTAGAAACTAAGATTTCATTATTTTAACCAATCATATCTTGTATTTAGATAGTAAATATTAGAATTTCATGTTATTTAGTTGATTTTTATCGTTTTCCATATTATATTAAATTGATCACTTCTTAAGTGCTAGTAACATCAATTTCTCGTATTCCATTTATGACTACTCCTTTTTCTATATCATCTCTAATATCAAGGTTTCCATTCATATTGTTTAATAGATCATAAAGTTACTCTTATTAGATTTCTATATATGAAAATTTCATCTAAATTTTCCTTTTTTTGTTATGAATAGTTTAAAATAATTAATTTAGAGCTCTTATCAATAATCCATAATCCTCATTAAGTTTCATAAGTCTAAATATATAGAAAAATATTTACGTATGTGATTTTCCTGTTCCAGAAGCACCGTAACTAAAGAGTGTAACATTTATTCCATCCAACAAAGAAAGGATCTAATATTCAAGAGTCTTTTCAAATATATCCTTTTAAGAAGCTATTTAATCAAAAACCCAGTTGAATTTATAGGTCTTTTTGACCAATTTAACTTCTGTCTCTACCGGAGGAATTGCTAGTAAGGTCTCTTGATCTATAACTTTGATAGTGCTCTTGTCTGAAATTTCAAGATCTCTATTGTTAAAGGGCCTTATTCGAATAGCAACCTATAATAATCAATACTTATTACTTTTATGTTTTCAAGTAACATTTTTAATTAATAATGTTTATAAATTATACATATTCACAACCAATTTATGTAAATATTTATATATATATATAGATTAAAGATGAAATCATACAATAAAATATATTCTTTTTAAAATTAATTATTCTTAATATTTTCTTTAATTATTTATTATATAAACTAATTCATTAAACTTTACATTCAAATTTTAACTACTTCCGAGACTATTTAATTAAAGATAGTGTCAATTTATCATCTTAAGTAGGATGATCTAATTATTTATATCTTTGATAATAGTATGATAAAAGAAGACACTTTTCATTTGAGACATCTTCTTCTTTTTTTATAATTTCTACAGGATAACATTAATTATATGATTTTGCAAAATATTTTGATAAGATTGTATTCAGATTTAGAATTTTAGTAAAGAATACTAAATTTTAAGATTGAAACAAATCAGCAATTTATGGTTACTCTCCTTAAGTAGCTAAATTTTATATTAATTCTTCTTAATTAATTTCCTCTTTATCATATAAAATCAACAATACATTTCCACATGTTTATTTCCATAATTTTTATGCTAAATCATTATATAAACCATTCTTTCCCAATAATAATAATCGTGATTCTATTTAATGTATTATTATTGCTGCATTTACATTTGGAATTATTTATACATTACTTAATTCTTTCTTAAGTAATTATTATAAATAACACTAATAATAAGTTTTATCAAGTATATGTTATATTTTATATAAAAGTTCTTATTTTAATGAATATACTCCAATATTAATAGATGCTAAAGATTCTTAAAGTTAACATTTATAAATTGAGAAATCTTTTCCTATTCTCATTCCTATCTCTTAATCGCAGAATTTACAATATAGATGACTAAATAAATCATATTTTTTGAATTGATCTTCTTTGCAATTCTCTATCATTTTAAATGTTAAAAAACTATTTAACTCTAAATATATACTTTAATTGTTCTCCTTCTTTTAAAGGGTACTTGTAAATTTCATCTGATTTATAAGCAAGAAAGCAATTACAAATACTACATATATACATATATAAATTATAATCAATTTTCTTAAATTGATTTCTAATTCAAAAATTATTCTAACCGATGTATTTTCCCATCTTAATTTATTTACATTGAATTCTTACTTATTATCAATTTCTCTATTACTTTCCAACCTATCTCTTACAATACTTGATTCAAATAATATTTCTCCTATATTGCAAATTCTTTATTGTATTTTTATTATTTTTATTTCTTATTAGATAATTGTATTTCTCTCTTTCTCCATTAATCTTCATTAATAAAGAATAATACTCCATTTTATTATACTTTTTCAGTATCAAACATATCTATTCTAATGAATTCTGGTCTATCTTGAATACCTATTAGAGTAAAATTTATAGGAGTTCTATATTAATCTACTATCATTATTTTATGTGTTCCACCAAAGTTTTAATCTATTTATTATATTGGATTCTCATTTTTCCAATCTAAATCATTACCATCTTATAAACTATTGTATGTATACAATTTAAAATAATTACTGACTTTTCTCAGAATGAATTATTTCTCACTTTCATTTAATGTGAAAAAATCAATATGAAATTTATCTTAAATAAATTCATCTGTTATTTAAATAGAACTAATAGCAAATCCTTATTATTATTAATTCAGATAAGTTTAATAAAAATTCTTTAATATTAAATCAATTCTACCATTAATTCTTTAAATTAAAGATGCTCTTATTTTACATTTATCAATAATATCTAAATTGATAGCAATAACATTCTCTTTTAAATAATGTTTAATATCCATTTATTTTTATTCATTAATCAATATTTCAATTTAAATAAGACAATTATGTATAAAATTTATTAATTTATCTTTATCTCTTATTTTTACATTTGGCAATTTGAAATAATTAACTTAAGGTTATTAAATCTTCTTAATTGTATTTAATATATTTTACATCTCCTATTAATTATATTAATCAATATTCAATAACTCAAAATACTCATCAAATGATATTTAATCAAAGATTATTTCAAAATCTTAGATATTTATTTTATTTTAAAAAATGACTAATTTAAATTTATAATTCTCTATAAAAAACATAGACCATTCACATTGATCACCATATAAATTGATTTATTAATAATTACTAAAAAGACCTGAAGGAATTGAATATAAGGCAATCTTGTATTAATTGTTTTCCATTTATACCTAAATGAATGGAATTAAAAGGTATTAAATAAATAATTTATATGAAGTTATGTATTTCAAAGGATAAGGAATACAAATATTATTTACTGTATGTTATAACATGTCAGCTAAAGAACTTATTTCAATTAATTCACTAATTCTTTAAGAATTTATGTTAACTTAAATTAAAATACAAAAATCTTCTAATTTTGGATTTGCTTTATTAGTAACAAGAGATATTTCAATTATAAAGGATTATTCATTTTCTACTTAAATCATATAGATTTCATTAGGTTATAATTATATGGAATAATGTTCTTAATTAGATTCTATAATAAATAAATTAATTTACAATAAGTTATTGAAAAATTCATTGATTCTTCAAATTCAATTATACTAATTTGTTATAATTTTTGAGATGGCCACTATTAGGATTAATCAAGAGTATTATCTTAAGTGATATTTGAAGGAGGAGGAGGAGTCAATGGTACATCAATAGATTATTATTAATGTTTATGAAAACTAAAACTAAAGGGAGGAGTGCTTTTTTTATTAGTTTAAAATTCAGCAATAGGACTTTTATTTTCAGGAGTTTAAAATTCTCCAATTAGAGAATTTACTAATTTGATAGGTGTTTATTCAGTATTAAATTCATTAATTTCAGTTCTCTTAGTTTGAATGACACTTTAAATTAAAGATTATTTTTATTCACTTGATATTTAGAATTCTTTTATAAAGTTATTTTTTTTAATTGGACTTTAAATACATTTAACATTCTTTATTGATTATTATTTATTATGAGCTTATAAGAGTTCAATTTATATTTTTTATTATTCTTATTATAAATCTTTTTCTTTGAGTTATTCTTTAAGTTATTAAATTTAATCATATAAATTAGATATTTTTTAATTTTATTCCTACAATTTCTTTTAATCTTCAAAATTATTTAATTATTTTGTATTTAATTTCATAGTCAATTATTCTTCAACTTTCTTTTGAATAATAGTTTCCAATTGTTTAAATTATGAAATAGGAGTATCACAATTTTGCATTTTCTCTTTAGTAGTTTCATCTGAAGAATTAATCTCATGATTACTGTTTTATTTACATCTTACTCTAAATTATTTTATATATGGTTTAGACATATCAACTTAGCTATTTTATGTTGATGTAGTTTTATGAGTGTCAATAGATCCCTTTATACATCTTCTGTATAATGGTTTTTCTGGTTATATAATGATAATGACTCTTGCTTTTACTAATTTCAATACTTATATTAATTAATTGAATTCTTATCTAGAAATTTATTATATAATTGGTTTAGAACTTTTTGGTTTTTAGATACGATGAGAACATGAATATTGTAATTTTTAAATGATTTGATTATTATTTCCTAAATATTTAATTGCTAATTATTTTGCATTTAAATAGAATTTACAAAATTAATCTTATTAATTTTTTTATGCCCAAACGCTTTTACTATTAATGTACTATAGATCATTTTCTTATGAAAATTCATAGGATTTAGCTAAAATCATATAACCATTAATAAGAAGCATGGCATCTTCAATTTTGGAGTCTCTTTTTTTTAATCTATCAATTAGATCTTTTTCTAATGTACTCATGGCTTATTCAGCAAGTAGAAAGGCTTTACCATAACATCCTAATTGTAATTTCATCTTTGCCATATTTATTTAGACAATAAACTTTATCACCTTTTATCTAAACAAAATACAGTGTAATTGACCATTTTTCAGTAAATGAGAACTCATAAACTTAAAGATCTTATTAGCTAATAAATCAAATCTATGTATTTAGAAGACAAGTACATTACTTATAATAATTAACTGCTAGGTTATTTAGAGCTTAGAGCAATAGAGTAAGGATATCATTTTAAGAGAATGGCATTTCAATAATTTTTTAGATTAAGTTAATATGCATCTAAAAATTGTTAGACTTACTAGTTTAATAAATTTGATGTTGAAAATGATTGAAATTCTGTAAATCTGGTTGATATTTTAACATATTTTAATTATAATTATTCTACAATTTTGAATGAAAATTACATTATAAATTGGTTAAATAATAATAAATATTTAATTTTAGAATATCATATAATATTTAGAAGATTGTTTAATAATTATATGTATTTTTATAATAAATATTATATCAGAATAAGAATTCATGTTATTATATGAAATATATTTGTTTGAATATTAATTAATTATCATATATAAATATTATTAATTCTACAGTTATAACGATGAGTCAACATTTTAAAAATGATGGTAGTTAAATAGCTTACCATGCTAGTCCTTCACGTACTATGTAAGAGGTATCTGAACTATCCAGAGAATAAGCAACTAAGAAACTATAAGAAAAGAAAATCTAAGAATTAGAGTATAAAATCAAACAATCTGAAATAATTATTTAGAGACAATAATCATAATTAAATGATGCTACTATGGAAGCTGCAAAAGTAGGTAGATAATTTTAAGATGCTTTGAATGATTTGAATTAGTTAAGATAATCTAGTGAAAAGAAAGATTAATAAATAGGAATGTTGTTGGAAGAAAATGAAAAAGTAGTTAAGGTTTTAGAGAAACTTAAATAAGATTAAAAGATTATAAATGGAGATTAGAATAAGACTATATAGAATTTAGAGTAATAAGTACGTGATCGTTATTAAGTTGAAAAAAGAATGAATGATGATATATAATAAAAGAGTATTTAAGTAAGATTTTAATATAATTTAGATTGCAAGTTTATAGTTTTAACTTTAAGAATAATTGAACGAAAAGGAAACAATCATAAATGATCTTAGAGAAAAATTAATTGTTTCTGAGAAGTAATGGTCAACAGATGCATCACTTGGACATTTAGCAAGAAAGAGAGGTAAGTAAATTGAAACATTAACACATACAAATAATGAATAATTATTAAAAATATAAGAATTGTAAAATAAGGTTTCTATGTTGTTAGAATAAAATAATAATTTATAAAATACTATTTAAAAAGATTATAATAGAACTGAAGAATATAAGAATTTAATTAAATAATTGGAAGAGAAAAATAGAGAATTATTGGAAAAATAGAATGAAATGAATGAATAGAAAATTTAGAAATTAAAATAATAACATTAATTAGAAATATAAAATAAAATGGATACATTGGAAGTTATTAAAGGGGATATAAATTAGAAGGTAAATTAAAATTTGAAAAATTCCACTTTGCCTATTATTGAAGAATTGAAAATAGCTAGATAAACTATTAGTAATCTATAATGTGAAGTTTAGAAATTAAGATTATAGTAATATAAATCTCTTTAAGGAGAAGCAGAAAATATTTAATAAGAATTTGAATAATTGAACAAAAAAAATAATTAATTAAATGAATAAAATTTCTTATTATAATAGAAAATAAAAAAAGATGAAATAATCAATAAATCTAGAATTGCAGAATTAGAAAAGGCAAATGAAAAATTATAATCTATTTAATAATTAAATGAAACAAAAATTGATGAATTACAATAGAAATTAAAAGAATTACCTAGATTTAGAGAAAGAAGTTTAGAAAATATTAAATTTCATGTTGATTCTACTAAATAAACATGTGAATTAGAAACTAAAATAAGAAAATTATAAGATAAAAATGAATAATTGAATTAAGATATTAATGAAAAGAATTAAAAGATTACTTTATTATTAGATCAAGTAAAATAAGCATAATATGAAAAAGAAAATGAAATATCATTAATTAGATTAGAATCAGCATAAGAGATTAGAGAAACATAAGAATAAATGAAAAGAGAATTATAAATGTAATAGAGATTATTTAATGATGCATAAAAGCCATTTTAAGATTAAATGAAATAAGCAGCTTTAGAATAATAATAACTTAAATAAACAATACAAAGACAATAAAATGAAATAAAATAATTAGAAAATAGAATTACAAGTAAGATTATTTTTTAATTATAGATTTAATTAATGAAAATTAATAATTACATAATCAATAAGATTAATAAAGATTAGTAGAAGATTAATTGTTAAAAGAGAAATAGAATTTAGAATATAAATTAATGGATAGATAAAAAGAATTAGAAAATTGGAAAGATAAATTTAATAAAACAACTAATAATTTTGAAAAATAAACAGAAAGAGCAGAGAGAGAATAAAATAGAGCTGAAGGTAATATTTATATTTTATATTAAAGGTTTACGATTAGAGATTAGTAGAATGTAAAAGTAATTAGAATAAATGGCTGAATAAAATAATAACTTGGAAGTGAAATTATAGAATTCATTATAAGAGTCTCGAGTTCTCAAAAATTAATTAGTTGAAGGTTTGAGAAGAGATTGTGGATCAGGAATGAAATCTAATAGTTTTATAAAGACAAAGTGAAAACTATCTTATTTAATTTTTTATAAAAGATAAAAATTTTATTAATTAATTAATGAATTAAGACACGACCAACGTAATTTTAGTTGTGATCACTAACAAAGCTAATAAAACTCTTGGACATGATAAGTATTTCAAAGTGTTTAGTCAATTTGGCACTATCTAAAGAGTAAGTATGCTGTAACTTATATAGATGCTTATATTTGAAAGATCATTGACATGGAAAACATTTATAGAATTTGATAATCCAGAATCTGCTATAAAGGCAAGATAAGCTATGAATGATAAATTATTTTGTGATGATGCATAATTAACGATGAATGTATATGCTAGTAAGCTTACCTACATCACATTTTAAGAAAATAATACTGGGGGTGTTGGTATATTATTATATATATATAGATTACACTTTATTACGTAAATAATAGCCACCAGCTCCTAAATCACTATAATAGCCTATCCCTATATAATTTCTTTAATCTTAAATGCAATTTCAGCATCAAATGTCTTAATAGATACAATAAATAAATTCTTTGATGGGATAACTATAGTAAGTAAGTGCTGAAGGATTCTCTACAACTATGATTTCTTCAACTGACTTATAGTCATAAATAGAAAAGCAACAGCAATTGTTAAATTAAATATATGAATATTAAGCAAATTTCTAACATCTTACAGATTAATATCAAAATTTCTTATAGGGTGTTAATAAATAAGAAGAAACTTAATCAATCAGTGTCTAATCAAAGTAATCTAATCGAAAGAAATTGACATTACCAGCAGATCAAAAGAAAAAAACAGATTAAATAGAATTTATATAAAGTTATAGAGAAAACAATACAGAAAGTTTATTTAATAGTTAAGAGTAAAAGATTGAAGATGATGATTTAAATTTTTAAGGTCTGGGTTTAAGAGAATCTGATGATGAAATTGTAGGATCTGAACATTGTGATGATGATGATGATAATGAAGATGAAGAATAAAATGAATTTCTAAAATATTTTGATTAGAATTCAGACAATAGATAAATTAATAATTTTTAAAATGCTTTTTAAAATAATGATAAATCTTAATAATAATAATAATAATTCTAATAATAATAATAATTATAATAATCAAATTAATCATTAACTTCTTCTTAACCCACTTCAGCTTCTAATTTAGATTAATTCAAAAATAAAATTCTCAGAATGCCTGTATCCAAGAGTCAAACTTTATAATAAGTAGAAAAATAATAATTAGATAAAATGTAATAAAGTGCTGACAAAATTGAAGAATACATTAATCCCAAATTTTTATAATGTATAAGAATTTTATTACATTAGCTGTGAGAAAATCAAGAGTAATCTATGCAAGATGGTTTGATAAAAAAGTTGTAACATCTTAAATGCTATATAATTTATTTAGTATTTATGGTAACATAGATAAAATGATTTACTTAAAAGAAAGATCTAGTGCTCTCATCTAATATGTTACTTAAGATCATGCTGCTATTGCCAAAGAATCCTTAAATGATATTATGTTTTACGGACAATCCATTAAAGTAATTTAAATCATTGATAATTAGATCTTTTTTTCGAATTATGAAGAAATTTCACTTAAGACTTAACCAACTAAACCTGGAGAATTTACTTAGGATATTAAAACCTAAGAAGAATATTTTTAGGGAGGTGAAGAAACACATAGAATTAAACCTGATAGTACTTATACTTTAGCACCTCCTTGTGATACTATATAGGTATCTAATTTAACAAAAAATTCATGTCAAGTTGCAGTGTTATAATAATACCTTTAAGATTATGGACACATTAGATAATCCAAATTGGTCACTAATGCTACTAAGTACATGGCCATTCTCAAGTACCCAAGCACAGAAGTGGCTATAACTGTTTTGGCTAATAACAATGGATTAGAATTAGATGGTAAGTAAATTTAAATAAATTTCTCAAAACAAAAACTTATATGAAAATTTTTTATGTTATTAATATGATATAAAAAAAAATCGTACTCAAATTAGCTATTAAACATAACCCTCCTAGTTTATTTGTTATCTATCGCTACAATTTAAAAGATAAAAAACTTAGAAGGTTTCTCAATCTAATTAATTTAGATATCGAATTGAGCTTAATTCCTTAGTTTATTTACCAACTCCTGATTAAATCACTGAGTAACTTTATCATGAACATGATGATTATTTAAATGACAATAATGTGGAGTATGAATAAGTCTTTAGAATGGTTTAAATGTTATATGAACATCAATAATAGAAAAGTGGTACAAGAAGATCAGTCATAAAAAACCTTGATCAAGTTGAATCTTATATAGAAAGTGATTAGGATGAATTAAATAAGAGTATAATGATGGAACGTGATGACAATTGGTAAACTCCCCCAAATAGAAGGACAGGTAATTTGAAATCAAATAATGTCAAGAAACTATCTATCCAAAAGACAATAGTAAATTTAAGTAAGTCCCTTCCAGTGAAAGCATGAGTTTGAGCATAAGTGGAATGTAGAATTTTATGTAAGGATAACAAAAAAAGTCCAATAATTTAACATATTTACCAATCAATAATTTTGATGATTAAGGGTCCAAAAATAGACGATTTGTAGAGGATTAAATTCAATAAAACTAATAAAGTTATTTTAAGAATAAATTTATCGAGCTACCATAGCCTTTACTAAACAGAAATAATTAAAGAATCAATAATTATTATTGATATTAAAATTATTATCTTTCTCTTTCTTTCTTTCTTGTTTTAGTTTTATTTCAATTATATTCTAATTCTTTGATAAAGATAATCAAAATAAAATTACTCTTTCTCAAGAATAAAATAGATTATTCTTTTTAATTATTTAATAAAAATCCTATTAATTAAATTATTATCTAATTTGATTAGTAAAACAATAAGAGTAATGTTAATTCCTAATTTAAAAAAAATATTATACTGACAAAAAAGCTATATGAAAAATGAAATGAAGCCTTTTAAGTTAAAAAATTGTTATTTCTTCAATTCAAAAAAACTAAAATATTTAAGTATTAAAATTTCCTGAAATTATTCAAAAGTTAAAAATTATATTGTACCAATATACTCTATCAAAAAAGGTTATGATAAAGGGAAATAACATTTTCTCTTTTAATTATTTTTTAGCTCATTTCTTGTTATATAATTTATAAATTTGATTTAATTCATATTGAAAGATTGTTTAGGTTTAAGAAAATCAATTGATTACATAAATTAAAACTACAATAATCATCATAAATGTACTATTATTTAATTATTTTTATATTTATAGGATTTATACAAACTATTTAAATAATAATTTTGATGAATCGGGAACACCAAAGAAATTATAAAATGATATTTAAAAAATAATTTTAAAAATCCATATTCATTACAATCCTTCTTCATTTCAATCTTATATATTTATTCCATATTATTAATAGTTTTTGTATTTATTTTTAAGTTAAAACTATTAAGATAAAGTGTTGCATATTCTCAATTAAATCAATTAAATTTAAAGATCTTCTGTGGGATCTTTTAACATTTCTTCTTCAATTTTTCATAATTTGTATAGTTAAATTAATAATATAAATATTGTAAGATATGAATTAGTACATAAATTAATATTAAATTAGCTCTAAATCTCTTAACACATATATTAACTAATGACATCAGAGTAAAATTTGTTAAATAATTATTACGTTATTATAAAATATATTATAAAAAAAGTACAGATGAGCATTGAAGATGTTATGCTAGAAGCTTTAAAAGTTGGGTATCATATTGATGAAAAAACAGTGAAACAGAATTTCGATTACTTTAAACATAATTTAAATATGTGCGTATGTGCACTTTGTTAATGTGGAAATTGTTAATGCAAGAATCCCAGATTTTAATTGGCAACATCATATCGAAAAAGATCTCTAACACCAAAGGTAAGTGTTAGAGATACTCCAATCACCATAAGTCGGACTTTTTATGAGACTTTTGAGAATTCTTATAGGTAGATGTAAGGTTTACCAAACTAATTTGTTACAAGCAATTAAAGGTAATATAGAGGATTTAGTTTAACTGGAACTCCAACTAGATCAACTAATTCTAGAGTGGCTTATCATTCATCATTTGAAGGAAGTACCCGATATTAAGAGTTCTTTTCAGAAAAGCCTCAATAAAAGAATGTATTGTTCAAGAGACCATATGAAAGGCATACAGGTCCTTTAAAAATAAGATAACTAGAAACTTAAAATTAGAAAGTTTATTAAAGATTGAAGATAGAACCATAACCTGCAATTACTAAATAAAATTAAATGGACTAAGTCTTAAAAGTGTATGCTTAATTTATAAAATATTAGAAATTTATCAATTCCAATGAAAACAATGTATTAATCTTCTTTTCGAGAAATGCCTGATTTAACTTAATCAGTGGATAGATAAGCATGCTAAAAGAGAAAACAAGAGGATTTACAATGCATAAATCAAATAATTTTACCTTTTTAAGCCAAATCAGTTACAAGTTAATAGTATCGACATCAACCACTGTTTGTGTGTCCAGCAAAATTATAAAAATATTAATGAATACTTATAATTTTAATCAAGAGTAAATCAAGTAATTTAAAGAGCTCTTTGCTATGTTCGATAAGGATGGAGGAGGAACTATTTCAACAAATGAGATAGGTAATCTAATGAAAGAATGTGGAGAGAATCCTACGCCATAATAATAGAAAGAAATGATAGAAGAAGTTGATGTTAATGGAAATGGAGAAGTGGATTTTGATGAATTTATTGGTTTAATGGGTAAAAGAATGAGAGAAGAAGAAACAAATGAAGAATTAAATTAGGCATTTGATGTACTTGATTTAGATAAAGATGGATTTTTATCTAAAACAGATATAAAATTAGGTTAATAGAAATTACCAGATAATGATTTAGATGAATTATTTCTGATAGCCGATTTAGATAATAATGGCAAATTTAATAACGATGAATTTATTAGATTTATGACTCCTAAATGATTCAAAAGATATAAACAAAAACTATTTATCAATATAATTTTACAAATCAATCTAATAATAAAGTAGGAAATTAAAGCATAAATAGATTTAGAAATTAAAGAATAATTGCAACCTCCATCATCAAAAGTAAATAGCTTAATAAACTTAACTATTAAATTTTGATTTATTTAAATCATTCTAAAACAATACCTTATTATTTTAGACTTCTTATTACTAATGCTTCATAATCCTTTAAAAACACTTTTCCATCTCTATCTTCATCAGCCATCTCCATCCATAATTCTACATCTTCTTGTGTTGGTTCTATTGACATTCCCATTAATTTATATGTTTCCTAAAGCAATTAAGGAACCTAAATTATTTGCTTTTAATCTTACATGTTTTTCTGTAATGAATCCATTTTTTTCTGTATCCAACATTCTAAAGATTCTTCTTGCCACTTCCAATCTCTCTTACACAACTTAACTGTATGTGTTTTTGACAGGAGGTGAACTAGGAATAGATGATACTTAATTTGTAATTGTAGTTTATTATTAAACTGTTATGACTTTGCTATTCTGATTGCTTGATACTTATTTATTAAAAGAGCTTGTCTCATAAGTTCGTTATTAACTTATATTTTATTCAGCTACTACCCTTTCACTTCTTTCACTTCTATCGAAATTACCTCCAAAGTATTTTATACATAAAGCTTCTATATCTTTATCAGTAACCATGCCACATTATCGTCCTAAAAGGATCTAGTATTATTCTTACTATCGATGATTCTGGAAAAAGCAGCAATATCTGTTGGAGTTGGATTAAATCCTTTATTCATTGCCCTATAACAATCTGATTGAATGTAGCCAACTTCAAAAGAATCTAATGTACCGTTTCCATCCCCATCATATATTGACATAATTTTCTTGGCTAATGCTTTGCACTCATCCTTTGTCATTATTCCTCCAAATTGAACTGTGTCAGAAACTTTCAAAGTTGAATATTTGATGTCTCTATTAGGATCCATCTGAACAATTAAATAATTATTTAATATAATACAATCATTCTGTATAAATCAATTTTATAAAATATGAATTAATTACATTCTAATCATTATCTAAATAGTCTTATTTTAAAGAACAAAAAGGTAAATATTAAACTTTAGGAAGCAATTGCTTTACATAATTTATTTATTATATTGAACTTAAATTTTTTTGTATTATTGAAAATATTAATAATATAAATGTTTATATTATCCACCTTATTTATTTTTATATTAAAATATTATGAAAAAATACAAACTCACTTTCAATATATAAATATTTCAAAAGTTTATTCAATTGGAATAAATTTTTTTTAATTTTTGCTACCGTCTTAAAGGTTTCTTATAATAATAACATTCTTTTTACAAAAGCCCTTTTTAGTTCATTTATTTATTCTTATATAAGATTTTTGATATTATTAGTATTGAAAAAATTATAAAATGAAAAAAAATGAATATTTGGTTCAGATTGCTGTGATTGAAGCAAGAGATTTAGTGGCAAAAGATTCTTCCGGTTCATCTGACCCATTTGTTAAAATTACTGTTGGCAACCTTCCAACTCAGGTTAGTACTGCCAAAATGAAAGCTACTACGGCAGTGTTTAATTAAGTAATTGCATATTGAAAAATTATAGAATTTTACTTTTGAAGGTTTAAAGATGTCAGATGTTGATTTTGAAAATTTTGAAGCAAAAATAGAAGTCTATGATTAGAACTAATTTTTTCAAAATGAATTGATTGGCATTCATTCAATTGGATTGGCTACTCTATATAGAAATCCATCTCATGAAATATATAACTCATGGTTAAGACTTACAAATCCAAAAGAAGTAAATAAAGTTTAAGGATATATTTTGATCTCCGCTTATATTATTGGATAAAATGATGCTCCTCCTGTACATGATGCTAATGAAAATAATGTAGAAGATGAACCAGATCCTTTTGGAGGTGTTCCAGATGATCAGTTAACAGGCGAACAACTATAATAAAGAAGGGAAAATTAAAAGAAAATTGCAATGGTGTGCAAACCAATGCCTTATACAAAACTTGCTTAATTAATGGTTAACATTGTAAAAGCTGAAGATTTACCTATTCTTAATGGAACAACAATTGATAGTTTTATATCAGTGAGAGCTAATGGTATAACATAAATTACAAGTGTTTTGAAAAACTAATAAAAACCATAATATAGAGTTAGAATGATGTTTCCAATTAATTTTCCTTTATAAAATGATAAAATTATTATAAGAGTTTGGGATAAAAGAGTTTGTATGGCAGATACTTTTATAGGTTAGATACCTGAATTTCCATCTGAAAATGATTTTTTTAATATGACTTATTTGTAAAGTAAAGGAGGAGTTTTGCCATTTAGATGGTTTTCACTGTACGGAATCCCAATGAATGAACGACCATCAACCTATGAATCAAATGTTCTTGGATATAAGAAAAATCCTAGAGGTACTTGCTATATGGGTAGAGTTCTTTTATCTTTAAATTTAACTCCATCCGAAAAGCCTGAAAAGTTAGTTTAGCCATTAGGTATATATAGAGAACCTTCAATTGATAAATATATGTTAAGATTAGATACTTATGAAGTGAATTAAGCTAAAGATCTTGATGAATTTATTTTCATAAGAGTAAGAGTTGGAAAAGAGTATTTTGATTCTTCTGAGGCTGACTGCAAATCTCCAGGACAGTTTGTTTGGAGAAACAAAGTAATTCTAAAAGCATGGGAAATTGAAGTTCCAAAAAATCCTAGCGAATAGACAGATTTATTTGTCGAATTAATGAATAAAGAAAAGAAAAGAGTTGCTTATATTAGAATGCCTGCCACTAGCCCAGATTTAACAAATGACAAACCATAATGGTATGAATTTAAGGATTTAAAACTAAAAGGAGATCAAGAAGGAGTTCATAGTTATGTTTTGATGAACTTACTTTTTGGATAAATAAATATTATTTCTTAGATTCCAAAAATTATTGTTAAAAAAAATATGGTTCTGCCATATATTTGTAAAATATATCTTTATTGTGGTTTTGACTTTTGTCCTGACAAAGTTCATAGTGAAATTTTATTAAGTTATGAAATTAGAATTGCTAATTAAGTTTATAAATCTGAATAAAATAAAAATAGTAAGAATCCAATTTGGAACTAATGTATTAGAATTCCCGTAAGTATGGAATAAAATTTAGAATTTGTATCAAATTTAGTGTTATCCTTCTTCAATCATTAAGAGTAAATATTTCCATAATCTTAGACCTATTGGATAAGCAAATGTTTCAGCAATAAATTGTAGAGTCTCTGAAGATGACTAGATAGATCCAATATATTAAATATTTCATATACTTCAGAATGGAAAATCAAAAGGAAGAATTATTTTAGGAGTTACTTTGTAAAGAAAGAAAAAAAATGATAAAATTGATCCTAAAATAAACATATCTGAAATCTTCACTTAATTTAAAGAGTATAAATTACTTTTTCCTGTATATGCTATCAGATAATTACCAAAAAAACTTAGAAAAGCTCAACTATTTGCTAGAATATCTAATCCAAATTAAGATTCAGTTGTAAATGTAGATTCGTATTTATAAGGAGATGAAGAAGAAACAAGATTTAGTCCTGGATATAATGATCCAAATTTCTTATAATTACTAATTTTGGACATTTAATTGCCTGAAAATCCACTTTTGATGCCATAATTAAATGTAGAAATATACAGCAAAGAAGGCTTAGCTCAAAAATATTATTTTTCGGTTCCATTATATAATCTTTATCCAGGATTGGATTAAAAAACTTACAACAAATTAAATGCCTATTATTATGCAACTCTTTAAAGTGGGATGTTAAGTGCTAATATTCCTCCTCCAGATTTATCAACTTAAATTTAAGAAGATCAACCAGACGAAAATGAATAAGAAGAATAAGAAGAACCAAAAACAATATTCACTAAAAAATCAATAAAACCAAGCACTAAAGAGAAATAATCAACAAAATCAAAGTAATCTACAAAATAAAAATCTGAAGTTTTAGCTTAAGCATTAGAAAAATCAAGTGATGTTATAAAAAAGCGAATGAGAACTAGGGGAATAGAAAATGCATATGTTTAAGATGAAATTGTATTAGTTCTTGATGATGAAGATGTTTTAAGAGAATAATTAATAAAAAAAGAGAAATAAGCTAAACTTACAAAATTATTGAAAACATTACCAAAACCTTTAAACACTGAATTAAATAAATAATTTTTAAAGAAAGCTATTTTGGAACAAATTTTTAAAGTATAAGATTTAGAAGCCTATTTTACAGAAAGAGCAATAGAGTTATCTGATGATGGCATAGATTATGGCCGTTCAATAATCAAAGGACAATATGATACAGAGATTTAAAAATGTCTTCCATTCTAAAGATATAAAATATATGAGTTAAATAAGAATGGATCTGGATTAGGCTAAGAAACAAGTGCCATTTTAAAAGCAGATGTAAAATTAATTAATATAACTACATTTAAATAAACTGTGAAACAGTCTCAACAAAATGAAGAAAAGAAAACTAAAAAATCTGAATTACTAGAGAAAGCTGAGTATGTCAAAAGATTAAGATCAGCAGATTATCCATTTGATTTTTTCGATCCAGTTTTTCATGATTATTTAAAATAATAACAGTTCAGATGCAAAGTCAGAGTTTATATATATAGAGGCTTGAGTTTAGCAGCCTAATCTGAAAATATAGATGCTTATCATTATATGGCAGGAGAATAATCAAGAAATTCTGCAAATCCTTATCTTGAAATTGAAGTAGGAGAACCAGGTGCAGATCCTGGAGAATTCGTAAAAAAAGTCTCAGATCCTGATAAATTTATTCCCAATACTCTAAATCCTACATTTTTGAGATCATTTGAACTTGATGCAATTCTACCACAAGATTGTTTTCTTCACATTAGGGTATTTAATAAAGGAGGACTGACAAATAAACTTATCGGTGCAGTAAAAATTGATATTGAGGATAGACTGATGGGAGAAAAAAAACTAAAATCTAGGCTTTCTTGTGAAGCTTATAAAGATTATTTTTTAAATGATTTAGAAAGGTTAAAATATACTGAAAATGCTGATGATATTAAATTAAGTTACTAAGCTGAAATAGCAAATCTTACCTAAAAAATAGAATCCATAACCACTCTAGAAATTCCTGTAGAATATTAATAATTGAGACATCCTGATAAATTAGTCTCTTAAGGTTAATTAGAAATGTTTGTTGAAGTACTACCATTAGAAGTTTCTCGTCTTATTCCTCCAGCATTATTAGTTGAAAGGCTTCCTTAAGAATATGAAGTTAGATTAATTGTTTGGGAAACCTTCAATATACCTTTAAATCCTGTTAAAAAAGCTGTTGATATCTTTGTTAGATGTGTTATGGATTCCTCAGCTACTGGAACTGGATCAGAAATCGGAAAGGAAACGGATACACATATGGGAAGTACTGATGGAAATGGAGAATTTAATTGGAGGATGAAATTCAATTTTAAAACACCATGTCAATTTCCAAGAATGAAAATTAGTGTTCATGATTTTTCTGTTTTTGGTGCTAGTCCTATAATTGGGGAAGCAACCATCAGTCTCAAAAGGTATTATAATTTATATTATCAGAGTATTAACAGTTATGAAAACATAAGCAATTTATGAAATGGCACCTACTTAAATTAAGTTAAGTTCTGCCAAAGAGCCAGATGCTGAAAAAGGAACTGTCATGTTACAAATGACTATTTTATAAAAAAGTATGGCTGAGGCTAAGCCAGTTGGCGAAGGATAGGAAGAGCCAAATATAGACCCTTTTTTAAAAAAACCTACTGAAGGTAGAGGTCTAGGAGCTTTTTTTAAAGGTATAGGAATACCATGGGGGATGATATGCAAGTAAGCTTGCATGATACTACTTCCTATGATTATTTCGGCTTTGGTTTCATTTATTCTTTTTGTCAAACCAGGAATTTTAATGCCTTAGACGCCAGCTGCATGATGAATTAATTTTTTAATAGATAAGTTTTATAATATTAAATCAAAAAATTTTAGATAAAGTTTCTTCTGCATTTACTAAAAGGGTATTAAGATGTATTAATTATTGTTCTTAAAATTTTATTATTGATTCCAAATGTAGGATAATTTCTTCTTTTTATTATAATTGTGTATTTTTATCTTTTTAAAATAATTGATCTGTAATTTAACTTTATAGAGTTTCTTTATGTTGTATTTATAAAGATTAAAATGATGTATTTTAAGGGTTAATTAAGTTTTGCTCTACTTATTAAATTATAGTTGAGGGCAATATCGTAGATTAAAATTTTTAAGTTGTTTCTTATGATTTTTCTTAATTTAATTAATCTAAAGGGTTTATAAAATATTTCTAGTTATCTTCTAATATTAGTAAATTTTAGGGTGACAAAAGACTTTAAGTTAAATTATTATTATTTTAACCTTCTAAATCATACATGTTTTGATTCTATTTATTATTATTGGAAGAAAGTTAACTATTTTGTTCTTCTTTTTCTTTATTACTTGGTTATATTTAATTATTTTCTTTCTATTTATTATCTATATCTTTTGTAAATTTTGTATTTATCTATTTCAATTAAATGATTTATTCATTTAATTTATTATTATCAATAGAAAGTTAACTAACTTGCACTTCTTTTTCTTTAATACTAGTTTATAATTATAGGTTTTCTTTCTATTTGGTATCTAAATCTGCTGTTAATTTTTTATTTATATCTTAAATTTCATTAATTTAACTTTCTAATTCATTTATCTTTTAATTCTATTTATTCGAATCAGAAGAAAGTTTATTAAATTGTTCTTCTTTTTCTTTAATACTTGTTTATAATTATTGGTTTTCTTTCTATTTGGTATCTAAATCTTCTGTTAATTTTTTATTTATATCATTAATTTCATTAATTTAACATTCTAATTCATTTATCTTTTAATTCTATTTATTCGAATCAGAAGAAAGTTTATTATTTTGCTCTTCTTTTTCTTTAATAATTGTTTATAATTATTTGTTTTCTTTCTATTTATTATCTATATCCTTTGTTAATTATTCATTTATCTGTTTCAATTCAATGATTTATTCATTTAATTTATTATTATCAGTAGAAAGTTAACTAATTTGCTCTTCTTTTTCTTTAATACTAGTTTATAATTATTGGTTTTCTTTCTATTTGGTATCTAAATCTTCTGTTAATTTTTTATTTATATCATTAATTTCATTAATTTAACATTCTAATTCATTTATCTTTTCACTCTATTTATTAGAATCAGAAGAAAGTTTATTAATTTGCTCTTCTTTTTCTTTAATACTTGTTTATAATTATTGGTTTTCTTTCTATTTGGTATCTAAATCTTCTGTTAATTTTTTATTTATATCATTAATTTCATTAATTTAACTTTCTAATTCATTTATCTTTTCACTCTATTTATTAGAATCAGAAGAAAGTTTATTAATTTGCTCTTCTTTTTCTTTAATAATTGTTTATAATTATTGGTTTTCTTTCTATTTATTATCTATATCCTTTGTTAATTATTCATTTATCTGTTTCAATTCAATGATTTATTCATTTAATTTATTATTATCAGTAGAAAGTTAACTAATTTGCTCTTCTTTTTCTTTAATACTTGTTTATAATTATTGGTTTTCTTTCTATTTGGTATCTAAATCTTCTGTTAATTTTTTATTTATATCATTAATTTCATTAATTTAACTTTCTAATTCATTTATCTTTTCACTCTATTTATTAGAATCAGAAGAAAGTTTATTAATTTGCTCTTCTTTTTCTTTAATAATTGTTTATAATTATTGGTTTTCTTTCTATTTATTATCTATATCCTTTGTTAATTATTCATTTATCTGTTTCAATTCAATGATTTATTCATTTAATTTATTATTATCAGTAGAAAGTTAACTAATTTGCTCTTCTTTTTCTTTAATACTAGTTTATAATTATTGGTTTTCTTTCTATTTGGTATCTAAATCTTCTGTTAATTTTTTATTTATATCATTAATTTCATTAATTTAACATTCTAATTCATTTATCTTTTCACTCTATTTATTAGAATCAGAAGAAAGTTTATTAATTTGCTCTTCTTTTTCTTTAATACTTGTTTATAATTATTGGTTTTCTTTCTATTTGGTATCTAAATCTTCTGTTAATTTTTTATTTATATCATTAATTTCATTAATTTAACATTCTAATTCATTTATCTTTTCACTCTATTTATTAGAATCAGAAGAAAGTTTATTAATTTGCTCTTCTTTTTCTTTAATACTTGTTTATAATTATTGGTTTTCTTTCTATTTGGTATCTAAATCTTCTGTTAATTTTTTATTTATATCATTAATTTCATTAATTTAACATTCTAATTCATTTATCTTTTCACTCTATTTATTAGAATCAGAAGAAAGTTTATTAATTTGCTCTTCTTTTTCTTTAATACTTGTTTATAATTATTGGTTTTCTTTCTATTTGGTATCTAAATCTTCTGTTAATTTTTTATTTATATCATTAATTTCATTAATTTAACATTCTAATTCATTTATCTTTTCACTCTATTTATTCGAATCAGAAGAAAGTTTATTAATTTGCTCTTCTTTTTCTTTAATAATTGTTTATAATTATTGGTTTTCTTTCTATTTATTATCTATATCCTTTGTTAATTATTCATTTATCTGTTTCAATTCAATGATTTATTCATTTAATTTATTATTATCAGTAGAAAGTTAACTAATTTTCTCTTATTGTCCATTAATACTTGTTTATAATTTATGGTTTTCTTTTTATGTAGTATCAATATCCTCTGTTAATTATTCATTTTACTATTTCAATTCAATGATTTATTCATTTAATTTATTATTATCAGTAGAAAGTTAACTAATTTGCTCTTCTTTTTCTTTAATAATTGTTTATAATTATTGGTTTTCTTTCTATTTATTATCTATATCCTTTGTTAATTATTCATTTATCTGTTTCAATTCAATGATTTATTCATTTAATTTAATATTATCAGTAGAAAGTTAACTAACTTGCTCTTCTTTTTCTTTAATACTAGTTTATAATTATTGGTTTTCTTTCTATTTGGTATCTAAATCTTCTGTTAATTTTTTATTTATATCTTAAATTTCATTAATTTAACTTTCTAATTCATTTATCTTTTCACTCTATTTATTAGAATCAGAAGAAAGTTTATTAATTTGCTCTTCTTTTTCTTTAATACTTGTTTATAATTATTGGTTTTCTTTCTATTTGGTATCTAAATCTTCTGTTAATTTTTTATTTATATCATTAATTTCATTAATTTAACATTCTAATTCATTTATCTTTTCACTCTATTTATTAGAATCAGAAGAAAGTTTATTAATTTGCTCTTCTTTTTCTTTAATACTTGTTTATAATTATTGGTTTTCTTTCTATTTGGTATCTAAATCTTCTGTTAATTTTTTATTTATATCATTAATTTCATTAATTTAACATTCTAATTCATTTATCTTTTCACTCTATTTATTAGAATCAGAAGAAAGTTTATTAATTTGCTCTTCTTTTTCTTTAATACTTGTTTATAATTATTGGTTTTCTTTCTATTTGGTATCTAAATCTTCTGTTAATTTTTTATTTATATCATTAATTTCATTAATTTAACATTCTAATTCATTTATCTTTTCACTCTATTTATTAGAATCAGAAGAAAGTTTATTAATTTGCTCTTCTTTTTCTTTAATACTTGTTTATAATTATTGGTTTTCTTTCTATTTGGTATCTAAATCTTCTGTTAATTTTTTATTTATATCATTAATTTCATTAATTTAACATTCTAATTCATTTATCTTTTCACTCTATTTATTAGAATCAGAAGAAAGTTTATTAATTTGCTCTTCTTTTTCTTTAATACTTGTTTATAATTATTGGTTTTCTTTCTATTTGGTATCTAAATCTTCTGTTAATTTTTTATTTATATCATTAATTTCATTAATTTAACATTCTAATTCATTTATCTTTTCACTCTATTTATTAGAATCAGAAGAAAGTTTATTAATTTGCTCTTCTTTTTCTTTAATACTTGTTTATAATTATTGGTTTTCTTTCTATTTGGTATCTAAATCTTCTGTTAATTTTTTATTTATATCATTAATTTCATTAATTTAACATTCTAATTCATTTATCTTTTCACTCTATTTATTAGAATCAGAAGAAAGTTTATTAATTTGCTCTTCTTTTTCTTTAATACTTGTTTATAATTATTGGTTTTCTTTCTATTTGGTATCTAAATCTTCTGTTAATTTTTTATTTATATCATTAATTTCATTAATTTAACATTCTAATTCATTTATCTTTTCACTCTATTTATTAGAATCAGAAGAAAGTTTATTAATTTGCTCTTCTTTTTCTTTAATACTTGTTTATAATTATTGGTTTTCTTTCTATTTGGTATCTAAATCTTCTGTTAATTTTTTATTTATATCATTAATTTCATTAATTTAACATTCTAATTCATTTATCTTTTCACTCTATTTATTAGAATCAGAAGAAAGTTTATTAATTTGCTCTTCTTTTTCTTTAATACTTGTTTATAATTATTGGTTTTCTTTCTATTTGGTATCTAAATCTTCTGTTAATTTTTTATTTATATCATTAATTTCATTAATTTAACATTCTAATTCATTTATCTTTTCACTCTATTTATTAGAATCAGAAGAAAGTTTATTAATTTGCTCTTCTTTTTCTTTAATACTTGTTTATAATTATTGGTTTTCTTTCTATTTGGTATCTAAATCTTCTGTTAATTTTTTATTTATATCATTAATTTCATTAATTTAACATTCTAATTCATTTATCTTTTCACTCTATTTATTAGAATCAGAAGAAAGTTTATTAATTTGCTCTTCTTTTTCTTTAATACTTGTTTATAATTATTGGTTTTCTTTCTATTTGGTATCTAAATCTTCTGTTAATTTTTTATTTATATCATTAATTTCATTAATTTAACATTCTAATTCATTTATCTTTTCACTCTATTTATTAGAATCAGAAGAAAGTTTATTAATTTGCTCTTCTTTTTCTTTAATACTTGTTTATAATTATTGGTTTTCTTTCTATTTGGTATCTAAATCTTCTGTTAATTTTTTATTTATATCATTAATTTCATTAATTTAACATTCTAATTCATTTATCTTTTCACTCTATTTATTAGAATCAGAAGAAAGTTTATTAATTTGCTCTTCTTTTTCTATAATACTTGTTTATAATTATTGGTTTTCTTTCTATTTTATATCTATATCCTTTGTTAGTTATTCATTTATCTGTTTCAATTCAATGATTTATTCATTTAATTTATTATTATCAGTAGAAAGTTAACTAATTTGCTCTTCTTTTTCTTTATTAATTGTTTATAATTTTTGGTTTTCTTTCTGTTTATTATCAACATCTTATGTTAATTTATTTAGGAAAAATTTTAATTCATTGATTTGTTCCTTTAATTTATTATTTTCAGAATTTATTTAACTTATTAACTCTTCTTTTTCATTTTAACATTCTACTAATTAAGTTTATCTAAATTCATTTTATTATATTAATTTTAAATTATTATCTTTTTAAAAAATAATTTCTTACTCTATTTCTTAAATTTTTTTATTTAAATTTATAATAGTATCCTCATGTTCTTAATTTTAAATTTGAAATTATATCAGGACAGATTCTTATTTCAATAAATTTGCATTCAATTAATTTAATGTCAATTAATAATGTATATTTTATTCATTAATTAAATTGGATTAGACTGTTAAGAGTTAATTTTATTATTATACAGAATTTAATTTAACTCGATTATTTATGATATTTAATAATTGTTTTAAACTTTTAATTTTTTAATCAGTATTTTTGAAAAATTATTATTGACTATTTATCTCATTTAAATTTTATAATGTTAAAGTTTAAACATTAGTATGTTTCTCATCTTAATTTTTAAGTTAATTTTTTTCAGATTCTTATAAATTAAAATATAATGAATTTAATTGATCAGATTAGTTAGAAGAATTAAAATAATTGCTTGATGTTAGGTTATTTATTTAGGTTATTTAATCCAATTAAATATTGTTTGATGGCAGTTATGTTAATGATTAATTATTATAATGCAAATTATTTAGCTGTTGAGTATTAAGCAATAGAAAATCGTTCTAGGGAATATCAATTTAATTTTGTTATAAAATGATATTAGAAGAAAATTGTCGATTATATAATGATTATATGGTCTTATATAAGTTAGGTTCCTATTATTATTGTTTCAATAATTAAACAATCTCTTCATTTAAAATTGATAATTAAGCATCCTTATCCTATACCTATTCTTGTAAATTTTGAACTACTTATTAAAGTTGTTTTTCATTATTATTTTCAGATTATTGTGATTATATATTTTCAACTATTTAAGGTTCCTATTATTGTTTATTACGTAATTTAACAATCTCTTCATTTTAGACAGATAATTAATTATCCTTATCTTTTAACTGTTCTTATAAATTTTGAACTACTTATTAAAGTTGTTTTTCATTATTATTTTCAGATTATTGTGATTATATATTTTCAACTATTTAAGGTTCCTATTATTGTTTATTACGTAATTTAACAATCTCTTCATTTTAGACAGATAATTAATTATCCTTATCTTTTAACTGTTCTTATAAATTTTGAACTACTTATTAAAGTTGTTTTTCATTATTATTTTCAGATTATTGTGATTATATATTTTCAACTATTTAAGGTTCCTATTATTGTTTATTACGTAATTTAACAATCTCTTCATTTTAGACAGATAATTAATTATCCTTATCTTTTAACTGTTCTTATAAATTTTGAACTACTTATTAAAGTTGTTTTTCATTATTATTTTCAGATTATTGTGATTATATATTTTCAACTATTTAAGGTTCCTATTATTGTTTATTACGTAATTTAACAATCTCTTCATTTTAGACAGATAATTAATTATCCTTATCTTTTAACTGTTCTTATAAATTTTGAACTACTTATTAAAGTTGTTTTTCATTATTATTTTCAGATTATTGTGATTATATATTTTCAACTATTTAAGGTTCCTATTATTGTTTATTACGTAATTTAACAATCTCTTCATTTTAGACAGATAATTAATTATCCTTATCTTTTAACTGTTCTTATAAATTTTGAACTACTTATTAAAGTTGTTTTTCATTATTATTTTCAGATTATTGTGATTATATATTTTCAACTATTTAAGGTTCCTATTATTGTTTATTACGTAATTTAACAATCTCTTCATTTTAGACAGATAATTAATTATCCTTATCTTTTAACTGTTCTTATAAATTTTGAACTACTTATTAAAGTTGTTTTTCATTATTATTTTCAGATTATTGTGATTATATATTTTCAACTATTTAAGGTTCCTATTATTGTTTATTACGTAATTTAACAATCTCTTCATTTTAGACAGATAATTAATTATCCTTATCTTTTAACTGTTCTTATAAATTTTGAACTACTTATTAAAGTTGTTTTTCATTATTATTTTCAGATTATTGTGATTATATATTTTCAACTATTTAAGGTTCCTATTATTGTTTATTACGTAATTTAACAATCTCTTCATTTTAGACAGATAATTAATTATCCTTATCTTTTAACTGTTCTTATAAATTTTGAACTACTTATTAAAGTTGTTTTTCATTATTATTTTCAGATTATTGTGATTATATATTTTCAACTATTTAAGGTTCCTATTATTGTTTATTACGTAATTTAACAATCTCTTCATTTTAGACAGATAATTAATTATCCTTATCTTTTAACTGTTCTTATAAATTTTGAACTACTTATTAAAGTTGTTTTTCATTATTATTTTCAGATTATTGTGATTATATATTTTCAACTATTTAAGGTTCCTATTATTGTTTATTACGTAATTTAACAATCTCTTCATTTTAGACAGATAATTAATTATCCTTATCTTTTAACTGTTCTTATAAATTTTGAACTACTTATTAAAGTTGTTTTTCATTATTATTTTCAGATTATTGTGATTATATATTTTCAACTATTTAAGGTTCCTATTATTGTTTATTACGTAATTTAACAATCTCTTCATTTTAGACAGATAATTAATTATCCTTATCTTTTAACTGTTCTTATAAATTTTGAACTACTTATTAAAGTTGTTTTTCATTATTATTTTCAGATTATTGTGATTATATATTTTCAACTATTTAAGGTTCCTATTATTGTTTATTACGTAATTTAACAATCTCTTCATTTTAGACAGATAATTAATTATCCTTATCTTTTAACTGTTCTTATAAATTTTGAACTACTTATTAAAGTTGTTTTTCATTATTATTTTCAGATTATTGTGATTATATATTTTCAACTATTTAAGGTTCCTATTATTGTTTATTACGTAATTTAACAATCTCTTCATTTTAGACAGATAATTAATTATCCTTATCTTTTAACTGTTCTTATAAATTTTGAACTACTTATTAAAGTTGTTTTTCATTATTATTTTCAGGTTATTGTGATAATATATTTTCAACTATTTAAGGTTCCTATTATTGTTTTTTACGTAATTTTACAATCTCTTCATTTTAGACAGATAATTAATTATCCTTATCTTTTAACTGTTCTTATAAATTTTGAACTACTTATTAAAGTTGTTTTTCATTACTATTTTCAGGTTCTTGTTATTATATTTTCTAATTTAATTTAGGTTCCTATTATTATTGTTTACATAATATAATAATCTCTTCATTTATTAAAGGATGTTGTTTTTCTTTGATTTATAAAATTTCTTGTTCTTTATGTTCTTTCAATTTAGGTTAGTTTCTTTCGACTTTTTAAAATTCAATCTTATCTTATAGATTCATTTATTTATTTTTTTCTATTATAAATTCTTCTTAATCATTTTATTTCTTTAATTTTAGGTTTAATAATTTATTTTTTTATATATTTTAGTTTTTATTTTATTCAACAAATTATTTAATTTAATCTTCTTCTTCTAATATTATTTCTTCAGGTTGAAATTTTACTTTTTAATTATTTTCTTTTAAATTATTAAATTTTTATTAGTATTAATTTTTATCATCATTTTATAATCCTTAATTTTAAATACTATTAATGTTATTTTCCAATTTAAAAATTTATTCTTATTATTCTATATTTTACATTACATCCTCACATAAATTCTCTTACTAATATTTAGGTCTTAAAAATTCATTTAATTTTTTATTTATAAATTCAATTAAGTTTTCATTATTTTAACTTTTTTAGATTTCCTTAATTCTATCAAATACACCATTCATTTTTTCATCCAGCTCAATTTGATTTTCTATCTTACTTCCATATTCAAGCTCCATTAAGAAATTATTGACTAAATTCTATTTCTCATTAATAGATATTTATAATTACAGTTATTCACTTTAATTCATTGATTTATTAATTTCGTTAAATGTTTGATTAGCACAATTATATTTATCCTAGTCTGTATCTTGTATATTAATTTCTTTTTATTGAGTTAAATTATCCTTTTGATTTTTAAATTAATCAGAAGTTGATTTTCTATGTTTTTGAATGATGCTATTTCCTTCGCCTTACTAAATATTTTATTATTAAAGACTTGCTATTTATTATAAAAAATTTTGAATGTTATTATCCCTTTCATCATTTTATGAGAGGGATTAGTCATTAATTTTGTGAATAGATTTATTTACAATATCACTAATATTGCTATTTTGATCCCAATTATTACTTGGTTCTTACTTAATTTGCACATCATTCTTTTAACTTGACACCTCCAATTCATATTATAATTCATATTGTTATAATTTATATTCTTCTATTTATTAATCATTAATAGATTCTTTTCTATCAACTAGTTTATCAATTATTTCTTCATTTTGACTCAAATTATTGATTCTGAAAGTTTAATTTACAATTTTCATAATTTTATCGATATTTTCTTGCATAATTTATTACAATTACATTTCCAATTTTTTAAATTACTGACCTTATTTTTCTGACATTCTATTTAATTGAATATTCATTTTTTCTATTCCTTCTTCTCCTATATCTTAAAGAAAATTTTCTTGAGTCAACTCCTTGTTTAAAAGTTTAATTATTTTTTAGTTTTTATCCTATAATAAATTTGCTATTTTAGGAAGAAAAATTTTAATTTTATTCCGCTTGTTTTCGCTTTCTTTTTTTAGGTTTTATTAAATTTTATCAATTTATCTTTAATCCAGCTAAGATTTATTTTTTATTTCATCACTTTAATTATTCTAACTATTAACTTCTCTATATTCTTGGTTCATTTATTTTTCTTCGCTTGAAAGATTGCCTTCAGCTTGATAAAGTAAGATTTCATCGAATTCTTCTAATTTATTTTCTTTTTCCACATTTTTATATTAATTTTAAACAACCAATTAACTCATTTAAATTTCTACATTGGAGTATTCTGAAAACTCATTTTTTTATTATGATTATAAGAATAAATGCTAAATTTTGTCTTCATTTGAATTTTCATAATTTATTTCTTAATTTTATTTAGAGTTTGATTTTTAATGTATTGCACTAAACTTCTCTTCAATATTGTTCATAACTTTCATTTTTTAATCCTAATTTTCTTTTTGATCTAATATTTGCCCGCAATCTGTTTTCTTCAGAATACAATCTGGAAGTAATAAATTTAGTTATGAATCGTCCTTTTCATCTTCTAACTCAGAAATTTAATTAGAAATTTAATCTACATGAAAACTTTGAGAATCATTTAATTTTTTAAGCATGCTTTGTAGTTTTCTTTCGAACTCATTAATTCTATGGGACTAACTTATTGCCAATTCATTAAGTTGCTATATTTATTTTTTATTATCATTTAAATTTTGATAGCGCGGAGAATGGCGACTTGCTCTGTTCATATAATTTTTATTATTAATATATTTAATTAATTTAAGCAAAAAAATTTATTATATTTTTAAATTATTCATTTGTAATATATTTGTTATTTCTTGTAGACAGAATATACTAAAAATATTCATTTAATATAAAAAGAGAGCCATAAAGTTTAACTAATCAGCTTTTTTTATTTTTTTTTAAAAGAATTTCTTCCAAATTAATAAAATTTTTTATTACAGAAATAATACAATTTAACCTAATTATTTAGTTTTATTTAAAGTTTCGATAACCTCAAAGTTAAATAAGATTCTACAATCATCCCTTAAGTTTTATATAAAACATAAAGAAAAGAATTGAAAAATCTAGCCTTCTTTAGTCGATTTTGGAATTTTTTTTTTAATTGAAACTGAAAATCTTAAAGATTTATAAAAGAGTTTAAGCAAAAGTAAAAGTAAATAAAGGATGTTATATTTCCTCGTAAGAACTCAAAAAAAAGAAGAATATGTCAAAATCATTTAAATTATAATATATATTATGGGATTAACTATTTTAATTTTCATTGGACTTATATTGTTTTTAGCTCTGATTGGAATAATTTTGAAAAAATTCTTTTGTAATAAAAAATAGCAAGTTTAAATTAATAGTCAAGAAGCAGTTTAAAATAATTAGCATATTAATTTGGGAGATTAAGAAGCAATACCAGACTCTCATTAATCTCAAATACATAAACAATAAAATTAAGTTAAAATATCAAAATAGTCTAATACTCCAAATAGAAAGATCAAACAAAAAAAAGAAAAATAGTTAATTGCTGAAATAGCATTTTAGTTTAATGATGATAGTGATAATGAAAATGATTAAAATTCATCAGGAACTGACTAACAGCAGTCCATTAACATGAGAGAGCAAGCAGGATTTAATTTTTAATAATCTGAACATAATTTAGAGGAATTAGTAACGCCAACATAAGTAAATAGTTAAGAAATTTGAGTTTAAATATATATATTTTTTATATGTCTTCAGATTACCGTAAATTTTTTTTCCAGCTGAATAATAAAAAATGAAGAAGTGAGAGAATTTAAATTTACTATTTTAAGAATTGTAAAAAGCATAGTGAAATAGAACTATATGAAGCAATTAGAACAAATAAGAGAGAATTTTACTAATTAATAGATTAATATCAAAAATTAGTACTTAGAAGAAATTATAAATTCTTAGATAGATGAGAACAAGTGGTTAATCATTAAGGGGAAACCTAGTTATTATTAAAAGAAAATAAAAGGATTAATAACCTATGGTTATAAGTATCACTCACACAGACTAAAAAATAATTTATCATGAAAAGCTTTATAAATTACAAAGAATGAAATTTATAATTGTAAAGTCAATATTAAATTAAACCATATGATTGCACTTGATTAATATCACTAAATTGAAATTCTAAAAAATATCAAAATATTAAATTAAATTATCAACTTTTTAATTAACGCTCATTTATTGCAAATAACAACTTTTATACATTATAAAATAAGTGAACTTTATGTCTAAATTATACAATGTACCATAACAATAGCCTATATTTAAATTATTCTCAGAAATTCTTGTTGTTTTAGATATTAATAAGTATATTAATGCCAACTTTTACTAGAATTACATAATTAGAATTTTGATGATTCTTTAGAGATAATTAAAAGTGATGTAAAATAATTTATATAAACCAATTAATCAGAAGCAAAGCAAATTTATTAGATATAACTTGTTTAAAATAATATATATTTAACAACATTTACGATTAAAATACTTAATTATATTAAGAAAATAGAATAAAATAAATTATTTAAATTTCAAGAGATAATAAGTGTAATTTCAGTCATTCATTCACAACAAATTTTAGAATGATCCTTAGACTATTTAACTATGTAATCTCCTTTCTTTCTATTTGATTAGATTAAAGGAAACATATTGAATCCTTCGTTCTTAGAAGGAATTTATGAATTCACATTAAGCTAATCTAATTAATTTGTTTCTTAATTAACTCTACATATTATAGATGATTTAAATATTAGAGTGTTTTAGTTAATCAAAATTTGAATTTCCACTAGATTATCTTATGATTTAATGGTATTAATTAAACCATCTAAAGGTCCAATTATTGGTAAATTTTCATTTAATGAACATAATATTGTATTTCCAATTAAAACTTACAAATTTGAATCCAAAAACATATATTTGATTTCAATAATGTTTTAAGATACTTTATTAACGCTTGCTTATTAAAATTATAATTTCTTGTAAAAAAGATAATATGAAGACTTGAATTTTATAAAATAGAATTTCTATTATGCATTTACATTTAAAGGTTTGTTATGTTTTTTGTTTGTATGAGTAATTGCTTTTTTTTGATTAACTATTTGATAATAATTTTTATTAGTTAATACTATTGCTTCAAAAGTATCATCATTTTTAATTTCAACATGAAACCCAAGTAATTAATATGTACTTTTGAAATCTGAAATCATATAAATCTAATGAATATGAACTTGGTGTAATATATCATCTTAGGAATCTTTAATATCTATAAAATTTATATGGTGACTAAAAATTATTATAATTTGTTACCATTCATATATTCTTAATTGACAGTCAGTTAATGTTATTTATTTCCTTATTAAATATAATTTAGAGAATGCCCAATCTTAATAAATAAGCTCTTAGTAATCTCTAAAGTCATCATTATCTTATGTTTTAGGATCATAAAAAACAAATCTTTTAAACTCTACTTTTTTTGTCTCATTTATATAGCACAAGATATATTAGTGATCATATTCTTTATAATGGAAAATGAAAGTATTTTTTAAATTTTCAACTGACTAAATTTTTCAAAATTTTTACATTTTAATATAACTCCTATTTTTCTTCCCTTTATAAATCATGTATTGTTTTCATTTAAATATGAGAATTCACTTAAAATTATTTGCAATCTATTAGAATTTCATTTTTTAATGAAAAAAAAGAGATTGTTAAAATAAAGAATTTTCTTAATGTATGTTTGTTTTCAATATATAAGGGTTATTTTTGAACTGACTGTTCTTCTACAAGTATTCGAAAACTCAATAAATTTTCAACTGCTTACTGTACATGACACATTCGTAAATTTTTTTGATTAGAGGATAATTATTGGTTGAGCTGTAATAACCAATGAGAAGTTTTAATATCCTTAAAGTTAATTTTTATATTTTGAATTAAATGTTACCTGGATTTCCAAAAACATAATTTTGTTATTGAAGGATTGCAATTATTAATGTTGAAAGGTCCATTTTTTTCAAAATATAATACAAATGCCTCGTTCATCCTAATTAATAAGGGATTTGGACATTCTTTGTAAAATTTATCAATTTTTGATTTCTCTACTATTTTAGTATTATAAACTTTTTATTTAAATTCAATAACTACTTCCTATATAATGCACCCATAATTGCACTCATCATTATAATAGGTCCCTCCTAAACATACATAACAATTATCCTAACTACTAAAGCCATCAATCCTATTTTTAGTAACAGAAAATTATGATCTGTATTTGATAAGGTTTATAATTTATTAAAAGTTAGTATAAGTACCATCTTCTACTTTTTTTTTAGATTATTAATATTTCACTATTTACCATTCAATTATTAAATTTGAAATTTCTATAAATTAAATATCACTACAAAATTCATCAGCTTCAGAATAACCAAAGAAATAAATTAAAATATTTAATTCTTTATCAAAGAAATAAACACCATTTTTATTTTAAGGTAAAGAAATTTGCTATTTTTTTACAATTTAGAATTTTTAATTTTTGGATTAAACTAATTGATTTTACTCTGAAAAAAAAATTATTTAAATTCTTTTGCTTTCTATTAATATTATAAATCCATTATATTCTCCATTTTAATTTTAATCGTATTCAACAAAATACTAAATTTTAGTAATGTCAATTTCTTAACCTATATCTAATAGTACTAAATTTCCATCTTTGTCAATTAGAGGAAATTCTTTGTGAAGATTTTATCTAGATTATTTTTCAATTTATTTTTATTATTGAATTTAAAGTGATTTTAATTAATTTCTATAATATTATTTTTTTTATTGATTATTTGCTTCAATAAAGTAAGGATATAATCTTTCATAATATTATATCAAGCTAGATTAATCTAATTTTTAAGTATGTTAATTTTTTAAACATCCCAAAAAACAATTATTAGTGCAATTGATATACAATTAAATTATTTCGTTTTTGCTAAATTAAAATTGTTGATCAATTTAAGGTATTATTATTAATCTTCCTTAAGATATTTTATGAAATGATTTAACTAATTGATAAAATATTTGTGGATCTTTGATTAATGTATTTGAAATTTCAAAAAAAAAAATTATTATGTGTGGTTTGAATTCTTTTAATTTTTCTTTTAAAAAAAACTTTAAAGCCACTTTTAATGATTCCAAAGAATTTTCGATTGGAATATTATAATTGATATTACTTGTATTAATCTTGTTCTATATTTGACCTTAGCTTTCATCTTAATAAAAGTTTATAAATTATAGATTTTCTTTCTTTAAAGGTTCAAAATCCAATTAATTTTTTTGAATAGATATTAAGCTTATTTTATAGGTATCACTTTTTAGTTTTGATACATTTGTACTACCCTAAGATTATTCCCATTAACACTCAATCTCTCTTTAATTTGCTCTTTGTAAAAACTAAATAGATTTTTATATTGAGCAATCAAGTCCTTATTTGAAAAAAAAAAAAAAAAAAGTTTCTTCACCATCAAGAATCTAATTTATTTTAAGAATAATACCTAATCTATTTATTCTTATAGGCAGATTGCAATTCTAATAAAATTATCATTCTTAAAATCTTAAGGAAATTCTTTTAACTCTGCTGCAATTTTTGGATAACTTTCTTCTAGTGGTTCTTAATCTTTGTCTTAAGCTTCTATTTCTTAGTCTTTATTGATTAATTTAAGCTTCAATCTAAACTCATCATTATAATCTTTCATTGAATTAAAATCTCGTATGCAATGAATTATTTTTTTATAAGCAGTAGCTTCAATACTAGTGTCACTATTGCTTATTTCATTTAAATATTTGTATAAAGTGATATCTATCAATTAACTTAACTCATTTGTCAATTAATATTTACATTTTGCCATACTTTGACATTTTTTTGATTTATGATCTTTTGAAAGTTGGCAATGACAATTAGTTAATTCTTTCTAAATAAAATCAAATAAATATTTAGTACATTTGGCATCTAATCAATAGTTATTCTATTTTGAATTTTCTCTTTTTTTTCATTAGTTAGCCCAATTGCTTTACAATCTGTACTACATTCAATTTCTTATTAACTCATTGAGCAAATTAATTAAAAAAAAAATAATGAAATTGATCAATGAGAGAATTAATTGTCTAATGATGCTTTTTAAATCTATCTGATACTAGATGTTTTTTTTACAAAAGAAATTAAGAATATGATAGTAAAGATACAACTAAATCATTTTTCTTTTGTTTTTCGTATTTATTTAAAGAGGAATAATATAAAAAAATAGAAATGAAGCAATTATTTCATAAAATATAAAATGAAAGAAATAAATATGTATTTCACAAGTATTAAGATTAAGATAATTTATTTAATAACATCACCCAAATTTTAAGTATTAAATCCAAATTATAAAATTATTCTCTTTTCAAATTTCTTAGATCTAGATGGATTATTATAGGATAAATATTAGAGCCTTATTCTATTTTGTTACATAAGGTTTGCTAAAAAAATTTTGATTAAGGAGCATAAGAATTTAATAAAACCTAAGTTGCAAATACAATAAACTAGTTTATTAGAAGGAAAGTTAAGATTTAGATTATGTAAATGTTAAAATAAGAAAAATTGATCAAATAGAATAAGCGTAATACCAAATCTTTAATGATTAATAATGATTAAAAATATATTCAATATTAAATTATTAGTAGAAGAAGTTTATGATTTAATTATCAGAAATTTATTTAAATATTTAAAAAGAGATTTTATAAGATAGCTTATTGATTTATTATAAATAGAAAAAAATACTAAAGATTAATGCCTTCCATTAAAATGAAGTCTAGAAGCACAAATAAAACATATTTTCAGTGCATCTAATAGATTTTCTTTTTATGGAAAACATCTATTTGTCAAAATAAGAAAATTTGAATTTTTGAACCCAAACTCCCTAGAAAGACAAAATATATTATTCTTGAATAATTATGTCTAAACATTCATAAATATTCGAAATAATGATAAAAGGTTGATTTGAATAATGAATTTTCAATAATTTTTTTAAAGAAAACCTAAAACTACTTGTTAAGCAGATCAAAAATTTGATCAGAAATTGTAAAATCTAGTAAAGGCTGTGAATTTAGAAATACTAATAAGAAATTTTAGAAAGATAGGTAAAGGAATGAATTATATATAATAATAATTTATATATCTGTTGTATATTTATGTATTTATTTCATTATGGTGAGATTACTTCTTCTACTTATTTTGTTTTTGTTTTTTCTAGCTTTTCCTTTTCTAAGATATAAAATTTAACTACTTAATCTATTCTACGCTTGTTATTATTCGAATTCTTCCTTAGAAACAAATGGAATTTTTTTCTATTTTAATCTGCTTTGAACAATTATATCCTACAATTCCTTTTCAGCATTAGCTTAAAATTAAAACAAGTCATTTACTTCTTTTAAATTTAGAATGAGATATATCAAAATGAATCAAACTTGTATTCTTTGTTAAGCCTGTCTTGAGTTTTTCATATATATTTTTGTCTTTATTATCATTATTTTCACTAAAGTTATTATTGCTGATATTTAATGATTATAAAGTGCATGAAGAATCTGATAAATATACCTCAAGCATTTCAGCAGTTAAGCTACCTAATTGATTGGCAGACAAATTTAAATGCTGGATGCTTTTGTTTTAACTAAGCTTGCTAAAGAAGTTGGCTCCAGCAATATCATTAAATGAATTCAAAGACAAATTTAAATGTTCAAGTGATTTATTAAATAAAAGTGCATATGCTAAATTTTTAGATCCAACTAATCCAATTGCATTGTTAGATAAATCCAATTTGAGTAGGATTTCTGACCTCATCAAATATTTTGCAATCCTTATAACTCTTAAAGATAATAAAATAATTTACCCTTAGTCTCCAATTTTATTATGAGAAAGGTTCAACTCAATAATAGAAATATCAAGATTTATTCCTGTCATCAACAATCTCAATAAATCGTCATCGATTAAATTAGAAGGTAAAGATAAGGATTACTAATATATTTTATAAAGAATACTAGATTTCTACAATGCTTAGAGATAGCTTCTCCTAATTCAGCTGCTTGACTTAATTTCATGCCTAAGATTTCCTTTCTTGTTTGATCAATTCCAGTGGTCTAAATTGAATATTTTATAATAATTACTTTAACTCCATATATAACTGTCAAATTCTACAGGCATGGCAAGTATTGGCATAAAAACCCTATATCAATATTGCATTAAGTTTATGATATATTGAGGGAATAAACCCAATTATTGACTGCCTTTAATATTGCTTACAATTCATCTTTTTCTTATTAAGATTCTAAACTCTATTTTTGAATTCAACTCTTACTTTTATTGATTTGATGTATTCTTCAAGGAAATTTTCCATATAAGCAATTTTATAACTGTAACTATGTTTGCAGATATTTATTGTTCTATGAGTGCCTTTCCACTTAGTTTCACATGCTTGTTTCCAATAGTTTTCATCTTCAATGCTATTGTAAGTGATTGTTACAGGTAAAGTTTTTGGTGCTTTTGATATAATCTAATGATTATTTAGATGGAATACTTAATGTCTTATTTTTTCTGGAATACCTGGCAACTAAGAATAAAGATCAAAATTTAAGGCCACTTACTCTATTGCCAAATCTAAAAGAGTTGGAAATTCAATTTTGCCAGTCTATTATGGTTTATTTTACACCCTAGCTAAGAATATTTGTTTAGCCAACATTATATATAAAATATTATAATCAGCAATAATATGACAATTTTTAGCTATCATAATTAATTCCTTCAGATAGTTTGACTAGTAATTCTTTTAATTTATTTTTGAGGATTGGTTTAAGAATGTAACCAAGAATTCCAGATTATTTGCATCGTTCTAGATAATTTGAATTAGATGCATCACCAGAACAAGCAATTAGAATAATTAGAGGATCAATTTGAATTAATTTTGTTGCCAATTCAAATCCATCCATTACTGGCATATTGATATCTAAAAATACTAATTGATAAGGGAGGCCTTCTCGTTATCTTTCAACGAATTTTTACAAGCAGGTCATTCCATTCATTGCTGAATCCGAACTTATATCCATTTATTCCAATAAGTACTATAAAACGAGAATATTGATTTCATCATCATCTACAATTAATATTGGTGGTTTTTGATTAGTATTATCACACCATTTTTAAATTAAAGCTTCAATTTATTTTGCAGATAATGATGATCTTCTTGCAATACTTTTTTCATCATTTTTAACTTTAAATTTTGTTTGATTATTAACAGAATTAGTCATAAGATTAATAGTTTTCTAGGATTTTTTTAAAATGATTTTTTTACTACTTTCCATCTAAGGTAAAGCTAAAGACATTGTAGGTGATTTTTGTGAATTAAGTCCAGGAAAGAAATGAACATCCAAAGAAGGTAAACCATTTTAATGATTTATCAACAATTAAGATTCTGAAATATCTTCAGGTGCAAGTTATTTGTTTTCTATTTCAAAAAAGAATTTTGAACCTATTCCGAATTCTGATTAGACTTATATACCAGTATTAGATAATAATTTAGCTAATTCATTACTTATCATCAAGCCTAATCCTATTCCGAAAGGATTTAAATTTTAATTTTCATTATCTTCTATTTTAGAATATTCTTAAAATAAATATTACAAATTTTCTGGTTTAATTCCATAACCTGTATCTTATATACAAATTTTAATAAAATTCTTTCTTTAAGAACTTTCAGAACAATCAATATAAATTTTCCCATTTGGTCTAGTGTATTTAATAGCATTACTAAGTAAATTCATAATGATTTATCTTATTCTAAATTTATCAGAATTAACCAAGATTGGTAATTTTGAGTCATAATTAAATGTTATCATAATATCTTTCTTATCCTTTAATGAATCAAATATTGAAATAGTTTTAGCAATTAATTTTTCAAGATTGAATTTTCTATAAACTAGTTTTAATTTTTTATTTTCAACTTAAGCTGAATCTAAAATATCATTTATAAGATTAAGTAATAAATGGCAAGAATTTAAAGAAGGTTTAAGATATTTTAAAACTAATTCTTCATCAATATAATCTTTTAAACACATTTACATATTAATTATTGCATTCAAAGGATTTCTCATATCATGAGATACTTTTCTAACAGTTTTAATCATAAAATTTATTTAATTGCTAGATTATTAATTATCTAATTGTTTATTTTTTTATATCATAACAATTGAATTATAATCATCCAAAAGAATATTCTCAATTGATATATTATAATTTTGTTAGTTGTTCAACTAATAATACAGCTTTTTTTTTAAAGGCACTTTACTCTTTTTAAGATGGAAAAGAATCTCTTATAAAGACAATGTTTATTTCATTTCTTCTTCATAAGCAATTTCCCTTATTAAATTAGTAGTATTATCTCTAGGAGTTATTAATCTTGTTTAGTTATAGAAATCTTATAAACCCACTAATTACTCTCCTTTTAATTTGTTAAAGATATGCTATTAAAAAATAGGATTGAAATTATCATCCAACAAACAAAATTCATTATGTTAAATATGTTTAAGAAGGTTTTCTAACTAAATTAATTTATTTTGCCTTTCAATCCTAAAAATTTAACTTATAAACAAATAATTAAACACAGTTCTAATTACTCCTATTATAATAAAATCTTTTTTGCTAAAGGCTACACAAAATATTTATGTAACAAAAAAAACAGATGATACAAAGTTTATATGTTAGACATCCTATTTTAATATACAAACTAATTATATTCCAGCAAAAATTAACCAGTTTTGCTCTAATAAATAGTGTATAATAATTTGAGCTATTCCTTTAAATGAGTTAAAAAGTACATTTAACAATTTATTTTTTCCTTATAAAAAATGTTCAGATGTTAAAACAATTCCATGAAAGCATGTTAATGATAGTGCTATGATCAAATAATTATAGTTTGAAATTAAATAGGATTGTAGATGAATAAGTAAGCTATCAACAATGAGTATAATCTAAAGTATTTTTGCATTGCCTATTGATTTAATACATGAATTCATTAAATTATTATATAAGACACATATTATTATTAAATAAATAAATTATTCATAAAATATTATACAAAACAAGAAAAAATAAATTTTATTAGAAAGATAATATGAAATAAAAACCAAAAATGATTCTGATTACTTAGAATGATTTAAACTAATAATAATTAGACTTCTAAATCTTATATATATATATTATAATTTTTTTTAATCAATTTTTAACAATTTTTGTTTTAAAAGTATTATGAGACAAAACAATATATTAATTTTAAAGAATAAAAGATTGTATTCATAATAGAGTGGACTTTATTAGAATGAAAATCTATTGATGCAATTTTATGAAATATTATTTTAATTTTATGAAGAAAAATCAACTTGTTTCTTCTGCCCATTTGTTTTCTTCTCTAATTTATTATTCTTCCTCTTAAGTTAAATCATTTTAGATATTAAATGTTTTTCTAATTTCTTCAGGAGTTTTGCCTGAACATATTGATCATCTAAATTACCTTTAATATAAGTAGCTACTTTGGCACAGGATAAATCTAAAAGAGATTTAATGTCTAAATAATTGGCAGCCAAAATAATATCAAATAATTCCTCTAAATTTGGAATATCAATAAAATCAGCATCCTTTTATTCCACACAATCAGATCTATATTATATGTAAAAATTGTTACAAGTTATTGCTTCTCAATGGCTTTTCAATTTCTGGAGGTGTATCATTTCTATGTAACTCACAGTATTAAATCACCTTCTTTAAAATACTGCTTTTAACATTTGGTAATGGAATTTCCTCTTCACTACCTGTGTCATCAATAATTGTATTGATTAAATGAGATTTACATGCTACATCTTTGTCAACCTATATAGAAATTATTATTACTTCAATAATCACTCCATCTTGTGTGCTTAATTTCACTTTGTTTTCCATTAATTTTTAAAAGAAATATTCAAAATATTCTGTTTAATAAGAGTACTTTATAATGGAATTCCACAAGTATTAATCAGATTATTGAACAACAAAACATAAAATAAAACTGTTTACATTATACACTATATATCATTTGAAAGGACATTTAAAATTCCTCCAAAAAACTTAAAAAATAACAATTTAAAATCACCCACTTCTTAATGAATTGTATAAAAGAATAAGTTAAAATATTCAATAATTTTATTGATAAAAATATTCTTTATTAAAAATATCAACAAAATTCTTCATTTTTATTTTGTAAATAAATTCTTTACTTGCTAAAATTATTTTAATTTCTCTTCAACTAATTATAGTTTCTAGGTTTTACTTTTTATATATCTATAAAACTATGATAATTATTGTAGAGAAGTTCTTATTTAATATGAAGTCTTTTTACAGTATTTTATTTAAATGATAATACTTAGCTAACATGATTTATGAATATTTCAAGTAAAATTTAATCAATTTTTAAATGGATTTCTTTTTCTATATTTTTAAATTTTTCTTCTGAGGATAATAATTATAATTATTAATAACTCTTAATAAAATCTCTGAAAATTTTCAAAATAATTGAATATTATCTAGAAGATAATGGAGTATTGATGATCAAAATGATATTGAGTATTATGAATTTGGTTTAGTCAACCTCCTTATCAAATAAATTATAAGATAAGATTGTCATATTAACATCAGAATCTAATTTTATTTCTCTTTTAATAGTTTTTTCTTAAAGTTATTTTCCCAACTACTAAACCACTATTAATTCCAGCTAATATTCTTTAAGGATCATATTCAAAATTATATTCTGGAAAATCAATAACTTTTATAAAATTAAGAAGAGATTTTAATGAAGCAATAGAAAATTATTTAATTGTTTTAATAATATTAAAAAAAAGATTTGATTGATATTATTTAATAAAAATGAGATATTTAAACATAATATAAAAGAATTTATCATTAAGTCATTAGTCATATTTAAATATAATAATCATTTAATTTAATCATGTTATTTAGGAATTAGTTTTAAATTATTAGCTTAAATAGTTTATAATTTAATTTCTTCCAATCTCAAATAATCTCGAACCTTCCTTTAGAATGTTAATCCTTTATTATTATTAATTTTTTATTATAATGAATTAGCTCCAGAATATAATTAATCTAATAAAGCTTCAGTGATAGATGCATTTGATATATTATCTTAGAAATCATCAATTTAATCACTATTATAATTAGTAGGATAAGATAGAAATCTATTATGTTTGATAACACCTTCATTATTTTTCTTTTTGTTACTCTTTTATAATAATTATTTTAATTAACTTTTGGAATCTTAATCTATTTATTCAATATCATTAACTTATTCTATTAATTTGCTTTAGTAATCTTTAACTCTTTATGTTTATTAAAATGGATTTTATACTCTTTACATAATTTTTCTTTTATTTTAACCTAATGAATTTGATGTATTTGAATTTATATCATTAGAATTTTATAATTTACTTTATTTCCAATTGATTGTTTTTCTTAGTTTTTATTCTTAAACCCATTACATATATATTTCTTTTTTATTTAGATAGAGATTTAATATTCTATCATATATTTAATCATTATTTTTCATGAGATTTTATAAATGTTCAGAGATTGTTGGGAAGCGATTAAATAAAAAATTGTCAGAGTTTTCTTTAAATTATAAACTTAACAGAAAATGATAATGTCTTGGACTTAAATTTTAGTGATTGGAATAACTAAGCTTTTTTTCTTTAAGTACTGTCATTGTACGTAATTAATGAAATCTTAAATTCTAAATATAAAACTCAGATGATTTATGAAAAGCAATTTCTAAATTATCCAAAAACTTGGTTTACTTTTTTTTTTCATCTATTATCATTCTTCTTAATTGTATATTATTTTGTATTACCTATCTAATATATATTTACTAACATCTTTTATTTTCTTCCATTTTAATAAAGCATTCTCTTATTTTGATAACTTTCGTTTGTCTTTCTTTACTTATAATGATAATTCATAAAGTCTTTCTCTCTTATTTTCAACTTAGGTTTTGTTGTTGGCATTCTTCAATTTTGTTAATTTATCTTCCAATAAGTTCATTTATAAATGTTCTTTATTGATTACAGAATCTTTGAAAGAACAAACAGATTCCTTATGAGATTTAACATACTCATATTTATCATTCATATTTTCTATTGTTGTTGGAAAATTCCTATGATCAATCAATTATTTAGTATCTATATTTCCGGCCAAAAATTTACGAAATGAGGCCTTAAATTTCTTACCTCTTGGAGCAGAAAAAGATGATATTGGTGAAGCGATTAACAAGTCATCTACTTCTTTTTAAATTTGAATCTATTGGAAATTAGAATTCTTTATAAGGTTTCTATATTTATTAGACCTTGGATTGTTAGATTATGAATGTTTTGGACTGCTACTAGGTGATTTATTCATAACTACAATAAAATTATGATATAATATTTATAACAACGAGATTCTCCAAATATAGGTTCATTAAAATATATTGAAGCTCATAAAAATTTACTCATTTCTAAGCATAATTATTTAAATGAAACTTCTTCTTCTTGATCTTCCTTCTCAAAATAAAACTATTTATAATCCTATCCCAATTTCTTTTTACTAACATTCTAATTTTCATTCTTTAAGCACTCCTGACTATTATTAAAAAAATTATTGGATGTTCTTTATAGCTTAGGTTTGTTTTAAAATTGATTATGACTACTGATTCGAAAGTTATTCTAAAAATATATTAATATTTCTATAAACTTAAGGTGTAATTGGTTTTATGAGAGGTTAGCTTTTTTATCTTGAAAATTATCGAGAATTAATAGGTGGCTTGTCCATATTACTAACAAATAATATTAGATTAATCTAATAAAACTTTGTAATAAAATTAATATTTTAAAAACATAAAATCTGAAAATTAAAGAGATTTATAATTTACAAAACCATGTATTCTTTTTTATTTTTATACTATTCTAAACTAGAAATAACATATAAATTTATTATTTCTATATCATTTATTAACTAAATTCTATTTTCTTATTATATTATAAACAAATAAAAAAAGTTTACAATTTATTGTATTAAAAATTATAAATACGATTTTTACAATCGATTTCAGTATTATTTAAGTATTCTTTTATTACTTTATCAATTTTTTATCTATTTATTACTATGTAAATTGTTAATTTCTGTATTCTAAGTCAAAGTTAAATTTTTTAAACAAAAAAACCTTTAAAGTTCCCAAAAAATTAATGGTTATTAAGTTAAAATATAAATTACAATTTTAGATGTATTTTGGAAGCTTTTTTATTTAAAAAATTTTATTCATGTCTTTCAATTGAAAACTTGCCTTCAATTTTCTGTAATATTGTTAGACTAATAGTTATTGTAAAAAAATAGTATTGAACTTTATAGAAATATAAACGCCGTTTATTGGTTTCTAATTGATATAATTCTAATCGTTAAAAAGATCTGTCCTTGAAGAATCAAAAGAAATTGAGAATTTTAGAATAAAATAGATTTATAAAGATTGCCAAGATGTAACATGCATAATTTAATCAAGTACTTGTTTTTCTTTTTGATTCTCTTCTCTAAACTATAGGGTTCTTTGTAATGGCATAAGGAACTTGAGTAGTATTACCTAAATTTTATTCTTCTAATTAGGTTGGTAATTTGATTTAGGTTTGGCGTGAATTGATTTAAGGATTATTTGATTGCATGCAAATTTAATTAAAAATAATAATGAATTCGTGAATGTAATTATCATCATCTATAATATATAATGTTTTAAATATTTATTAGACAGAAAAATTGAATTCATAAGAAAAAATCATATCTTGTATTTTAAATAAAATAAGTAAAATAATTTATAAGACAATTTTCTTTTATAAACCATTTATCTAATTGAATTATGAGGATTTAATTGATTTAAATTCTTTATTGTAAATTTTTAATATGATTTTTAAAGTCAAAATATTTATCTTAAATTATATATATAATAGTAAAATTTATGATTCAATATCAACATCTAAATTTCAAGAAATCTGATGATTATTTATATAAAGCTTATTAAACTAAGCATTTATCTCTTTTTTCATAAGGACTAGAACTTAATTTGGAAGTAATACTACATTTTCTTTCACTAGGTTGATTCCAAAAAGATTGTGTATCTCTTTTCATTGGCATTACTAAATTAAGTTTCAAATTTGTATTATTTATTCTATTAGTAAATGGTTATTTTTTTTCAATTGATGTTTATCTAGAAAATAATTTATTTAATTAAGCAAGAGGAGATCTTGATGTTTAAGATTGATATTACTAATCTTATAGATTAAATGTTTCTTAATATATTTTTGTTGTTTTGATATTTTGTAACAATTTGACTAAACTATTTTTTATGTCTTTATTAAATTTCTAGTATAATTATAAATTGGGATTCATTTGATATAATAATGAATATGATTATTAAGGAGATTAAACTTATAATTTTAATCTCTTTTATTAGATTAAATTCAATTGATATTCTTATTATTTATAAAACAGCTTATTTTAATCAAAAACCTTTTGCATTAAAAAATTTATTTCTTAAATAAATTAATTTTGTAAATGTTCTAATTCAGCCTAAAAATTCTGTTACTCTAATCTTAATTCATTAATTAAGTAATTTAGATCTTGATCTTCTTGGGATTCTTATTATTTTTTTTCACAGTTTCTACCTTTTCTTTATTAAAGCATTTAATTTAAGTTGAACTATTAAGGTTTTTTGTTTTATTGATTTGTTTGTTCTAATTCAAATTCAGATTCATCAAGAAGTTCAGAATTTAAGAACTTCTTGATAATGGATATGCTAGATGCATCAAGCTAATTGTCATCGCAACTCATAACGACAATTAAATAATAAAATTAACATTAAAATTATTAGAGCCAAAAATAACTATATATTAAGAAATATGAATCATTGAATTGATTTCATATTTAACCAATGATTAATATGATTGTATTATGGCTTCCAAAATCCAATAGAATGAAACTTAAAATAATTAAATTTATTTATGGGATGCCATATACAAACGGGCAGATAAATGTAGTTAAATGACCCCAATCCTTCCTTTGAATAATAACTATAAGAGATTGATAAAAGGGAATTCTTCAAAAATAGAAACGGTTTCAAAATAGTTCTCTAACCTATACTATTTACTTTTTCTTAAGAAAAAGGAGAAACAGATTCTTAAGAGTAAAATGATTGAAAGTAGTGAATGAGAATTGATATTTTATGAAAAGAAATAAATTAAAAAATCTATACAAATTTTATATAGATTATGTTATAAGATTAGTTATAGAATGTATTCACTTATATAAGATTTCTTTTTATTAAAATATAGTGTTGTCTTTTGAATTAGTGAGTCATTGTGATAATCTAACTTAAATAATTAATTATACAAGAATAATTATTGTAAAATAATTTGTTCTAGAACACTAATAAATCATATATAAAGATTGAATAATTTATAAAGATGTTTATATTTTGAATATAGAAATCTTATGAATTCAAATAAAAATATTGTCTAAAAAATGATATTAAGTTATTAAAAACGAATTAATGAATAATTATATCATATTTTTAACAAATAATTAAAATATATTTAGTTTATGATTAATCTAAGATAGTTAATTGAGTATTTTAATTAGATTATTAATATTAAGTAAGTATAACATAGAATATGATTATATAAAATATATTAGATTTTATTGATAATTATGAATTTTATAATCGTTAATTTTATAAATATATTGTAAGTAATTATAATTTTGAATGAGAAAAAAAGTTGAAAAAATTAAAAAAAGTATTTGATTTTATAACTGTAGAACCATGGAGTGATTATGAGGATGCTTAAGTTATGCAATTAGTTGAATAATATGGGCCACATAAATGGACATTTATAGCATCTAAGTTATAAGGTAGAATTGGTAAACAATGTAGGGAACGGTATACAATGTTGAGTAATATAGTTGGCATAATCATTTGAATCCTTTAATAAAAAAGTCACCTTGGGAATATGAGGAAGAATGGATTTTATTTTTGTATCATGAAGCTATTAGTAATGAATGGGCAGAAATTGCTAAGCATTTAGAAGGAAGAACTGATAATGCAATAAAGAATCATTGGAATTCTGGAATGAAGAAGAGAATGAGTGAATTTAAAGAAAAGTTATAGAAAATAAGATAACAATTTTTATAAAAAGGGTTTTAAATTTGAATTAAAGAAGGTAGGCATACTTTTTTAGATTAATTTGTGAACCCTTATGAAAGGAAAGCAATGGAAATAATATTTTTAAATAAAAAGTATTTAAGTTTGGTTACAGATACAGAGGAAGATGAGATTGATGAGCCACCAATAAAACCAAATTAAAATACTTCTTTGAGAACTCGAAGTAATTTGAATAATAATGTATAATAAATGTATATGAAGTTTGAAATTAGAAGCAAATACATTAGTAAACATCCAAGAAGAAATAGAATGCATAGAAAATATTTGATATATAAAAAGAATTAAATGAAAGAAATAGAGAAAGAAAAGGAGAATAAAAATTTGTGTAATGTACCATCAGTACAAATAGAATTTAGATAAATGTTTTCAATGCAATAATTAGATTAGACTCCTTAAAAAGTATATAAGTAGTTTATAAATTCTATATTATTTAGTGATGATTTTTATTAAACACCAGCAGCATTTAATCGAATATAAAGATTAACAATCAGTAGTTCAAAGTTTAGTTAATTTAAATGTTCAGTTTAAGTAATATAATAGATATATATATCAAATAGAATGATACATTTAATAATTAGTTGTAAGAAGAACTAAAATAAAACTTATTTTTATGATATATTTTATTAATTATCAAATCTATCATATAACTCAATATACTTTGAAAAATAATATGTTAACAATATAATTGAATAATAAATAATATTAAATAAAAATCATATGAAACTTGGAACTTGTACTGAATGGCTCTTCTTCCATCTTTGGAAAAAGAATCCTAATTCTGGTCATAGTTGTAATGGAGTCTTTCTTGCTGATACTGTTATTTACAGATGGGCATAACCTTATTTTAGTAATCTATAATCAATACAATAGGATATTTTACAGCTTAGAATGGTCAAATCATTAGAAAAACTAAAGAAAGGGTGTTTATTGAGTAAGTTGAATAAGCATTTTTATAAGATAATACTGTTGCTGTTTTATTAACTAGTCAAGTAATTTTGATTAACAACTATTTTAGGCTCAATCAAAATAATAGGAAATAATCAATTTTGAATACTTTGATAAAGAGAACTTTGGTAAATTCTTATATTAAAGAGAAAAAGAGCTAAATTCAATACTTCAAAAGTAGAAAATTCAGTTGATATTTTATAGATTTATTTATCCTAAGAGTGATCATAATTCAATGATTAAAGTAACATGGTCTCCATAATTTTGTTTAATTAACAGGAAAACAAATATTAATAATATGAATGATATGAAAAAACCATTATATGAAAGAGTTAGTACATTTGATGGTCCTGAATATTTATCAGTTTCAGATTCTATAAGTTCACCATTATTAAGTTCAGATTTAGAATAATTATGTGTAAATATTGTTAAACATGTCTAAGAAGTTTCAGGTGGAAATATATAAATTATTAGAATGGTTTTATATTTTAAAGTAGATTAAGAGAATAGAATTTGGTTAATGTTTTGTACTGGTATCAAAGTAAAAGATAAATTTTCAATACATCCAGATAAACATAGAACAGATTCTCCTCTATTTAAAATAATAAGAAGAGATCTTGAACCTGTTATTACAGGAACTGAAAATGTTTAAAAAGTTGTTAAATATAATAGTGAAGGATAAATAGAAGAATTATTATATTAATTAGAAAGTGTTTGTTCAAATTGTGATTTATTTTCATCAGAATTATATTAATTATAATTTGAATAAATAATTGAAAGTTTTGAAAGAGTATTTATAATTAATATATATTATTAGGCATTAGTAAGTAATGAATTTACTAGATTACCAGAAGATTTGTAAAAGATTAAATTGAAAAATGATAAAAAAAGTGAATTATTAAAATTAAACTAACATATTAAAACTAGATCAAAATAATTTATTCATAAAGGTAATTTTAATATTAAAACTATAATTAGATTATTAATTATCAAATTATTTTGAATAATAATCAAATTAATAAATTTCTGGTACATAAAGTCAATAAGAAATATTGGTTGAAAAATATAAACTTGTAAATAATTAGAAAACTTCTGATTAAGTTCATGCTGAAATTTAAGAATTATGTCGATATTTAGATGAAGAATAAGAAGATTGTAAATTGAATTTTAAAAGTGTTCCTGCTTTAATCTTAAAAGTATGGGGAAAATTATCTGAAGAAAAATATAAATAATTAAAATATAATCCTAGTTGGAGATAACTCAAAACTTAAGTTTGTTTGGATTGTTATCTCAAATATACTGAATGTTGTAATCTTACTTAATTTGAAAGAAAAGTGTATTAATATTCAATCTAATTTAAATTAGTAAGACAGCTGCTCAAAACTTAAAAAAAAAAGTAGAAGATCAATAAGTCAATAATATTCTATTGTAAAATACCTTGCTTGAGATTAATAAAAGTAATTTTACTTAAAATTTTCATTCATCTTTGCCTCCTGTAATGGAATAAAGAACTATTACAGCTGGTGGAAAAGCTAGTGTTGCTAAAACAGCCAATACTTAATAAAGATCGACTGCATTAAATACACCACCTTAACCTCATCAAAACACTTTAGAAGCCATGCCTTAATTCTTTAATAAATTTATGAAATAAGAAACTAAACCTAAAAAGGCTCCAACTACTTAAAAAGTATTATATATTTTTTAATTTTAGATTTACCAAAATCGATAAGGATTACATATGTCATTGAATCATTCAAATTAATCAAGATCTTCTCGTTCAACTTAAGATTAATCGAAAATTTCGTTTGATTATATGATATCTACTGTTTCATAGCTGAAAAAGAAATTATAAGAATTGGAAGATGAAGAACAATCTTAAAAAAATTAGCCAACTTAAAAGCCATAAACTCTATAGGATTAATCAGAATTTAATTCTTTATTACAAAGTAGCAAATTACTTCAGACTAAATCCCAACCACATTAATGATCAATATTTTTGGAAATAATAATATATTTTTATTACTCTTTGGATTATTTAAAATATAAACATAGAGATTTATATTCTGTAATTTTTTAATCGTTAAATTATTTAAAATGGACTCACTTTTTGCTTTATTTGATTAATTCTTTAGAATAAATCTGACACAATATCCATAGAATTAATAAGCCTATTTGTCTGAAAGTTGGGAATAATTTTTATCCTTATTATAAACATAACCATTAGATTATGGAAAAATTTATACATTGATAAATAGGATAAATTATGAAGAGTTGAAAGTAGAAAAGAATGAAAGATAGAGTTCAAGTCAAAGATATATTGCTAGAAATATTACAGCAGCCTCATCTCCTAGAATTGTCTCTTCATCTGTATCAAAAAATAGTAAATACATATTTATTAATAAGGCACTAATGTATTATCCAAAATAGCTTAGTTAGATAGTGTTGCTAGTCCAAAAATAGCAGTTTCTAATTTAACTAGTTAATAATCTTTAACAAATAAAACATCATTGTAATAAAATGTTAAATAACAAGTAAGACATTAATTCAATATAGTAAATGACAGATGAATTTAATCGACATTTATTATTGAGCAAAATTAAAGAACTTTAGTTTAATTACTCTGTCTCAACAGATAAATTATATGCTATAGCTAGAATATCACATTCAAGAGGTGAAAATCAACCTACATCTAAATCCCCAATCAAATACCCATTAACTTAATATATAAATAAATCAAGAGGAAGCAATCATTCAGCAGAACATTATAAAATTGTAGTTTGATTACATTTAGTTCTTTTAATATAATTTTTATTATATCAAAACTTTAAACTTATTTGTTAATTATTCTTCTCTTTTATAATAATATCTAAATTAATTATAATTACAATTATTAAGTTACCTATTACAATAAATATAATTATACAATACAATATTTTTATTATAACTCATATTCTATAAAAAAAGAGTTTTCAAATAAAAGAATTTAAAATTTTATCATTCATTTACTATTTCTTACTTTATGGTATTTCTGTAAGGCCATCTTTTTAACAATGAATATAATGAAATTACTTTTATTGATTTTTATAATAGATACTATTTTAAGAAGGAACGATTTAAATTTTTTATTATAAAGATAAAGAACAAACATTGTAAATGAACTATATATTGGATTTTAATAAAACAATATTTTTAATTTAAATTTTTAAGAATTTCTTTATAAAAAATTTGATATTATTTTAATAAAGAAATTTATGAATTTAGTTATTAAAGGCAAGGAACTTTAATTGTATTTTTCCAAAGAACAACTCAATAATATGGTTGTAAAAATTGCAAATTAGATCTCTGTTGACTATTAAGAAAAGCATCCAATTTTTATTGGAGTATTAAATGGTGCATTCGTGTTTATGGCAGATTTAATTAGAGCTGTTGATCCTTAACTTAAATTTTAAATTGATTTTATTAAATTATCTAGTTATGAGGGTATTTAATAATTCATAAGGAATAGGTAAATAATCAACTGGAATTGTAAAGGCTTTAAGTGGATTGAAAAATGATATTAAAGGTCGCCATGTTATAATAATTGAAGATATAATTGAAACAGGTTTGACTATAACAGCAGTCATAGAAGAGATGAAAAAATTAGAGCCTGCAAGTGTTAAATTATGTGCTTGTTTTCTTAAGACTGGTAAAATGATAATTAAATATTAGGAAAATAAAAAATAAATATCTAACCTGATTATCTATGCACAGAAATAGAAGATAAATTTATTATTGGTTATGGTTTAGATTGGGATGAATATGGAAGAGGATTGGATCAATTATATTATATATAATGAGTAATATTATAGTTTAAACATTCAATCAACATAATATACAATTTAAAATTAACATTCAATCTTAATTGATTTTATTCAATCTTTTATTAGAACATAATATTATCTGAAAGAAAACCTTAAGTTAATTAATGAGAAGTAATGTTATTCTTTATACTCTTAGTTTGAAATCTTTGTTCAATTCTTAATCAAAATCATTAAGTAAACATATTCTTATTTATTTATGTATTTTAAAAAATAAATACTTTTTGTGCTTTTATGCAATCAACTTATATGCTTCATTAAACTAGAAACCTTTAATCTTACTCCATTTGTTACAAATATTTAAGATAATTAGATATTCACATATATTTTTAAATAATAAATTTATATTAATATTATACGTATTTAATTTTTGTCAATCTCAATTCTTCTTTGTTTTAAAGTGTTCATATAAAGTAATTTATAATTCAATATGTATTTCAGGATAAGAAGTTTAAAAAAAGAAATTATTTAACTAATACATTTAATTAATAAATTGTTCTTATTTTTATAATTAATATTAATATGATATAAAATAACTAATATTTGAAACTCAAATTCTTTTGTAATTTTATATATGAATTTAAAACACTTGAAAACAATTATATTTATATATCTTTAATCACAAAATCAAATTCTAAAGATTCTAATAAATATATATATATATGTTATTTAATGTATATAATGAATAAGAATATAAATATATACAATATTTATGTAAATGTGATTGTTTGTAAACCAAAATTAAAATTTATTTATGAATTAAGATAAAGAATGGAGTTAAGATAGTTGGAAAAATTATTCAGCTTTATAATTACCCATATACTAAGATGCTCAACTATAGTAATGATATTTTAGAAATTAGTTAAGATACCCTTCAAAAAATAAAAAATCTTCCAGAAATCCTAAATTTTGAGGATATAAATGTTTTTAAAAGTTAAATGATTAAGGTTAGTAAAGGTGAGAAATTTGTTCTGTAATTGGGTGATTGTGCAGAAGTGTTTGATGAATGTACTGATGAACATTGGAAAGAGAAATTTAGTTTTTATGATGTATAAAACAAAAATAATGTAGCGAATGGGTTAAATCTTAGATGCAATAGTTATTGGTAGGACTTGTGGATAATTTGCAAAACCACGATCATAATTATTAGAAAAGGATGGCACATTAAATTATAGAGGAGATTTAATTAATTCATTAAGTAGAGATGAAAGAGATCCTGATCCTTCACGTTTATTATTGGGTGCTCATTATACTAAAAAGGGTATAGACAGTCTAAAGCAGTATGAGGGTTCATAAATTTGGGTTTCACATGAATGTTTACATCTTGGATATGAATCAGCTTTTGTGAAATAAAATTAAGATAAGTAGTATTATTTAACTAATACTCATTTTCCATGGATTGGGGACAGAACAAGATTACATGATCATGCACATTCAAATTTTATTAAAGGAATTTACAATCCTGTTGGAATTAAGGTAATTCTAATAATCTATGTAGATTGGATAAACAATTAATAAGACAGAATTCATAAATGTATTTAAATTAATTAATCCAAAAAATGAAGATGGAAGAGCATTTGCTATTATAAGATTAGGAAAAAATAAATTAGACAAATTAAAAGATATTATTCATTGGAAATAGGAAGAAAAATTAAATATTTCATTCTTTTTAGATCCTATGCATGGTAATAATATAGATAAAAGTGGACACAAAATTAGAAAAATAGAAGACATTATGTATGAAATCTAATAATTTTTTACCATACTGGAATAATAGAATGAAATTCCTGCAGGTTTACATTTAGAATGTACACCTTATGATGTAACTGAATGCATAGAAAATGATGAAGATATCAATCCTAAAAAATACACTACTGCTTGTGATCCTAGATTGAATTTTAGACAAACTAGAAAAATTATAATTTTTGTTAATACTCTTCTTAAAAAATTAAGGAATAAATAATGAAAAATTATTTTTAAATTTTTAATGACTTATATATGTATTAATAGTATTATTATCAAATCGATATCAAATTTTACATATTCTATTATTATCATTAGAATAATATTATATAATAGAAATTCTGACCATTATTATTAAATTTATTGATTCATATTTAAAGTAGATTCTTAAAAAGTAGAGATATTCTAAATTTTTAATTATTATCTATATTTTATATAAATTAAGTTCTATCAAGAAACTTCTATCCTTATTATTAAATAGAATAAATAAAAATTTCAATTCAAATAAAAGATTATCAGTATTGAGGAGGGGGAATTCGATATTTAAAATTCATTTTTTAAGTTCAATCAAACTTGCATATTGATAAGAACTTTAGATAATATGAATAGTATTATGATATAGATAATTGATTTCTATTAGAAGATAATAAAAGGAAAATATAATGAAAATAAAATAAAGAAAAATAATAAATGTATATATATGTATTTATATAAAGAATCTAATTAAAAGTTGACTTATTTATTTAATATTTATTAATTTTTGAACAGAATAAAAACTCATAAGCAAGTTACTATTACAAGTTAAAGACACTCATACAGTATCCAAAATTAAACCAACTCTTTATCCGAATTCCGAGTTTTTAATTTATTAAATAAGATCTGGATGCTGTTTTAATAACGATATTAGATAATGAACTGAAGGATCTGCACTTATTAGAACTTTTTTCATAACATAGTTTCCAAAAGGATGGATGGATAAGTTATAAAATACAAATCTAAAGATTAATCAATAAAGTACTAATTATTAGATTATGTACATAAAATCTTAATAATTTAAGATGGTCCTATAAGATCAAGATATTTTTCAACAGTATTGCTACCAAATTTATTACTACTTAATTATTCGAAGTTTTCTTTAATAATTTGGCAAATTAAAGATTTTTCCTTTTATGGTCCAGTTCTAAGAAGGAATTAGATTATATAATTTCCAAATTCTTAATAACATAATTAATAGGCTATGGAAATTAATATGTCTAAAATTCTTTAGGTTATTTCCAAAGGGTAAAGTTCTAAGACTTTTTGAATTAATCTACAACCATAAGTCTACTTTGAGAGAATAGTAATCTTAAATAATGAAATTTATTACACATTCTTCAATTTAAGGGATAATGAATAATAATTTAGATTTGTCTAATATTTCAAAACATGATAATAGTACATAATTACCATTCAAATCATTTAAAAGTTGATTGATATGTGGATAAAGTGTTTTAATTAATGATTGAATTAATTCATGAGAATCTTTTTGAATAGATAGATATATGGTTACTTAACAAATTCTATCATCTTCTAAACAACTCTACATGCATATTAATTTTTTGATAATTCTAAGATGTGACAAATCAAGAGAGAATATAACTTATATTTTTATTCATAATCTGCAACATCAAATATTTTTTACACTGTATAATTACCAAACATATCTTTAGATGCTTTTACACAAACCTTTTCAACTTAACAATAAATAAGTCTTTTTTAATTGCGATCATTATTATCCAAAACATTTTATAATTTTCTATTAATTAATTGATTTCCACATATTTATTCCTTAGAATTAATATTATTATATATACAAGATCCTTTTAATTAAGTTACAATTTCCCATCAAGAATTTGAACACTGTTAAATTAAAATTATGTATGTTAATATTCCATTGGTTAAACTGTGAGATGTTTTTTAACTTTTTATTTCAACTACAGTTATTCTAATGAATCAAATGCTAATAGATATTATTGAAAATTATATACATTAATAATTATCTGCTGAACCAAAGAATTCTAAATCTGATGCTTAATTTAAAGCATTAGATAATTAAGACTGTCTGTATATGGATTATATATATATATAAATAAATACATTTCTATAGATGTTTATGTATGAAAAAATATTCGCTATTTTTATTATGATCCTAATCCTGTAGAAATGATACTCTTATTTGAATTATGAATATAATCATATTTTATATGCTATTCTGGATTGAATTCTTTTGATTTGAGTGATAATTTTTTCTTCCTCTTATACAAAATTGGTACTAATTAAATTTCATCTTCTGAGAATAGTTAATTAATAATACCACTTAATATGGATCCTATTAGATCTTTTTCTTCACTTTAAGATGCCATATTAAATAAAATTTTGATTATATAGTGTGAATATTTATAATATCATTAAATACTACAGTTTATAATTATTTATATCATGATTATATTGGATAGAATCAAATCCAAATAATGTTATTAGATTATTATAATATATAATACTTATTTTATGTAAATTTTATTATTCAAAATAATATTCCAATAAGTTGGATCAACATTTAATATTTATTTTTTTATTATTTTATATATATAATATTCTCACCAAACATTTCTCTAAAAATTAGAAGAGTTGTAATTAATTAATCTTATAATATAAAAATTTAATGAAGAATTTATACTATGAAAAATTTAAATATAATATATTTGTAAACACGGAAAAGTAAACTAAAATAATGACATTACATATAATTTATTTAAACTATTCTTTTTAAATAATATTTATAGTATTAAAATATCGACAGTACAAAAATTTAATATGATTTAAGTTAAGTTCTGCTAAGACTAAATTTCAATCAAAATTGATTGGACTTAGTATTTTTAGATTAGATGCTATTCGTTTTCCATTTTGATATTTAATTTTTATAGGTTAACCATCTGATTTTATTAATTCTCCTTCACCATCTTGATTATCATCCTTCCAATAACCTTTATATTATTTCCCATCTGTCCAAGTATATACTCCATATCCATTTTTTTTATTTTATTTAAAAGAACCTTCATAGACTGATTGATTTGAGAGTGTTAATTTTCCTAAACCTTCCATTTAATTATTAACCCAATACCCTTCATATTTTAAACCATTTAGTCCTTGATAAATACCAAAACCATTCAAATTATTATTATCAAATTAACCTTCATAACTGGTTCCGTCTTCATATTGAACATAACCTTTACCATGTTTGAAATTGTTTACAAATTATCCTTGATATGTATATTAATCTATAATAAGGCATATAGTTACTTATAACTATTTCTTTGCCATAGCCATGTTTTTTATTTTTAACCCATTCGCCAATATATATGTTATTATCAAGATCTGTGAATCTACCAAAGCCATGTATTAAACCTTATTCGAAATATCCTTCATAATGGCTACCATCATTAAATGAAATCAATCCATATCCTGACATAGATAAATTGATCTAAATTTCTAGACCATCTTTACTGTGCATTGTAATTGGCTTTTTAGATTAAAATTTTAAGGGTTCCATTTTTGTGATTTAAAGTTAATGTATTTTATTTTAAAGATCGCATTCTTCTGAAGCAGTATTTAATCTGATATTCTCATTGTTTACATTTAATGGTGGTTAACACATATTTGAAGTTTCTTCATTTTATTCGTCACAAGAGCATTGTTTTTCTACAATAATATTCTATTATATATGTGGCTATTTGAGTGTACAAGATCCCATATAAATATATTTCTAAATTATCAATCTAATAAATAATATTTTTTTTTTTTTAAATTACTTATTAATAATTTTTGATAAATAATGGATTTAGAGTAAAATAAATGAGAAAATAAAAAATGATTATAATTATCGTATTGATAATTTAGAATGACTAATGAAAATAAATATATATATAATTTATATATATATATATATAAATAGATCATATACTTTAATCGGAATTCATCAAGAAAGTTAATAATTATTAAAGAATAATGTGTTTGGATTATTAATAGATGATTTGATTATTAAAAGAAATATTTAAAAAAAATAAAATATCCAAACCAAAATGTTACATCAATACTTGAGTGATTTTGAATCTTTCGATAATTGTAGCTTTATTCTTGAAGAAAATAACAAAATTTAATATCAGAAACTGAATCTATTTAAAAATGATTCATTTTAAGAATTCGATATTGATTTTGAATAAAGATCAACAAATATTGTTAATCAACCTTATATTAGTCATTAAGAAATAAATAAAAAAGAAAATAGTTCAACACTTAATAAGAAGATTAAGAAGTAATCAAAAAAAGAAAGAAATTTAAAGGATTATAAGAAGAATATCTGTAGAAATATTTTAAGACATGCCATAAAATCGATGAATAATGACTAAGATTGCATTAATTACCTATCAGAATTAGTTGATAATAGCAAATAATTCAGTATGTATTATAACAGATAATTGGAATAAATTACTGGCTTCAGAGTTTTAAGAGATCATTTAATTTCATTGAAAGAGGATTCTTAGATTGTATAGAATAGAAAATTAGCTTTTAAACATTATTTATTATGGTACTTAAAATCTAAAGCAACAGCAATGATTTTAAGAGGTGAAACTCAAAATCCTTAAGAATATTTACGATATAAGAATGAAGTCTTAATTTATTATATACATCAACCTCATGAATGGATATCAAATAACCCAGAGTGGTTGAATGTAGCCACAACAGGAAGAGATAAATAGTTCCAATCAAATACAGATAGTTTATGTATTTGAGTTGTCTTGGGATAATTACAATATTATAGTTGCGTGGTCTCACACCACAGAGAATGAAGACATTTGATTAAATATTTGTCTTTATTTTTTAATTTAATTATTTATGAAATAACAAATAGATCTCAAGTTATTACAATAATAAAGAGAAGAACGATTTTAAAAGAGTTTATTTGGTGCTAATCAAATGACTTAATAAATTGAAGATAAACCTGCCAATACCAAAGTTCCTTTATTGTCTAATGAAAATTTTGTATAAATTTATGTAAAATGCACTATCACTCCAGAAGTATGATTATTTTAATATTCTTAGTTTGTGGCATAGAAAGAATTGAGAGAGGATAATGTAGACAATGAGATTGATATAGTATTTGATGATGTAATAGGTAAATTTATTATTAATAAAATATAGAAAATGAGGAATTAGGAATGAAAAAGGAGTATAATGTATTTGTGGAAAGACAATTAGTTTAGCAAATTAAATTGTTAAAATAGAATTACATAGAGAAATAAGATTTGATTAAAGTAATCTATAAATTTAGATGAAGATGCCTGTATGTGGATCCAATGGTATAAGATTACCAGAAGAATAAGACCTATTACTTTATTTTGAATTCTTTAAAATTAGAGAAAATTCAACTGAATGCTAATTATTACTTCAATCATAAGATTTAAAATCCTAATATGGACTTTTGATTTGTGGATGTCTATTTAATGATGAAATTGCATAAGATCTCTCCTTTAAATTATTAACTAAAAAACCTACATTAGAAATCATTATGAAATTGTTATTAGTTACAGTGCACTATGAATCAAAATATCAAATGTATATGTACAAGTAAATATAGTATTTATTCTTAAGATTAGTAAAATAATTATTATATTATTATAATGGAATTCTTAAGGAAATCACAGATCCATTATTAAGTGATGTGATTTAGAATCTAAAGCAATTATCAATAGAAAAACCAAATATCATTAGAGTTAATAATAAGAATTTCTCCTTAAAAATAAATACAACATTTCTTTATCCATTATATAAATAATATGAGAAGGAGAGAGCTACAGTATTTAAACCAATTAATGAATATACTCAATTTTAAGTATTACGAAATGCAGACATTCCAGATCAAACAGAAGATTCAGAATATCCACATATTTATATAATATAAAAATAGAGTGATTAATAACAATATCTTTATGGAGTATAATTAGAAGCACATGCAGAAATATAAATATATGATAATAAATGTGAAAAATATTAGAAATATAATGATTCATATTTAGGTTGTGTTGAAAGAAATATTTGGGGAACTTCTATGGTTGTATATGATGATGGATATCCAGAATCTGCTTAATTATAATTTCCAGATTGGATAGGTTAAAAGAGAAGAAGATTAATGAAAATAGAATATGAAACTAATATTATGGCAAATGAACCAAGATATTTTGATACAGTATATTTAAATCTAGATACAAAATAATGGGAAGGTAATTTATTTGAATTATTATAAAATTAGAATTAATTACATTAAGACCACATTATAATTAAGAAAAGGATTGTTATTAATTGAATTTCTTTGGGTATTTTTAAATCAATATATATAATTAGACGAGCTAAAATTGCATCTGCTCGTAATTTCTAATTAATCAAAGCTGGAGATGATAAAACAATCTAATTATTACATGGAAAGATGGAGGCTAATAGTTTCAATTTAGATTTCAGACCTTCTCTCAGTATCTTATAAGCATTTGCTATATCAATGGTATCTATAAGTTCTAAAGCACTTGTGTCATGATTATTAAAATTAATATAATAAATTCCGCACTCATAATTTTCTGATATATATTTTATTCAATATTATAATAAGGCATCATCTGGCTCATCATCCTCACCTTGAAGAGCCCTTTGACCTTCAATGAAATGATTGTATTGCCTTATTGTTTGATATAGAGTAGACATATCTGCATATTTCATATAGAATGTTCTTTCCCATCCATTTACTTAAATTAATAATGATATTGTATACTAAATTTTATTTCCCATTTACTTGAGATACATTCAACTGATTCTCTATATGTGGATTCAAAGTTTGGCTAATGTAATTTCTTATCTAAATTCATAGTTTAATATTGTAAATGTCTATAAAGGAATAATAAATCAATAAACCTTAATAATTTTGTGCCATGAACATCAGTTGGATTGGAAACAAAATTCATCTTCAAAACATATCTAAAGATTGGATTTAGAAGGGATCCAGCTTGCATTATTACTCTTTTTCTTTTAGTACCCATTTATTTAATTAACCGTATATAAATTTATTTAAATCAAATGAAATTAAAGAACAGAAATTCCACTTCAGTTAACAAATTACAAGCCTTAAAATAACAATAAGACAGCATCATCTAATCAATAAATGAATTGAATGACAAAAACTAATAAATAATAAAAGACTATATGAACAAATAGCAATAATTAACAGATTAATTATAAAAGCAACATCAACATATTACAATACAAGAACTAAAGTATGCATTACATAACAATATCTGGACCAAAAAAGTTGGATTCTTTTTAAATCCTTTATCTTAACAGATTGGATAAAAGATAACTATCTAATAATAATAAATATTGTTAAAGCATTCAGAATCTAAGTTAATATAACTTGAGAGGATATTTCAAACAGAATCCAAGATTATTTAATTTCAAGAACAAAAGAAAATGATATAAAATGATATTGAGGGAAGAATATTATAAATGGATACTTTACTTATTGAATATGAAGAATTAGAATAGATCATTGATTCATAATAAAACAAATCAAAATGTAATAATGTTAAGACTCTTTTTGAAATAAACAAAAGTTTAAGTCAATTAAAACATAATTATATATAATTGGCAAATTAACGATAAGAAAAAGAAATTATCTAAACTGACATCTTAAAAGTTATTAATAATTTGGAATTGCAAACAAAATCTATATAAATTTAAAAATAAATGAAGGGTTTATAATCTTCTTGGTTCAATGTGGATTAACTTTACAATTTGATTGTATCTTAAGCAAAAGTTGAGCAATAATTAGAGTTATTTTGTAATATAGTATTACTAATTAATGAGAAAATTGTTTAAGGATTAAATTAAAAAATTAATTAAAATGCTCTTATTGAAAGTATTAGATAGATTGAAAATGATAATAATTTTAGAGTATTCAATAGTACAATATTTTAAGAATACTTGGATTAGACATAAATTGTAGAATATTCTTAATTTCTTACAAATGAATTATCTAATCGAATATCTAAGTTCAAAATAGAATCTAAATTGAAATAGCATAAGTACAAAAATAATAAATTAAGAATAGAGCACATCTTGTAGATATACAGAGACAAATACATCAGATAATGTATGAACAATCAATGATTTAAACTTAATACAATAGACTTGAATCTAATCTACCTGTTATTGAATAAAATTAAACTGTTTTAAAATTGTAATAGATTCTTGATAGAATGAATCACATAGAATGTTTAAAATCTTAAAATAAAACACTCTTTGAAATTACATTTCCAGCATAAATCAAATAAATATAAGATAATCTATAATAGATAGAATAATAGTTAAATTCATAAATCAAAGAATTATTTTATTCAATAACAATTGAATAAGATTACTATTATAAAATATTCTCTAATCAATCTCAAAAATTACCTATTTTAATTCTCGATTCAAACATAGTTAATGATAATATAGAATAACAAATAGAAGAAAATAGGTAATAGTATTAGTAATAATAAATTCTCTATAATTAAAATATTGAAAATTATAGATAGAAAATGAAATAATTAGAAGATTAAGAAAGTATGATATATATTTATATTTAATTAGATTAAATGTAAACAAAATATTTAATAGAATTGAATGAATCTATTTTGAAAACCAAAAAAGAGAATATTCCACCTTCTG